AAAAAACTGTTAGCATAGAACTTATGATTATATCTTGCCAATTCAACTGTGAATTGATGAGACCTTGCCACCAATCTAGTACTGTGTTTAAATTCATGAAGTCTAGGTACCATAGTAAAGAGTTCATCTGAACAATTATGAAATATTTAGAGAAAAGACATAGGAAAGCTAAATTATGGAAGTTAGGAAAGTGACTGACGCTGAGATGTCAAATCAGGATCAATACTATTGTTGATTCTTCTTTGGATTTTATCAAGAATCACTAAATATACAGCAGCAGCACTGGACCATATTTTGAAGCAAAATTCAAAGCAAGGATGAATGGTAGACTTATAAATATGTAAGTTGGGTTCTGGCAAGAAAAATTGCCTAGCATGAAACTGAACCAACTTTCCTATCAGCAGACCTAGCAATTGATTCATTATAATCTTTCCAGTTTGTGTCAGATTCATATGCGAAATTGATTGTATGTTTCATCCTGTTTAATGTCAACAAGTGCTGATAGTGATGCATCATGGGTGTATATTAATAGAGCATCAATGTATTGTAAATCTGTTGCATCTTGGGGGAGAATGTGATGAAAGGGGGACAATCTGAAAAATTCTAGGAATACCCATGCCAGTACTCTGCTGAGTGTTGAACCTATTGATAAGTAAAATTTCTGTCTATAAAGATGTGTGCTGAACTGATTGTTCTGAGGAGAGTATTTAAGATTTTTTTATATGCCTTTTGCTAATTTGTGGGTCACACTGTCCATCCCTGATACTATGGGGTGCCTGGTTTGTGTGTCTTGGGTAGATCATAAAGTTCAGTGGTATTCTATGCTTTTTTGCATGATTTCTCTTCATGGGTAACTTTTTCATACATTTATTGGATTTTTGTTTCAGTGGTAATATTATGTTTTTGAATTTTCTCATAAGTATTTTGATCCCTGAGGCAGAGTCTTATTTTTTTTTTTTTTTTATAAGTGTTGGTGTCCAATATAACAACACCTCCCCTTTTGTCAGGTGTTGTAATAGTGGCAATTTTGTTTCTCAGCTGCTTTTACATAACTCCGTGGAATGGTGGTTACATCTCGTTCTTGTTGCAGTAACTATTCCCTGTATCAAGCCTTTGCCAAAGTCTGTGTCCTTCAATTTTGGGTCCCGAACTATGGTATCAATTACGTCACCTTTTCTAATGCCAGTGGCAAATTTCATTCCTAAACCAAAGGGTTGCATTTTCCATTTTTGATGACAAGTATCATAGTGAATAGGCTTTGTATAAGGTCTGGACATCTTATGTGCTTCCATTTACTGTTCCTTCGTAGGGATTATAACATTTTCATGTAGATTGTCAATCTATTTATGTTCCATAGTATTGATTGTTCAACAAAAGATGATCTGACTCTGGATTTGAGAATACGTTATCAAAATTTCAGTCAGATTTTTCTTTGTTGAAAGTTGTTTTATCATCCCCCCTCCAACCTGAGTGCTTCTGTAGTGAATTTAAGGTCTTCGTGAATATATCCAGGGAATATATGGTTTGATGTTCTTAGTCTTCATATTCTGTGGGTGCTTCCGATGACATTTTCATGACTGCACTCTAGATTAATTTGTGTTTTTATGGCTTAACCTTTTACAGGTTATTTAAGGCCAGAAACTATTTTTTGGAGACAATAATTATTTACTGATACAAGTCCTACTAATTAACCCATAGTGGGGGGGGGAGGAGATGAATTCATCCCTTTCCTAAGGGTATTTGCACATAAGTGGCTATAACAAACCTGACTGGAATTGGAACACAGCTTTCCAATTCCAAGCCATTATCCATTACAGTACCTGCACATTCAAACTTACAGCACCTCGTATTCCTAAGTGGTCAGCCATTTAAGTACTGATCAGGCTTGACGTTACTTAACTTCAGTGATCAAAAGTAACTATTGAATGCAATAAATATTTTCTATTTCTGTAAGAATGGACGGAAAACAAAATTTTTGTATTTTCTGATTACATTAGTTTTTTTTTAAGCAATTAATATATTTTAATCCAATGTTATTTTTTATTACTATAGATGTTACATTTTGTGAGTATATATATATATATATATATATATATGTTTATATATATATGTTTGAGTAGACATTCCCAACTTTAAAAACAGTGAAATTGTCTACTCGCTTAGAAATTGAAAATTTTAATAAAGAAAATGTGGCTCCTGACAGGAATAGAAAGAGACTGCTGAGGTTTCTGAGGCACATAATGAGGATTGAAGGCTCTGAAAATCTGATAGTCATGGGACAGAGGACAAAAAGGACAGACGAAAACAAAGCATAACATACATAATGAGCTTGACTAAATGGATGGCAAAACAGGGCTAAGGAGAAATAACAGAATGACAGAGTTTATTAAGAGCTACAATTGACAGGAAGTTGTGGTGAGCCATAATTGCTTAGGTCCTGAGGGGACATAGCACATAAAGAAGAAAGGAATCCAATAAAGTCTGTTTATAGTAACAAGAAATTTTGTCAGACTTAAAAAATCCATATTACTTTATTTTAATACTTGAAATGTAAACAAAGTCTGCAGATGGAGACTTTTGGAAGGTCCCAATGAAAGACGTACATTTCTTAAGCAGAGTAATTGAGCCTTGCTTTGTTGCAATGGCTCCTTATGGCTTAATAGTAAAGCATGATTATCTTGAAAGTGGTTTCCCAGATTCTTCTTCTTTTGTCCTTAGTTCTGGAAAGAGATTGATAGACAGCTCAACATGTCGGTGCCCCATTCTCCATCTGTGTCCCAGAGCCTGAGTTTCTGCAAATGGTTTCTTGGTGTGCTCATCATGTGGTGCATCCTGGACATTTTAACTTGGCATGGCTCATCCCTCTCCAGGTTAGACCACAGCCAATGTCCTCCAACTTGGTGACATGCCTTGGTCATGAATGCATGGCCATTGTAATTCATCTGAGGAACCCTTCTGTCCTGGCCTGTGATATGTGTCAAGGAGGTTCTTTGCCTAGTGGTGCCATGTTAACATTACCCCCTCATGTAAGTTGAGCCCATCACCAGCTGAAACGATTTACTGGGGCATGGCAACTTGGAGCCATCACATGAGATTTAGAAGATGGTTGAGGACTAGAGATGCCTGTCCACCTGATCATGTCATCCATCACAGGTATGACCTCTATTCAGATTAAAAAGGGAATAAAGATCCAATTGTAACATTGATCAACCTCCAGAGATCCCAAACAAACAAAAAAGGGAGGGAAGAAACAAAGAAAGAAAGTAAGTTTCCAAAGCAAAACTGCTGTCTTATAGTCATATTGGGGGACCCTTTTTGACCTCCAACAAACATAGCTGATGTCAACCTGATATCAATTTGATATAATCCAAAATAAAGCCAAAGACACATACATCCAATAACCAAGCCAACCATTTCCAGTCCACCAATATGGAAAGCATTCATTAAGGAAATCTAGAAACTTTGCAGAAAAATGACAATGTACAGTGTTAATTATCTCGTCTACAACCAAATGTGGTTCAAGGAATTGTTACAAAATGGAACAGTAAATTCAGGAAGGTAAAAATTTTTCATCTTGTTAAACCCATTTAGACATATTGAGTCCCTTTCCCAGTGTTAAAGTTGTTTAGATGTTTATCTGCAACAATCAAAGAAATGTTACTTTTTCACAACTCACAAGATGTAATGCCGCTGAATAGATTTAGGTGAGAAGGAATAATGATGGCTGTTATTTTGAATCTGCCGCCTCCTCTTAATAATTCTATTATCTTTCACTCTATAATTCATTTATTATAATTTCAATCTCTTATATACAAGGGTAAGTCAAAATTGTCTACATTTTTTCCACAAGACTAGATAATTTTTTTCTTTAGTTTCCCCATATATATATATATATATATATATATATATATATATATATATATATATATATGTGTGTGGCAGAAATACCTCCCACATAATGGTAATGGCAAGATGAAGACATCATTGCCACATTATGTTGGAGGTATTTCAACCACGTTCTGCATAATAGGTGGCTGCAGTTTGGTAACCTTCAAGAAAAATTTTTCTTTTCTCCCACACTTGTTTGTTTGGAACAAATTCACAAGAGTAAGCACTTTAAAAAAGTGAACTCACTAACAATGGGCTGCAAGAATACAATTTAAACTTAAGTTCTGTTGCAATCATTTTAAGTAGGTATTTTCTTAAGTCTGCCACAGTAAACAAAAAAAAAAAAAAAAAAAAAACACCAGAACAACTAACCAATAAATGATACAGAGAATAAATGATGGATCAACATGAAAGCCACCAGATTGTATAACCAAACTTGAGAAATCAGATTCATGTTGATGAAGTTTCTTCCCAACTTTGATTAAATATGACTTCTAATTTCATAAGCATGACGAACATTTCCCAAGTAAAGGATTTAACCGACCATTTAATAAAAAGTGCTTTTTATTTCTAAGTTTTGTTTTGTTTTAAAATCATCTGACATGCAAAAGGTAGTCAAATTACAAGTAACAAAAAAGGTTATGAAAGTTCTCAAAGATTTTACAAGTAAACTAATTAGCTCTGTCAGATGACCAAGTCATCATGCGTCTTTGAAGTATTGATTTAATCATTTTCTAAGCTTCATTAAAAGCAAAGAACAGACCGAGTATGTACTTTAATTTATTCTGTTTATCTTCCTTACCTGGAGGGATCCTGACAACAGATAACTCAAATCAGCCTTTTCTGATCAGAAACTCCCTGGAAATTGATAAGATTTGAAAACCTTTTTTTTGTGCAGTTAAACATTTTTCTAAAGGCAAAAGCAGAAATAAAAAAACGATAACAAATAAGAATTTAGCTGCTTTATTCATATTGCATGCTTTTATTTCATACACACATGCCACGTTAATATGATAAAATTAATCACATAAAAGCATGATTTGATTTTCATGTTAAAATATAACAAGTTTCTCTTGCCTTTCAGAAGGGTTTTCTTGTCACCAGGAATTTTCTTACTTGTATGCATTGGCTTTGTGTTTAGGCAAAAAGACAAAGTTATCAGGAACTGGACCCAGCAACATTTCACTAGTGGGAAAAAAAAAAAAAAAAAAAAAAAGAATGAAAAGTTGCGCAATAAAACAATTTTATTTAATCAATTACACCAATTAATATTAAATGTTTCAAGTGGCAATTTTTCTTTCAGACAAGCATAAGATAAATAATACTGAGTGATGGTACTCTTACAATCTTCAGAAAATTTAATTTTTTTTTTTTAATAGACTGGTTGACTCTCCAGTCTTCTTCAGTTGAATTTGCTTGGAAATAACATTTCAGTATGCATGTTTACATTTACAATGATTACAAGTTTTGTTTCTGTCTATATCTCTAAGATTAGGTATTATGATTACTCGGACTGTTATCCCCATCTTCATTGCCATATTCACAATGTTTCGGCCGTTGTATGTGCTGGCCTTCTCCAGGTAATTGGAATTTCAAACCAAACCCTTTATTTTGTCGACTGGGGTACATTGTTCTAGTTCCATGCCTCTCAAGACACATGGCCCAGTGGATAAAGATGTTGGTTAGATCCAGTGACTAGACCCAAAGAGTTGGGAGTTTAATAACAGGCCACAGCAGTGATGAACCAAAACTTGGAGAGGTGAGTTAAATGGAAATAACAGAGACATGACATGTAGAACTAGAACAATCTACACCTATAATTTCAAACCAACTTTTAACACATTTTAATTTCTCACTTAGCCAACTTGGTCCTTATATTCTTTATGTCTTTTTACATGTATGATATCAGAGCTTGCAAATTCCTAATGTCTTGATAATTAATCATTTCTCATCCTCTCAGGTTTGCAATGTTCTCCTACCTTGACTTAAGAATTATAAAAAAAAAAAATCTAAAATTCTACATTTGAAGCTATATATAATTTATTTTTTTCTGGTCACCTTGTCTGTTACTATACAACCCAAAAATTAAAAATCTAACCCAACAGTTCTGTTTAAGTTATAAAAGATAATCACAAGTGACCAAAAATTTGTCAAATTTGAGAGGAAACTGTATAAAGGTGTTATATACTTCATTGTGTAAACTTTAATGAACATAATTCACTTGAGTAATGGTAATATTAGAAGTTTCTTTATAAGGAAACTTTCAACATTTGATTGATTGAGCAGTCAGTACGGTTTCTGGTCGTAATTTATAAAATCTTTCCCTTAAACCAAATTTTTCAGGAAAATAGGTTTCCCTGAACCATTATCACTTTTTTTCAGTATTGCTGAAGGTTTCCTTCTTAACCTCTTGTTTGAAGTAGTGTGGAATGTCAACCTCTTGATTATATTCTCTTTGAGGTACATGTGCTATCTATTTTAGTAGTTGCTGTTATTGAAAGCCCATATGTAATTTCTGTTATTTGGTATAGTTCTTTGTGATACTCTAGGGTCATTCCACAAGGTTTTAAGAAGGATGGTCCTCTCTAAAACCTACAGGTTTCATTCACTTGAAGCCATTTTTAACCTTAGAAAGCATTTGTAATACAGCTGACAGTTTAGATATTTCTGAATGTATTTGGCACCATGCATGACAGCCATATTAAAGTCTTGATCTGATGACATTTACTAACATAAATGAGATTTTAGGTTAATAGTTTGTATCAATTTGCAATGTTGGGCAAAACTACCTCTAGCACAGCCTATTCTGTGTTCAATTTCCTTATCTCCTACACTGAATTTGCTATAACTGATTCATGTGCCAAAGTATCTCAAAGGTTTAGTATTTACTAATTGAATGTTATGCAAAAATGAGACCCACCCCCACCTCTTGACAAGAATATTTACCACCTCTTTTTGCCTTAGGAACAGAAAATAGAAATTAGAATATGAGAGAAAAGAATCAATAGATAACTATGTTTATCAGCAACAAACTGAAGAAGACAAAAGCATAAAAATTTATGACAAAAATCGTAAACAAGGAGAAAATTTATTTTTGTTCATGTAATTATTTTATATTCAACAGAAACCCGACTTCATCGAAACTCACTACTGTGGGAATTTCAAAATATATAGATAAACTGAACACAAAAAAGTTAAAATTTTGAAAGCATCCATATAATAATTAAACAATTTTCAGGCTTATTTTTCTTTGTTTATTTACTATTAAATGATCTATTTCTTAATATTAAGCATTTTACTTCCAAAGACTGCTTGCCTTAAAAGGCATTAGCCTCCAGAAATACACTGCTGACTTTTTTTTTTTGGTGCAAATACAATCTTTCTTTTTCTTATTATACTGATGGCTCCAATTTGATATGAAGCAATATCACTTGAACTATACTCAAATATGGACAGCAGAATGTGGCTTTTTAGCCCTACTAAAAAAAACACACACAGTTGATTTGTGTGTGTGTGTGTGTGTGTGTGTATTTTAATTCCACTGACAAATTAGTTTGAAGTTCCATAATGTCTGGAGATAAAATTTGCTATAGTTTTTCCTTTCATTTGTTTCTTACCAACAAAGCTTCCCTCTTTCTACTTGCAATGAATTTACATTGAAATTAGCTATTCTCTTACCATGGACAGATTAGACTTTTTTTTTTTTTTTACTATTCTTTTAAAAAAGATTTTCTTTAATTAGATTATATCAACAAGGCAGAAAAGAAATTTATTATTTTGTGGTATTTGTCATCCTGAAAAACCTACAAAACTGTCCATGAAAACAAAAGCAACTTTCCAATTATGTCCCCTGTCCAATACAAGATTCTGGAATTCTATAATAAACAATTAAAAAAAAAAAATTTCTACACTTATTCATTGGCTTCACAAGAGCCACCAACTGGAAAAGTAGTTCACTATCTCTAAATGCTTCCAAAACTGATCCATCCTCTAAAAATTTCTGTTTTGATCATCTTCCATCTAAAGTTAATCATCTTGTTACATGCAATGACGTAAACTCTTTTGTAAATTAACATTTATTTATTTCTTACCTAATCTTAATCCAGTCGCCACAATTTGAACTTGCCATCAGAGTTTCAAGTTCATCTCGAGCAAAATAATAAGGCGGACGTTCATTTATCTTCTGAGGTACGCGTTCCAGTATCCCAACAGGAATGTATCTATAAAAAAAAAAAAAAAAATTATATTAAAAATTAATAAACAATACTGATAGAAAATCTGAATTCTTGCAAATAACGAATTTTGAAAAGAGCTATGGAACAGCATTGTAATGTGTTGTGACATTGTAAAAATGACAGCAAAAGAATAGTATTTTGAAGCTTTCTGGAATTAAGAAATTAACTGTGTTACTGGATTCACATTTGGAAAATCACTTAAACAAATAAATAAAAATGATACAAATTCACTATCAAAAGATGCATTTCTTTTTCATCATTTCCTCAAAAGGGGTCCTATTTGAAGAAAAAGGATTTAAACCTGTGAAGAAAGGAGAGCCACTCCAGCAGAAATCTTCGTGTTGTCTCCACACCCTGATGGTCACTACCCCAATGCTCAAAGCCATTGTTGACAAACTGACGTAAGATATCCATACGTTCACTGGATGAAATATCCCAATGTCTTTGCTCTTTGATTTCTGTGAAAATCCAAGGTTTGATTAGGGCTCCTCTGAAAAAATAAAACACAAAGTCTCTTTTGATGAAGTTACACAAAAAAAGGCAAAGTACAAAAAACAGAATTACATTCAAAAGCAAACAAACCGACATCATGTCTTTGTGTCAATTCTGATTGTAGTCATTTGGCTGATGCACTCCCAGCCTTTCTTGCTGCATAGAGTCGGTATTCAAAAGATTGTCAATAATCAAGTGTACATTTTTTTTTCCAGTTTACAGACTTTCCAATAAAAAAAAAAAAAAAAAAAAAAAAAAAAATTTCATATCTACAAAGAAGGATACAAGGGATTATAAAAAATAATTTGTAAAAATTACTAAAAAAAAGTGCATAAGATTCTATTGTTACATCACTAGAGTTGACTTACACCCAAGGAAGGTTGATTTCAGAACTGATCAAAACAGAAAAATGCCCATCTAAATAAAACTTGGGAACAATTCTTGGAATAATAAAACAAGAGGAATTTTTTTTACATTATTTCAAAATAAACATTTCTTTACCAACCAATTGTATTTTCATTATATTTTATACAGCAATTACAGTAACTGAAACACCAAATTTTTATAAAACAAAAAATAGATTTTTTCACACAGAAATGAAAAGAACATCTATTTTTATCTTAATTACCATTTCACTCCTAAATCAACTTCTAACATTCTTGTTAAGTTACAATGACAGTTTTTCAAAGTTAAATTTTATCAAGAATATTGTTTCATGAAATATATTTTGCTTACATATTTTAATTTTAGCCTATGTACATCCTGCCAATCTTGTTAATTACAAATCATTTAGCAATAAATCCAAGATATCTGAAATCAGTTATGAATACAATTTGTAACTAACCTTGCCACCATGAGACCACTCACACCAGACAAAGATTTGAAATGATTAGCATCTTCAAAGGAGTAGACATCACCATTACCTGAATAATATAATAATAAAAATCTTAAATTTTGTTTCAATTTTTTTTCCAAATTTCCAAAAGGCAATAAAAGAGTAGACCCTGACTTAACTTTTTGTAATCTCCCTTTTTATAAAAGATGAGAAAATGAAAAATTTGTTTGTGCTATGAAACAATTCTACCCTATTTTTATATTATTCAAATATTACATTAAGTCATAAGTAATTTCCACCTTTTGGGAAGAAATTGTAATGACGAACATATCATCTGAACTATTATGTGGCAGTGAAGAATAATTTTGTAGTACACTAACATACTTTAGTTTTTGCATGTCATTCATACACAATGGATCAAAAGAAAAATCCATGACAACACAAAACTGCCTCCAGCAAGAATGACATAGGGAAAGATATGTTTGAACTCAATTGGTCTGTTCTACCCAAGCCATCCTATTCATCTGACTTTGCACCAACCAAAATATTACTTTTTTTAATTTTTTTTTTTTATTATTGCTGCTTATTAAGTAGCAACAAGTCATTGCAAATAATGGTAAATATATAATTTCATAAAATGTAACTGTACTTGTATTTTTGAAGAATAAAGTTGATAAGCAAAAACGAAAATTATTTATGACTCAATAGATGGACATCATAACAGAGGCACACAACTTCCCCCTTACTTCATGGAATAAATTAAAAAAAAAAAAAAAAAAAAAAATATATATATATATATATATATATATATATATAAAAAGTATATAATTGGTATATACGGAATGAATTCCAATAACCAACAATTACTATTCTTAAAAAGTGCTCAATACAAAAGTAGAGCAGATATAATTATTTTTATAAAAAAATTATAACATAAGTATGTTATAAGATCACTACAAAAATAGCCATTTTGTTTCAACACATTCTGTGTCTTCTCAAGTGATGATGTTTTTTATTTTCAACATCATCACTTGAGAAGACACAGAATGTGTTGAAACAAATGGCTATTTTTGTAGTGATTTTATAACATACTTATGTTATAATTTTTATAAAAAATATATATATATATATATATATATATATATATATATATATATAAAAAACACAGTGAGGTGGGGGTGGAAGAGAATCAAAATTTCAATCATCTTCCAAGAAAGTCATATATATATATATATATATATATATATATATATATATATATATATATATATATATATATATATATATATATCTTACTTATTATAAAAACTTAATAGATTGTGTGTGTCTGTAACATTTATATATTGGATTGAATTTTCTACATTTTTTTTTAGCCGATTTCAACAAAACTTCACAGGACTACATAAAATTACCTTGTGATGGTTCTAATGGCGCCGAAAATGGGAAAAACGCAATTGTTTTTTTAACAAAATCAATTTGAAAACACAATTAAGACACACCGTGAGAATGAAAGGGGGACAACTTACCCACGAAAATGTAAACAAAAGAGCATAGCATGATGAAAAAAAAAGCCAAACTTGACGAAAACAATTTTATCGTCTAATGTTCATATTATTGTTAAAGAGGAAAGATCAAAGTATTTTTGGAGTATTTTTTTTTTTTTTAATCGTTCCTAGCACGTCTGAAATTTTCGTTAAAAATATTGTTTTTTTTTTTGGCCATAAAAAAGGACAGATAATCATTTTCAATCATTTTTTTCGATTTGATAAAAAGATTAAAATCTGACTTTGATATTCTTTTAAAAATCAATTATTTTTTCAAAACTGATTTTAATAAAAACAGAAATTATACTGTTTATTAATATTAATAAAAACAGAAATTAAAATATTTATTATAAGGGAAAGAGTACCCCTGGGTTATACCGTGGTGACTGATTAATCATAGTGGATAAAAGTAATCCCAGAAAATGTGACAATCCAAAAAAGCTACACTGGATCTTTAAAAAATTTGGATTCAATCTTGAAATTGAAACCAACCTTAAAGTCACTAACTACTTAGACATCACTTTAGATTTAAGAAATGGTACTATTTCCCCTTATAAGAAAGATAACCAGGAACCCCAATATTTAAATGTAAAATCTAACCACCTAACACATATAAGACATATTTCAAAAAGTATCAGCCATAGATTTTCTACAAACTCATTGAATAAAACCATCTTTGATGCTAATAAATCAAGTTATGAGCAAGCTCTTGCTAAAAGTGGCCACAAAGATAAGTTAGAATATATTGACACAAATAATAACACTAAAACCCAAAATAGACATAAGAATAGAAATAGAAATATTTTTGGTTTAACCCTCCATTTAACTTATCTGTAAGAACTAAAATTGGCAAAATATTTTTCAATCTATTAGAACAAAATTTCCCCAAGAACACCAAGTTACACAAAATATTTAATAGAAATAACGTTAAACTTAGTTACTGATGTATGCCAAACGTAGCGACTTTAATTAGCGGTTTTAATAAGAAAAAGACTAGGGGAAAATCCATGCGCCATTACTTCTAGTTGTTATTGTAGGAAAAAAAAAAAAAAAAAAAAAAAAAATCTGTCCCCTACAGGAAAAATGTCAACAGGAGTGCGTGGTTTACCAGGCCAAAATTTACAAGGACATTGAGGACTGCAATAACGATAGAAACCCTAAAGTATATATAGGAGCTACTCAGAATCTATTTAAAAAAAAAAAAAAAAAAAAAAAAAAGATTATAATCATACTAGTTTTAACAATGAAAAAAAAAAAAAAAAAAAAAAAAAAAAAAAAAAGATTATAATCATACAAGTAGTTTTAACAATGAAAAAAAAAAAAAAAAAAAACAAGCATAGTACCATTTTATCTAGCTATGTATGGAAAATTAAACAGGAAAATAACAGACCCAATCCTCAAATGGGAAATATTAAAAAGATGTTCGAAATATAAAGCAGGTCAAAAATTCTTTAAGCTATGTACAGAGGAAAAATTAGCCATAGCTTTATATAAGGAACCTAAGGATTTATTAAATTCTAAAACAGAGATTTTAAACAAATGCAGACATAAAAGATCTTGGTTATTGGATTAGGCCCCATCTCCCCTGATTATAAAGTTGTTTAACCGTTTTTGCAGTGTTTGTCTCCAAATCACCCCCTCCCTTTTAAACGGTTTCAAATAAATTTCTCCTCCACCTTCCCAATTATTGTGATTTTTTTGTTTGGTCACGTGGTCTTGTCTTTTGTTTTTGGCTATAAGCATGCAGCTTTCTTTACCTAGCTTTCCCTGACGATCCGCTTAGGTGAAACCTTGGTAGGTTTGTCTGGCTCTCTAGGTTTGACTAGGTCTGCTCTACTTTTGTATTGAGCACTTTTAAGTTAGTTGATTACTCGTATTGGGGTTTTTTTTTCTTTGGGCTTTGAACTTGCATGCTGTATGATTATTTTCGACAGACGTTCATAGCTCTTTCTTTTTTTTTTTAAAACCTTTTTTCCTTCGAGATTATATATATATATATATATATATATATATATATATATATATATATATATATATATACACACACACACACAAAAGGGAAAGCTTAACATCATGAAAATACAGAAATAAATCAGGATTTATTTTGACCAGAAAGTCTCATTGGACTGAAGATATAAACCTATCTCCAGTCTGATGAGACATACTGGTCAAAATAAGTCCTAATTTATTTCTGTACTAGCAGTAGAGCCCGGCGTTGCCCGGGGATATAACAGTAAGAGATAGATCAAGTATCCACCATCATAAAGACTGAAAAATAAAATTGACAAAGATTATTGTTTAAGGTTGACAGACACGCATGTCTTAATTAGTTTTTTTTTAATTTTTTACGAATTGGTCAAACCCAAACTCAAACAAAAACATTGTTTTCAATCGTTATGAGTCTACTGATTGAATAGAATTTCATTATAAATAATTGTCTTGTAAATGGAATTTTTAAAGCATTCTGAATGTTAAAAATAAAGAAAAAAAGTGTGCAAGAGAATAAGAAACACTACCTGCCCCACCCCCCAAAAGTGAAGTTTTGTTTTATCGGCTGAAAAATATAGGAAATCCGATGTGAGTTGTCCCCCTTCCATTTTCACGATGTCTCTTAATCGTGTTTTCAAATTTATTTTGTGCAAAAACAATTATATTTTTCCCATTTTTGGCGCTGTCAGAACCACCACAAGGTAATTTTATGCAGTCCTGTGAAGTTTTGTTGAAATCGGTTGAAAAATGTAGGAAATCCGATCCAATATATAAACATTACAGTCATACACACACAATCTGCGTTTTATAATAAGTAAGATTTTCATGATGTGCCAAGCTTTTCCTTGATGTATATCATATTGCTCTGTATTGTATACGTTGAACTCTCTACAGATCTACTTTTTCATATTTTATATTAAAAGAACCACTTCGATTATCCTTTCCACTTATGGATCTGTGTCCTTTATCAATGATCTGAGGAGCAAACAAATGTTTTTTTTAGATAAGGTATTTTTTATTGGAAACCATTATGAGCAAAGCCAGATCTCACTGATGTGCAAAACTTTATGAAAATGAACTTATATTCAGATCAGTGTAAAAGTGCTAGGCTAATCTATTGTTACTAGATTGTGTGTGTGGAGGAGTGAGATTGTAAACATTGATGAAGAGAGTTATAGGTTGTATAAGACATCTTGCATGCAATAAGTTGTAGCAAAAATTGACAGATCCCATGGTCAAGTGTAGAAAGCTAGGGAACATGGTTGGAATATGCTGTGATGAAAAGGAAAGTAAAGAAAGAAAGAAAAGTGGGAAAAAAGAAAAGTGGAAAAAAAAAAAAATATATAATAAAGTTATATGAAGGGACAAAGTTTTTGATAAAAAACTAGAAATCTATTGTTAAAAAATATTTTAAATGAAATAATAATAAAATAGAAAAACTGAGAGGAAAAAGCGTCTACATGCATAGATACACACGTGTACATAACTGTATGTAGATACACACAGGCCCATATACACATATAGATAAAAATACATGTATAAAAAAAAAAAAATCAATATGTATCTTCACTAATCTTACCCTCTTATTACATAACCTTGTATGTAAAGGAGCATTAGTGATAAATTCTATGATGGTATAAAATGGGTTATTCCAATCAAGATGGTAAGAAAATGAAAGCATAGGCAGTAGAACATAAAATATAGTAGGTAGGTGTGGTGATGGCCATTAAAATTAGGGGGGGTGGAGTGGGAGGTAGGACTGAGTAATCCCAAACCCCTGTTTAGTCCCCTCAATGTGAGAATTTGCTTTTAGAATGAACTTCAACTTCAGTCTGCATCTGTTCTGACTGCCGAACCAAGATGCCAAAAGCATGCTGCTGATGCTATGACCAGGTTAGTTAAAGTGTACAGGGACTAGGAAATTATTTTGGTCTCTGATGTTTTTTTTCTTGTGAGGGTTTCTGTTGATGCCCTCTCTCTCATATATATATATATATATATATATATATATATATATATATATATATATATATATATATATATATATATATATACACACACAAAAAAAAAAAATAAAGTTTGTCTTGCTTTTGAGTTTGTTCTAAATCATTTTTTGAAGATATAAAATTTAAAACTAAAAATGACAAGTCCCATGCTCTATTTCCCTTTCTCTCACAAGTTATCAATTGACATTTTAAGCATTGACTATTTTTACAAAGTCTGATTAGGTTATACAAATTATTTAACTGGAGATTTGTTGATTGTAAAAATGGCCATCTCAGGTGAAGCCAGTTCCCAAGATTTCATCAAAACAATATACCAACATGCACAGAATTTTAGACAAGATAAAATATAGAAATACTTTGAATACAAATTTTTATAAGTTTATTTTATGGTTATTTATGAAACATAGCTTAATTATAGCACAAAGTCAAAAGTACAAAGCACATAGTAAAGATTGAACTCACTACCCAATCTGTGAGACCAGCTTGATAGCTAATATTCAATGAGTCACGGATGCTTATTTTATGCTAGTAAGGGATGTGTGGTTAGAGCAAGTCATTTAGTGCAGACAAATAGGATTAGTGAACTAAGTTCAAATTTTGTTCCATTCATATTTGCATAAATGATTTTGCGAAAGGCATAAGTCCATTTTTCCCTCCAGCTATGGGTTATAAATAGCTGGGTAGACTGGCCTTGGATGTCATCCAGTTTAGGAGGAGAATAATTGATTTCAAAATCATGAAGAAGGCAACAAGAAACCACTCTACTATCTTTCTCCAAAAAGGCATGGCAATTCAAAAGAATTAGAAGAAAAAGGAGTTGGTTTAGAAACAGGTTTGTTTACATACCAAAGGGGACATGGCAATTAATAACAGGATTATTTACAGATAGGTTGTCACTGCTGGCTATGATCAAAGTATCTGTGCACTTTACCAAAAGGTGTACATGCACTTCTCTACATTTTATATATGGGAGTTGATAGGATGTTTTGATCATATCACATGCAAGTGAAATAATCATTTTGTTTTTTCATTTATAGTAATCAAAGATTGGAAAGTGAAACCTAGAAAAATTTTTGCAACCTTTAAAACTCACTTATCTTGCATAAAGTAACCCATTAATACAAAAGGGTTTTAATAAAACTCGGATCACATAAAAATGATTCAGGGTTTCTTTCTTTGTGAAGCAGTTTTCAATTATATTCCAGAAAAATGTGTCACTTAATGGCTAACAGTATACACTTAGTTTTGTATTTGGTTTCATATCATTTCATGTCTTAATGGCTGAGGAAAAATTTCAGTTAAGATTTTACTAGATTTGTTTCCTGACTGTTGAAAAACTAAATACTTACCAAACACAGGCATTGTGGTCCCTGCAAGTGAGCACCGGCGAATGTAATCCCAATCAGCAAGTTTTGTATACCTTTGTTCACGAGATCTTCCATGAACCTAAATAATATGCAGAAAATACGTAAAATAAATTGCAATCTTAATAGATTAAGGAAAAGAAAAATCCTTTGTCATGATAAAGAAGGGGAAAAATTCAAGTATTTTTCACATTAGAAATTGTCCATCAACTTTAAAGAGGCAAGATTCTGACAAAAATGTAAACATGTATATACTTACTGTAACAAGATCTACACCCCAGTTTCTAAGTTTTGGAATTAGAGTGTGTGCAAGATTTTTGCTGTCAGAGATACCAGTTCTCATCTTTAAAGTGAGAGGCACTTCCAAGACTGACTTCATTCCACGGACAATCTGTCCAAGGCGACTTGAACGTCCCATAAGAGCACAACCTTCTCCCTGAAAAAAAAAGATACAAATTCACACATTGAAAGAAGAGTAATGAGAATCATCAACAGCAAAGTATTTTTTAACAAAGCTTTTTGCTGAATTTAAACTAATAATTTGCAAAAAGTGTGCAAGGTACCTTTTGGAAAATGAGTTCAATTGGACAGCCACAGTTGATATCAATGAAATCTACATCACATGTCTCTTGGATGAGCTGGGCACAGCGGGTCATGGGTTCAAAGTGGGAACCACATAACTAAAAGAATCAAGACAAAGATTCATATGTAGAATTGAAAATGCAAATGTTTAACAAAAGTTGAGTCAAATAAAACAGTTACTGCAAAAAAAATTGTTTTATCTACCATTATTCTATTTTTTATTCTTTAATATGGCTTTTCTGCTTAAAGATACCATTTCTCTGGTAGCAACACAAAACTTTGTAAAAATTACCAAATAGCACAACTAAGAACTTCTGTATCTTATTCTGAGTTTTACCTTATACTGCCAGAAATGGAAAGATACTTTGTTAACTCATTATTAGAATTTCATATAAGTTTTTTAAATATATAAATATACATAGTACTTGTATAAAATGTCAAAATTATTTATGTATGTTATGATGTTGATTTGGGGTTAGTAGAGACAAACGCCAAATAACACATAACAATAAAAAGGGTTTTAATAGGTTGGTAAAAAGGTACAGAAATCGCCTGAGTAGTCAATAACTAGCTCAGCTAAGAACTTCTATCGACATGTCACTATTTAAAGTCATTACCGCAGACAAGTTCATCTTCCAGAGGGGGGTTGGTTTCCGACACAACAATGTATGTATTGGTACTTCTGCTGAAGATCAATGTTGTACCCGTGTAGTTGGTTAAGGATCATTGTTGCTCTATGCCTAGAACCAATGTAGTATCTGTGTATTCTGACTTAATATTTGCAAGTTAATTTTACCATACTACTCAGGCAGAATTTGTATACCTACCCCATCAATGATGGTAATTATGGCACAAGGTCAATGTAGAGCTCAGCACATGTATGTGTAGGTGGTGACAAATTACCCAGTTCCCTCAGAGCCTAGATGCATCAGACACCGATCATGACCATCCTCCTTTAAGCACAATGGGAAGGGTGCAACCTTGGGAAACTATTCCTTGGAATTGGACTTTGGTTCATTTCAGCCTTAAAATGCTGACATGTCACTTGACTGGTTACCTCCAAATAAGGAGTTTAAAAATCAAGGCTGGATTTACTTGTTGCTCTATTTATCTACGTGCTTTTTAACAGGAAAAAGTTAAACAAAAAAAAAAAAAATAAAAAATAAAAAAATATACAAATACATGTGGCATATTATGCTTCTAAGTTATAATTCTTTTTACATCAAGACTATCATGATTCAGTAGTTTCAAGAACACAATAACATTTCTTTACATACCAGTTCTACCTAACCCCAGATTTAATTTTGGCTTTACAGCAAGTTTACTTCTTATTTTAACAAAAATTTATTCTCTAAATTTCTTTTTATAATTAAGTACAATGGACCTTTTTTATTTTTTTACTCCTCCACCACTTTAATTCTTAAGATTCTTATCAATCTTTTGTTTAAAAAAAAAAAAAAAAAAAAAAAAAATTTGCTTCTCAGTGTCCCAGACAAATAAAAAATGCTCGAGAGGCAATTATATCTCAAAGCTAAAAAGGAATTGATATTGATAAAAGAAGCTTTTATTAATATAAATTACTCTAGCCTAGAGGTATTGTCGTCCCTACTGGATGCTCAGACACTTGTGACTAAGTAGGGATTGAACTCACGACAATAATAATGGACTGCAGGACAAGCTAGCTAAGGACAGTAATGTAAAAAATAGAAAGAGTATTTGTACACACACTTTTGGCTAAGAGGTAAAAAAAAAAAAAAAAAAAAAATAAAAAAAAATAAATAAATAAATAGAAGTATTTGATGAATGGTTTCCAAAAGATAAACATTTGTGACTTTAGGTACTATACCTAATATACAACTAATGATATTAATTGCCACAATCGGAAAATGGTTTCTTTAGCAGTGCCTTAGAGTTTTTGCAACACATGCATACAGTATATCTGATTAAATAACAGTTAAAAACTAAAAGTCATATTGGCACTTAATGTTTACCTGGATTCCAAAAATGTCCTCTGATTTGTGTCTTTTAAGCAATGCCCACTCAGATTTTCCTTGGAGAACACTTGTAGCCACAGCCATTTCACTGCATGTAACATCGGCACCAAAAGTTTTACAAATTCGACGGAATGGCAGATTACCAACCTAAACGGCAAGAAAAAATTTTTTTCTATCAACTTAAACTGAGGCAGACAAAATTCAAACAATCATGTGACTTAAGAGTAAACAGAATTCAAAAAAAATTAATATTATTTGTCCTAACATCAAAAAGATATTGAAGCGTAATCTATTCACAACAGTGTGGCTTGACCATAGCAAGTCATTTGGGTCAATGTAATATGTTAATTTTACATGTAGTTGCTAGAGAGGCAGGGCACAGAATCTGGTTATGGGACTTAAATATATATAAAGCTTTAATGATGAAAATTATGTAAAAAAAAAAAAAAAAAAAAAAAAAAAAAAAAAAGCAACAAGTTAGTTAGCCATAGTAGTAAATGTAAGTAGAAGCGGGGCAGGGGGGAGTTCAAGTGTTTCTTTTCCTTTAAATATATACTAAAGTTCACCCAATACAAGGTTCAAGAGCCACTCCACATAGTGTTACTGTTAAAATGGTTACTTTTCATTATCACAACAAAATGATTATTTTCATAAGATTTGATAGTGGCAAGTTTTAAAATTTTCTTTTGAAATAAGTTACTTTTTCTTTGAATAGGGGGGCATGCTTTAGATCAAAGTTATTTCTATGTATGACTATGATGAATAAAGTGTGTTAGAGTAAAACAGGAGGTGGTAGGAAAAGAATTTTTCTTGAGAAGTGGGTAGAAAATTTGAAATAATAAAAAAAAATCTTTGGTTTAATATCTCATTTTTTCCTCCAGTTGACATTCTGAATAAAGTGAAAAATTCTAACCATAATTACAAAATTTGAAGTTGTAATTTTTCCAGTCCTACTACTGGATGAAGTGAATCTTTAACTTGTTCAAACACAGATGATTAAAGAGGAGGAAATAAGAAATCTTAGTTTCTTAGAGGAGTCTGTCATTCTATTATTTTATGAGATGCCATTAAAAATACTGACCCTTAGTTTTTTTTTGCTTTAAATTGGTTTTGACCAATCAACAGAAATTGAGAACAAAATGCGGCTTCTTGGGTAAAAAATAAACCAAGAATTACTTCATTGAGGAACTGAAGCAAATCTTAAATGCTGCTTGGGCTTACGACAACATCATGTTGAAACACCAATTCCTATACAATCACTAAAGTTAAGCAATGCAAAGCCTGGTCAGTGCCTAGATGGAGGAACACTTGGGAATACTAGGAGCTGTAAGCTTAGATATTCGGTGGTGTAATAGATAATGGCCAGGAGTTGTTAATTGGAGAAGCGAGTCTCAATTACCATTGGGTTCATTAAATTCACATGTATCCTAAGGAAAGGTATGAAGTCATCTCCCCTTGCTATGGGTTAATTAGAAAGACTCATCACTAAGCCATTATAATTACTAAAAAAATTTTCTTACAAACTAAAAGTATTTTTTTGGTTTAAATAACCTGTGAAGGGCTGATAAACCATAGAAAATGAATCAATTAAATACTCCTTGTAAAATCCTCCTAAGATAAAAGAATCATTAAAGAGCTGTAAACTTACTGTTGTCAGTGGTGCTAAGTAAAGCTTGTCAGAAAAGTTGATCTGAAAGTGAAATAAAATAGTAAAATGTAAATTTATTTAACATCTTTAGTGATTTATAGCAAATGTAAATGATATAAAGGCAGAGACAAAAAAGCAAAAATAGAGAATATTTAACAAGCAACACTTTCATACTTTCAGAATCTGTTTTTTCATGTCATCATAGAAATACTCAATTTGTTTCTATAGATCGTTTTGAAAAAAAAAAAAAAAAATTTAATTTTCCTTATCACAACAAAATGATTATTTTCATAAGATTTGATAGTGGCAAGTTTAAAAATTTTTTGAAATAAGTTACTTTTTCTTTGAATAGTGGGGGGGATGCTTTAGATCAAAGTTATTTCTATGTATGACTAATGCATTTGATAAAATTTTGTGTACAAGATCCTTTTTGTGTTTATAGATACATTTTTTTCATCTTAATGTGAATTCTACATCTCACCTGGATGTGAGAAACTCATTTCCCATTCGTATATCCCCCCATGTTATACAGGTCCCTCACCTGTACACATTCTAGGCACAACTGTGTCAGCTACATATTTACATATTGGGGGCAGCCACTGCCATTAGGGGATGTGTGAATCTGCACTTGGTGGTTAGGAGGTTATCTCTCAGGTCAACCTACCAATGCATCTGGCTTCTCTGAAGAACACTAAATGCAAAGTCTATTTTAGCATCACATACCACAGATACAGGTCATATAAACATGGTTTGTTAAACTTTGAACTTCTGGATACAAATTTAACATTTGAACAAACCATGCTGAAACCTGTAAGAGTAGAAGAAACAATATCACGAGATGAGCTTATGAGTCTTATAAAAAGTTATGCAAGACAGATTTGTTTGTTACTAAATTCACAAGATTCATTAGACAAGTCATTGTAAGGACGTCTCTACAATATATGTACATTAAATATTATTAGAAGAAAAACATTTTTTATATAACTTCTCAGAAGAATTTCTGCTTCTGAACCACAAGAAAGGAGGAGGGAAATTGTAAGACTAGCCCATAAAACATAAGGAAAAATAAATTCATAAGCAATATCCTTGTTCATGACTATCAACTTGGTTTCAGTCTGCATGATAATACTTCTGCAAAATACTAAATGTATCAGAAGAAGTTTCTAGAGGAAGTAGTAAAATACATAAGCCTCACTCCAATTCTCATCTGTTTCTCTGGGAAAACCATTCAATAACGACAAAGCGTAGTACAAAACATTCACGAGTCAAGACATTTTGGTAACAACCGATGTTTAGTTACTAACAATTTTTTAGTGCTTTTTGCAAACTAGAAAGAGTTAAATAGAACAGGACAAGAGTGAGGAGTATTGTTCATTCTTGATGTAATGATAATGCTATTTAAGAAAGTTTTGCATAAATAAGCCATTACTTAAATCATTTTCCTAGTAACTTATTGTGTTCTATTTACATTCGGCAAAAAAAAAAAAAAAAAATACCATCTCAAATTTTCCAAAGTTTTTACTGGAGAAAAAATTTCAATGAATAAACCAAAAAAGAAAAACACTAACCTTTTTCTTCTCTTCTGGTCGTAATGTGATGACATCTTCATCTGTGACACAGCCAATATGTTGTGGAGGGGGTTCACTGGCAACCTCGGTCAGTTTTGACTCTTGTTTTCCTTTGTGCAGATCTAAAGATTTGTCTGAACTACTTACATCAGAACGATCATTGCAATTAGTAGAAGGTTTAATATCTTTCTTTTGCTCACTATCAATAAACTTTTGAGATTTGCTAAAGACATATTTTTTCTTCCAGAGAAGCCTCTGTACATCCTTGTCCAGATTATTCAAGTATCTCTTGTTTAAGGCTTCCTTCTGCTTTTCATACACTTCCATATTGACAAGATTTGTCAGGTTCTCTGAGAGATGATGTTTTGCAAACCTACAAGATAAGCTGTAAGGACATTTGCCATACTTTTCAAAGAGGTAGCATGTTGGACCAATGTCTTTGGGTTTGGAATCGAAGAAAGCCTTCAAGTCATGCAAAAACATGCACTTGTCACCAAACTTGCATTCTCGCTCCTGTGCAATACTTGCACAGAGTTTCTGGCTTGCCTCGGGTCTTTTCTCAAAAGGACGTTTTTTGTTTCTGCCCTTCAGCCGTAGTTTTTTTGCTGATGGCTGACTGTTGTTAGAATCACCATTTTGTTCTAGGAGTCGCTTCATAGCATCTTTGGTTTCTTGTGGAACATATTCAGAAACAATGCTAGGTTTGTAATCAACTAAGAGATATCTAGAGAAAAATAAAGAAAATTAATGACAAAATTGTTTGGTTTTAAAATTCATACTGATATCTTCAAAGCAGATTTGGAGAGTTAAAATTAAATTACTCCAAAGAAAGAAAAAAAAAAAGTTAAATATATTGTTCTGACATACAACTATATATTCAAATGATTAGAACTTCTAAATTTGTTATTTTGAAACTTTGCAACTATTCCATATCATTTCAGCCAAACATCTAATAATTCCAATTTCTAAAACTTAGAAAAGTTTAGGTTTTGTTAATTTTACATTGAAAAAATATGTCAGGAGTAGATAGGTTTGCCTATCATCCAGTTCTTACTCCTCCCTAGTCTTTTGAACAGGAGTAGAGGTTCATCCCTTGTTTCCCAGTTTAGAATTGGGTTCCCAGTTCCTTATAAAGTCTACTTTCAACTCTATACTCCTAACATCTCTGCTTGAAACCTGAAATTTTATTTGCTAATTAAATCTTGATGTCTAAGTCTAGAATTAGACATCTTTCCCGTTATCTAGCCCTTTCTTATACTTATATTACACCACATAGTAACCTTTTATCTTGAGTGGCTCTTGGGCCTTGTGTTGGGGGTGAACATTAGTATAAAAAAAAGCAGTAAAACTTATTTTCATATTATTACTACTCTAAGTATGATTTATGGAAATTCTCATGCATTTGAACAATTTCGGAATAGAATCAAATTATTCAGTTATCTTAATTTATCCTCGATGGAAGCCCGTTATTCTAAATTTTCAAAAGCTTCAGAAAAAATACTTTGTGTATGCAAGATTTCTTTTCTTCTTGCCATTTGTCACAGCTCTATAGTTTTTATTAAAAATTTTTTTATGCCTTTCCTAAAGACAAAGCAACACAAGATCATTGCAGGCAGCACATCGTTTCTGTCAAGCACTTCAAAGTCATAAAATAAAAATAAACCTATCCTGACTATTTTTCTGAGATTATCAATATTGAAACAAACAAATTAATACTACTTCTTACAAATTTTGTAAATTCAATATTGATGACCTACAATCATGTTCTAAGTTATTAAATTTGTCAGAGAGTTTGGTTTTTCTTACAACAGAGGTACTTCAGTAAATCAAAGAATTACATTTTGCTGTAGGTAAAAGAAATAAAAATATGATCAAGAATATAATTTCTTAAATTATTGGGACTCATCTTGCATTGACAATAATACTAAAAATGTTAAACAGCAGTGTCATTAGGCAAAAAAAATTAAATGATCAAAGTCAACTTACTGGGCTTTAATCTTGGCTTCACCCTTACGTTCATTTTGAGAGTTTGCATTCGCAGTTTCTGGAGATAAATCTTTGTTGAGGTCGGTTTCTTCTGTTGGAGCTTCTACAGCAATTTTTTCTACATCTGACCGACCATTGGAGGTAGTGTCACATTTAGTAGTTCCAGCCTGTAGGCTACTCTCAATTTCTGCAGAGTCTGCCATCAATCAAACTAAAAAAATATTAAATAAGATATCTTCAAGAACAACAGTGTCCTCGTGCCATAATTGTATTTTTTTTTAATGCAATAAATATTGTGTACTGTAGTGTAGAATGATCTCCATTTCATTTCCCCACGTTTCAAGACGCGCCTAAAGGTCACGAAAGTTTTGTTTTTTTAAATGCTTTCTTATAGAACTTAAAAAATACTTAGCACTTTTTTCATAAACGAAACTTATGAAACCGGAAAAAACTATTAAAAAAAAAAAAAAAAAAAAAAAAAATAAACGTAACAATTTCCTCACCAGCTGTCTAGAAAATATTTTTCGTTCAAAATATCTCAAAATAAATTTAACCTTAGTTAAAAAAAAAGTTCTTGGACGAAACTGATTTTTTTTAATGTGGCATTAACAGAGATATTTTTAAACTAAAAGCAGTTAAACTGAAAAAATAACTTTACTGAAGTTTGGCTAGCCAAAAGTTTTTAGTTATTTTTTTCTTTCAATAAACATTTGTTAATTATTTCAACGAAGCATTTAGGAATGTAAAGTCAGAAAAATATACCGAGTGTGGTCAGGAGCCGGTTTTTACATATTTTTTTTTTTTAGTTTTTTTGTCTTCTCTCAAAGCAGTAATGTAATGAGTAGACTAGCAACTTTTATTTTCATTGTAAATCTGGAAGAGGCTCATTGATAAAATTACTAACATTATGGTGAACAGAGACACCCTATTTGTAGGAACGTTTTTTTTTTTTTTGTTTTTTTTTCTTTCTAAAATATAGTATCTAAAATAAATACACTGTGTGAAAGAGAATAACAAAAACTGGACGTTATCAAATCATTTTTCTCTTTCTATTTGGTAACATCCAAAACATTCAAACAGTGATCAACTTTAAAAAGACTGTTGTTAAAGGATAGTTCAACTAAAAAAAGTTTTTGGGTTGTTACGAAAAAATCAAGAGTATGCTGCCGAAAGGTTTGAGAGATCTTTTCTGAATAAAAACTTATTTGAATTAGTTAATTAAATTTAAACAATATTACAGCTAATTTAGAGCATTTTAAAAAAATGTGTAAAAACGTAAAAGTTTTTAAAATCTCAAGCACTTCAGAATTAAAAAGTCGTGAATATAAAATCTACAATTTATAGCATTAAATGCCAACCATAATTATTATTATTATTGCTTTTTTTTTTAATAAAGTGAAATATCATTAAAAATAATTGGTTTCTATAAGAAAATTTTAATAGTAAAGCAAAAATTTCTTACCTTTTAAATGCTCTCTACGACAGCCTCGTTTCACTGTAAAAACGTGGGTATTGCTATTGCGATCAACGAATCTTGAGGTAATTAACGACAGTTTCTTACGTGTTCATATATTTCTTAAAATTAAATTTTGTCTTTATAACCAAGTTAAAAAACATAAAATAATGTAATTTTCACTTATTTAATCAAATTAAAATTATTTATATAAGCCTAAACAACACGGTGACAGGTACAATATGTCAACCATCATTATAAAGGCAAGTGAATCATCCGTACATTTACGAAATATTTCGTCATCTAAAGAAAATCAACAGAATGAGATTCTTTTTATGAAAAATACTTGCTTTTCGAATGAAGTACTGTACAAAAAAGTCGACGATGTGCATGAATAAATAAATTTCATTTTTCTCGTTTACTTTCTTTCTTTTTTTGTGAATTATTTTCTTTATATTCCATTTACACCGTTTCGATTTATTAGTTTCCTGAACATGATATTTACTTGGTCGGAAGAAAACCTGGCTGTTATTTAAATTACAATAACCAACTTAAAACCACACCGTCGTAGTTACAAACTCACTTAATAATCATGGGAGGAAATAAGAAAAATAAGAAAGGTATTTTTTAGTCATTTATTAAATAGTTGACGTTGTTTCCTTTAAAAAAATATGAATCTCTGCATTTTTTTTTGTTTGTGTTTGTAAAAAAAAAAACAACAAAAAAAAACTCATGTTGAATAATAAAGCTAAATATGCATCCAAGAATTAAAAATTTATTTATGATTTTGTCTTTGATTAATTATTAACTTAATTAGGAAGTTTGAAAAAAAAAGTTAATAGGAATGATGCCAGTGTGTGAAAATGTTGACGTAAGTCAAGGATAGGGCTCATCATCTCATTCCGTTTCTCTTGTCTGGCAAAGAAAGATAAGGGAAAAAAGTTTAGTTAATTTTTAAAAAATGTCAAAAATATCAATCACATTAATTTTTATTTTTCACCGATATCTGATTAGTGACATTTCATTTATTTCATTATTCTCCTCGTGGATAACATTTTTTTTTTCATTTTGTCCATATTTTACAAAAAATAACAGACTGATATTTAAGAAAAAGAAGGAAAATTATTTACATTATTCGGACTATTGTCCTCATCTTTGTCGCCGTATTTATCACAACGTTTCGGCCGTTGTACGCTCCGGCCTTCTTCAGGTGGTTGGAATGTCGAACTGAACCCTTTATTTCGCTCACTGGGGTAGACTGTTCTAGTTCCACGTGCCATGTTTCTACTAATTTAATTCTAATGTTTTTTTTAAAAAGAATTTAAAATTATTTTTGATTATTACTAAAGTTATAAAATAAAAATAGTCTTATTTCGGATGTACGACTTTTTAAATTAAAAAAAAAAGATCAGAGTATGAGGCGATCCTTAGGCAAGTTTTAAAAAAATAACTTAAGACTAAGAGAGTTAAAAAAAATTCAGTATTTGGTACGTTAAGAAGTTTGACAATACTCGCAAATTAATCCAGTGACTGAAACGAAAAAATAAGAAATACTTCATAGTTTTCTGTAACAAGAATAAGTAATTGATTGACTGATAAATGAGGAAAAAAAGTTTCGATTTTTGTTTTTCTCTTGTTTCAATCAATCAACTGATGAAATTTTTTTTCTTCAAATTTGCCACTCATACTTCAAATTTTTTGCATCAACATTTGGCAGATATTTTTTCAAAATGATTTCATTTTCTTTATTGTGCATTTTTGAATTGTTTAAAAAATCTATTTTAATTTTTAATAAAAATTTTTTCTTCATTCTTCAGAATTTTTTTTATTATTTAAAGCAGTTATTATGCTTGTTATGTCGGCACAACTTAGTTTTTCCTTTCCTAGCTAGAATTAGAGTGTGTGTAGATGTCTGACCTTTGGCTTTTTGAGAAATAGTAAGCAGGAAGGAATTGGAAAAAAAAGTGTGAAGGAGGTAAATAAAGAAAACTAGGTGATAGGGATGGAGATGAAAGTCTTACTAGCTGGACATCAAAGGTTAATGAACAAACAACTGAAAGGCAAATAGGTATAGAAAGGGGTATAAATTATCTTGAATTTTTTTTATGGAGAAATAGAGCAAAAAAGATAAGAGAGGATATATTATAAAATATGTTTATTCCTTTTTATGCATTTGAAACTAATCCATGAACGTTTAAATAAAAAAAACAATGAAGATTAAAATGAGTAAAGGAGAAAATGAGAAGACACAGACAAAGAATGAAAGAACAGAGGTATGATATAATTGATAATCTTATTGATTGATTGATTTTCTACAATTTATCAACCCTTTGCAGGTTATTTAAGGCTAGAAAATATTTTTAGACCATAATATTTCCCTTTTTTTTTTTTTTTTTTTTTTTTAGATAATGGTGGTTTTACAAAACTTACTAATTAACCCATAGCTGGGGGAAAGAGGTGGATTCATACCTTTCCCAATGATATCCGTGTGTAAGTGAATATAATGAATCCAACAAGAATTGAAACTCGTCTCTCCAATTAACAATTCTGAACCATTATCTATTACACTACTCTCACATCCAAGCTTACAGTACTTGGTATCCTATAGTCACCCATCTAGGTACTGACCAGGCTCAGTTTTGTTTAACTTTGATGATTGTATGGGAATCAGTTTTTCAATGTGATGTGACCATAAACTTGGATAATCTTAGTTGTATTGGAAGGGATAAGGGAGAGACTGAGAAGATACAGGCAAAGAGTAAGGCATGAGATAACAGATGATATTAGTTGTATTGGTAGGGATAAGGAAAAGAATAAGATACAAGCAAAAGGTGAGAGAAGAGCAGAAGTATGATATAATGGATTATCTTAGTCATCAATACTTGTGAAATTTTCATGGGTTCAACAAGTCTAAATAAAGTTAGTACACAGGGGTAGATTGTTCTAATTCCAAGTGCCATGTCTTTTTTGGCTATTTCAGTTAATTCCCTGTAGTAACTCAACTCTGTTCCCTCTGCTCTGGCCAGGTATTGAACTCACAACTCTTTGTGTCAAGTCACTTTTTGAATTGCATTCAATCAACACTTTTATCCATATGTCCTTGGAGACGTTAGTGAATGAATTGTTGGGACTTATAAACCTAATGTCCCAGTAATCATTTTTTTTATCAGAGCTCATATTGGAATGTTTTTTTTTATTGTTGTTTCTCTCTAGCTTTCTCTATTACTGCTTTTCATATTGTATTCATGTCTATGTTTGGCCAGCTTAGGAGATTTTTATAGCTTAGCATATGAGCTGATTCCTTAAATTTTTATATTTATCAATAAACTTCTCTGTCTATTATTACATCTTCATCCCTCAGAGGGCAGTGATCTCTCATTTCCCTCTATATATGGTCAGCCATGACTGATTTTTCTATTTCTCCTTGTGTTATGGACTTATGGTGTTCCTGTAGCCCTTATCTTAAGTGGGTGGATAGTTTCTCTTTTATATTTCTTGCCACAGCTGCGTGGGATGGCATACACAGTTGCAATCTGATAAATAAAGTTACATTATACAACTTTAAAACATGGATTGAAAACTGAAATGTTTTCTGAGATTAATATTTACATTATTTGGACTATTGTCCTTATCTTTGTTGCCATATTTATCACAATGTTTCGGCTGTTGTACGCTCCGGCCTTCTTCAGATGGTTGGAATGTCGAACTGAACCCTTTATTTTGTTCACTGGGGTAGACTGTTTTAGTTCCATGTGCCATGTCTAATAGATGTTAGTTATCAGTTATCTCCTGTTAGACAAAACTCATTTTTATAACATAATTGTCAAACAAAATAGTTTGTAATTAAAAAAAACCCCAAAAAACCTTAATTGATATAATTAGTTTATAATGTATTTTGCTGAAAAATCAAGAAAAACAATTTTCAGAAAATTTCTGGTAACATTTTTATTGCTCATTTATCATATCAGCTTCAAAATAAATTTGAAAGTAGAAAAATCTTCCATACTCAGAAATTGCTTGATATTTTTAGAAAAAGATTTTGTTTTTTCTGACAAGGACAAAATGCCAAAAAGAAGTGAGTCACTGAATTTCTTGGAATTTAAACATTTCCCTTGAAAACTGTTTTGATTTTTGCTTCTTTTTTTTTTTTGTACAATTTGTACAACTTATTGACTAAAGTAATGTGCATTTGGGAATCTCTTTTATTTTTTTTTTTTTCAGAGAAAGAAGATCGGAAAGCAGCAAAAAAAGCCCGCTATGAGGAATTAGACTTGGATGAAGATGATGATAACGAAGTAACTGGTAAATAACTAACAATTGATCTGTAATATTGTTATTTTGTGTAAGAGGAAAGAGTGGTAGCATGTAGAAATATAAGCAAAGTAGACACAAAAGCATAGACACTTCATAGGGACAAAATTGACACTAACTATTATTATTAAGTCTTGATTTCTGCATGTACACAACTTTTAGATATATTTAAAAAAATCAAAAATATTAATGAAATAAATTATAGCCAAAATGAATTTTTAAGGATTTTCTTTACTTTTTATTATATTGCTATATATATATATATATATATATATATATATATATATATATATATCTATAAACCCAACAATGTAGAAATGCTTTCATGTGACATGTTTCATCCTTTAGGACTTTATTGGACTAAATTGATGTATATGTTGATGCGACTACACATGTGCACAAAGGAAAGGGGTCACTGAGAATTTTAAATTTAATTTTTTTTTTCTCACCATCCACTTTTCCTTTTTTGCACATAGTGTCGCATACTAACTTTTTACTTTCCCTAAAATTGTTCTTGATATATAAATATATATATATATATATATATATATATATATATATAAATTAAAGTAATAAAATACAATAATGAAGGCCAACCAATATTGAATCAAGGAATGAATTAGTGGTCAAATGTTGACATAAAAACAAATTCAAATTTCCATAATGAGTTTATGAGCTACCCAAAATCACTCCCCAACTCCCATCCCCTCTAACTCTTCAAATGTCAACATAAAAAAATAAAAAAAACTAATTCTAATTCCCATAGTGGAATTTTACCTTATTTAGCTACCATATGTTACTCTTCTCCCCCTCTAAAACCATATATACTATAGTGATTATAATTTATAAACTAATTTTCCTTCTGTTAATCCCCTACATTTCTTTATCTATAAATTATTTTAAATTTTTTTTTGAGGGGGGGGGTCATTCTTAATTTCTTTAATTTTAAATTCAAGTTAAAAACTTGTGTTTTCTTCTAACCTCCATTTGTCGTCTTAAGTTTAATATTCTGGGCTTTCTTTAATAAAACCTCTTCCCTTTAAGATAGATTCGTATCACCCTCCTAGATCCATGCCTTGTGCCTAACATCTGACTGAAAGAATGAAAAGTGTAAACTCTGTAGTAGGTGTTTTCGGTAAGTTAAGGTTTAAGTTGACCCTTTAGCTTCCAATATCAATTCCTCACAGTTAACTCCTCTAACATTACAGACCTTTTAAGATTTAGGAGATTGTTATCTCCATGTGTCCATATGAAGAAGATGTCATCTATGTACCTGTGGTAGTGTAGGGGTGCCAGGTGGTATCTACTAAACATATTTTGCTCAAGGGCATCCATGAAGATATTAGCATAGCTGGGGGCTTAAAAATCACCTCAACACCTTCCACCACACCATCAAATTCACTATGGAATATTCCACCACTTCCATTCCGTTTCTGGACACAATGGTACATCTCAAAAACTCCACTACACTTTACACCAAGCCTACTGATGGTCACTGCTATCTCAATTTCAAAAGTTGCCACCCCACAAACCTAAAGAAATCTATAGTCTACAGCCAATGCTTACACATCAAACGCATCTATTCTCACAAGGAAGATTATGACTTACACATCAGATAACTCTACAATCACTTTCTAAATAGGAATTACCCACCCAAAATAATCAAAGAATCCATCACCAAAGCTTTCAAACCCAACAGGAACACTCTTCTCAACTATCTAACTAAAAAAAAGAATTCCAGAATACCCATGGTCTTTTATTTTAATCACTACATGCATAAACTTTCCCACGCATTAACGAAAGATTTACAACACATAAAATCAGAAAAGACTATCAGCAGTTTATTTAGTGATAACCCCCTACACGCGAGGCAACAGCCCCCCAACCTCTTCAGACTTTTAACATCATCAAAAATCTACAACACACCACCACACATTGGGAATGTCATCTGCAACAAACTCCTGTGCCTGGTCTACAAACACATCAACACTCAAAACACCTCCACACCTCCCTGCATTCATGTCGTATTTAGACCACCTGCTCTAAGTTGTGACAGCTCCAGTCTCAGGTGTGGGCTTTTAGCATCTGGATTCGACAGCTAGGAAAATAGACACAGGTCAGAGTTGAAATACATACTGAAAATAAACTCCTACATAAACGGGTTTACTCAAAGAGTATACCTTCTACAAGGAAAGCCATTACCCGCAACACCACTCCACGAATGAGTAGCCCCTCACCCCCATTTATAATCAAAATTTTAATAGACCTTTTCCTCCCTGCTATACTTTTCTGCTCTTACACCTAGGATTTCAAAATTTTATAAGCTAGTTAAGGTATATTCACACTTATCACACTTAAACACATAAAGCATCTATTTTTGTAGACACCTTTCCCCTTTTTCCTTCCTGTACTGTTATTACTACAATCATGTTTCTAACTGTTTATTTTTTTCTGCACCACCCATTTTCTGACTATAGTTTTCCAAAAGAATATTTATCAAAATATTTTATCCTTTTTTTGTGGTTCCTATCTTTTTTTCTCCCTTTCATTTTATTTTTATTACCTTCTTGCCTTCTCAATCTCTACCCATCTAGTGAAATCCATCAAGACTGGGATAAGGGTTGCCTTCCCCACCCCAAATCCTAAAAGCTTCTTCTCCTAGTTCAAAATCATACTCCCCCCCCCCCACCTTCCACACCGATAAAGACAAAACAGACTAATGCATACATCCCGATCATTTTCCCAAAAAATTTCACAGGCGAGGAATAAAGCAGGGATTGGATTTATACTAATACTACCATCCACAATGAATTTACACCAGCAAAAAAACCACTGTTGGTGAGACTTCCTTGTTTCTCTGTTTATTTCTCGCACTGCTGATGAAGGACACAGGTGTGCCTGAAAATTCCAGACTAATAACATTAATCTCCGTCATTCATTTCTGTGATTCACAATTAATATATAATAAATTCTTTTCGCCCTGATCACATTGGTACCTTTTCGTTTTCCCTTGTTTCATTAACCAACCTATCCATTTTAAATACTACAAGAAGCACACATGGACTCTCTCTCTCTCTCTCATCATATATATATATATATATATATATATATATATATATATATATATATTATAAAAGGCACAAACACTAATATTCCATGGTTATAATTTATTACATTGGAATCGTAATCACAATCAATTCATCAAACCTACAAACTTTTATATTATATTCTTGCTCTGTCCTGGGCATTGAGCTCTACCTGGATTCTATCCTCTTGGAAATTTATATATATATATATATATATATATATATATATATATATATATATATATATATATATATACATACACACACACACATGTATGTTTATGAAATGCTGCATCCTTAATTGGCTCTTGATTTTTTTTGTTTGGTAGTGGTGGTGTGGGGAATAGTGGAGGGGATTCCCCATTGCCTTCTCCATGGTGTGGAGTTCTGAGTTTTTTTTTTTCCTTCTTTTAGGCTGGTTGTCATCCATGGCTCAAGAACTTTCCTATAATCCTGATAAACTCAAACAAATCTTGTATGACATTCACAGATTAGATCTGGACAAAATATAACTTTAAAAATTATGACTTATTTAAAATTTCATTACTTTACTCATAAGGATTAATGACTTAACTGATTGAATTTATACATTAAAAAATCTCATCATTTTGAAGAATGATAAATTTTATGTTCAGAAATTATAACATTTTTAAATGACTCAGTAGTTTTTCATTATTTCTTCTTTTACTAATGTATTTATTATGATATTTCTTCTATTTTTTCTCACATTTTTTATAGACATACCAAATGTGGCCTCTGCAAAAGTAAATGAGAGTTCAAATGAAGATGAATTTGGTGCCAAAGACTATCGCAGAATTCTAGAACTGAAATTAGATCATGAATCTCGGCCTCTGTGGGTGGTAGGTATTTAATGAAGCATTTCTCTTAAAAACTTTTTAGCTTTTTGTTTGTCCAAATTCAAAGCTATTGGTTGTAAAATGTGAATGACAAAGGAACGCTTATCCATTTATGACAAAGATAAATGATGATGATTTGTTTATCAGTTGATTCATGGATTTGCTTTTTGAATATTTGGCACCAGTTTTTAAGGGGATAGTAGAACAACAAAATCCCAATACATGTAACCTATTTCAGGAAGTAGTCACAAAAAAAAATCAAAAGGAAAAAAATAATGTCCTTTTGATCAAGGGTCACTAAATCAAAATGATTAGTATTGATCTCATTGATATGCTGATTTTAATACATCAGATAACAGCCTATAAATTCTGTATTAATTTTAGGGGGGCAATTTTATGCTTCTTGTTGTTTATTATTATTTATACACTTTCAGTTAAAGTAGATGTCCACTAGATTTTTGTACTTAGCTCACTTCTGTTTCTCAGTGCTTGAAACTCTGTCCAAAGGTGTCCTGTCAGCTGTAGAATACTCCGACTGCACCCCTGCAGAGGGGTAAGACCTCCCCAATGGAGCCACCTGTTGGCCATGGGTGGCGACCTATAAGGCGCTAGGACAAAATCCTGGTGGTTGAGCAGTCATTGATCCAGTGACAGAATGGTCAATGGGTTGCAACACACCACTTTGGTCCTTATTTGGTCTGATGGGCGGTTGGATAGGCTTGATCCAATTAATCGGCTCGTCCTGTCATGCCCTAGCACATGTATCTTTTTTTCTCCCAAATGTACTATTCAATCTGCCCTTGCAGAACAACCCCACAACCCTTCTTCTTATATGTGTTAGAAGATGAGGCTGAGGGTCAATTAAGAGGAAAAAGAGTTTTTGACCCTGTTAGATTGTTGTGTAATAAAAACCAGAATTTGGCAGAAGCTCAAAATCTTGCTCTTGCTCATGAGTATACTGGTATTGTATCCCCATCTCAGCCAAGGCGAATAGGTTTCCTCCTTGGTTCATTCCTAACACAAATTGGACTCTGTGGTGGGTGGTGAAGCATAGGACCAATGAAAAATTATGGCTTCTTCCTTAAAAAAAAACAAAAAAAAAAACATAAAAAAACTTTGAAATGGTAACTTGCTAGTGGAAGTTGAAACAAAAAAACATGCAGAAAATTTACTCAAAATGGATAAATTTCACATCAAATGTAGAGCGTATCCATATGAAAAATTAAACACTTCAAAAAGATGTTTTAAGAAGCCGCAAACTTTTGTTAGCAACACAAGAAGAAATTGAAAGTGCATTAAAAAAATGGTGTAAAGGAATATCTATCCGAAGAAACAATGGTATTATAGAGACCCATATATTAATGTTTGAAAAACCTGTATTACCAAAAGAAATCAGGATTGGCTATACTATAGAAAGGGTAGAGCAATTTATACCAGCACCCCTGTGGTACTTCAAATATCAAAAATTTGAACACCATAAAAACATTTGCAGGGGGTGCCAAGTGTGTGGGAAGTGTCATGAATGTGATCCAAATCAAAGAGAATGAATGGAGTAATGTGAAATGCGCTAACTACCACAAAGAACACCCTGCCTTTTCAAGGGCCTGTGATATCTACAAGAGAGAAAAGGAAATAATGTATGTAAAGCACATGAAAAATATACCTTTCCTAGAACCAGAAAAATTGTTGAAAGCTATATGGGAACAAAAACTTATATTAATATAGTACAAAAGACAAATCAATAACCCCAGGACATTATAGATAAGTATAAAAAACTTATAGAAAAATTAATAAATTTGAATATAAATGAATGGCCACCATTCCAAGAAAATCTTAAAAGAATGTATTCAACAGAAGTAAAACAAACTGAATTTTGTATGAAAACAAAATTAAATAATGATACCAATGTAGAAATGCCCATAGAAAATTCCAAGATGACTGAATCCACAAATGAAAAGCGACAAAGATCACTGATCTGACCTCCAGATATTAACAAAGACATAATTGAAAATGAAATAAAAGATATTGCTATTAAAAAACAAAATGCTATTAAAAAAATTACACAACCCACCCCAATAAGCACATCAAACAAATTTGAGGAAAAGGAGATTGAAAATAAAACTCCACAAACAAGCAAACTTCAAAATAAAAAAAATCTCAAAAAATCTTACACAAAATCACAAGAGGTTGAGATGTCATAAAACAACCAACCAACTCACAAATCTCAAAATTAAATTTAAATGAACAATATAATCCAATGGAATATCAGAGGATCAAGTGTCAATTATTTTGAATTGTTGCTTCTTATAAATAAATACTGCCCAGCAATCATATGCCTTCAAGAGACTCACCTCAAAAGCAATAATACCATCAATATTAAAAATCATCACTCATACTAAACATCACACCGATAGACCTTGTGGTGGATCATCAGTAATAATTAGTAATATCCTACACAGCGAAATCATACTAGATACAAATCTGGAAGCAGTTGGTATATCAACAACCCTCCACAAAACAATAACAGTGTGTTCATTATACATTCCTTCAAGTGAACAACTCAAAGAATCGGAGCTAAATAATTTGATAGAACAATTACCAAGACCCTTCATTATAATGGGAGACCTCAATAGCCACAATAAAATATGGGAAAGTAAGAAGACAGATAAAAAGGGCAAAATAATTGTCACTATTAAATAAACATCAGTTGTGCATGTACAATAATAGATCAAACATAGGTACCTCCACGAGATCGCTAAAAAAAGAGCATAGCATGATGAAAAAGACACCAAACTTGACGAAAACAAAATTTTATCATCTAAATGTTTGTTATTATTAAGAGGAAAGGTCAAAGTATTTTTGGGGTATTTTTTTCCATTTTTTAATCGTTCCTAGCACGTCTGAAATTTTCGTTAAAAATCTAGTTTTTTTTGAGTCAGCAAAATTGACCATTTTTTTCCATTTTAAAGAAAACTGGAAATCTGAGTTTGAAATTTTTTTAAATATCAATTATCATTTTTTCAAAACTTATTTTAAGAAAATCAGAAATTATAATGTTTATTTAAAATGTTTTGAACCAAACTTAACTTAGCTTTTGTGCCAAAAAGATGTAATTTGAAAATAAACAAAGCAGGTAATAAACTTTCGCGTCTCTTGACATGTAATGAATGATATATTTACGAATTCCATGAGGCTAATTTGTTCTACGGAAGGAGAAAAGTGAAATAATTTACATTTACGTGAACAAATTATTTACCCCGTTATTTTTAACAAAAACTTTCAGCGGTCTAATTTTTTTTTTTTTTTATACTTAGCTTTCACCTTTACGTTTATGATGCTTTATGGGAAATATATTCTAAAGAAATTAAAATAAAACTGTTAAGAGTGACATTAAATTTCATATTTCTTAAGAAAGGTATCTAATTAATTCATAGGTACCTTTCTTATGAAATTTTATCAGAATTGTACATAAAATACTATAATTTTATGTACATTTATTACATTCTACTGTTATTTGTATTTGCATTCATTTTATTATTAATTTTGATATTTCATTTATGGAAAAATGTCGTAACTGAGATTAATATAAAAATAAGATCATATAAATTTCATAAGATGATACTGATACTTGTAGGTACCCTTCTCAGTTGAAATTGAAAAATCAAATTAACTTCTCCACACATGTTTCGCAAAAGTAAAGGCCTTAACAGCGGAGAACAATGCTTAACTCAAATAATGCAACTTAATTATATTCTGGTTGGTCTTCCGTATTTTATAATTACAGCTCGATTATAAGCACAAAATTACATTTCTTAATTACTGGGTATCTTCTGATTAGTCAAAATGATACAATTTACAACGCGCTAAAAAAGATCTATCTCATAAGGACACTTATGAAAGCCAATCTCTGACTTTTAACTAATTTTATAATATTTTAACAACTTAAATGTAAAATCTATTATAATTAATGAAATAACAAATAATTGTATTAAAAATTCATTTTTCATCAAAAAAATTTTTTGCTTTCAGAAAATATTGTCCATATTCATAAAACAACTAAAAGCAAATAAAAGCATTTGAAATTAAATAATATATTTGTTTTATTGAGTTTTGTATGTTACAATTCAGAGCTGATTTTCAGGTACTGCGTATCCAATTAAAAAACAAAAAAATATGATTTGCATTCCTCAAAGCCCTGTGCTTTTAATTATTGTAATCACTAAAACCGATGCGATCGAATTTCTAGCGTTTTCATAAAATTAGTTATGGGGGGTAATAAATATTTAAAAACAATATTTCTACCATGACTTTCATAAAAAAAACATATTTATAATAATTTCGATCATCTGTGAATAGTTTCTGAAAGTTTCATTAACATCCGATAATTATTTCTTTTGCACGATTTTTCAAATTAATGTGTGTCATACCAAAAAAACGTGCTAAAAATTGTCTATGTTATTTACTAGTTTCCGCTGATACAAATAGAAAAAAAAGGTTTTTTTAATCAAAATTTAGAATGTTCTAAAAGAAGGAAAATTTTTTAAAATAATTAAAAAAAAAAACTTTGGTCTTTCCTCTTAATAATAACATAAGCATTTAGACAATAAAATTTAGTTTTCGGCAAGTTTGGCGTCTTTTTCATCAAGCTATGCTCTTTTTTTAGCGATTTCGTGGAGTTACCTAATCAAACACATATCTGCATCTAGCAACAGACACATAATCTGCTATGGATCTATCAATATGTGACCCTAACCTGTTTTTAGATTATGACTGGAAAGTACATGATGACACATGTGGAAGTGACCACTTTTCGATTCTATTGGAAAACAAGACGAATATATTAAATAGAAGAACTCTGAGTTGGAATCTGAAAAAGGTTAATTGGGATGGATTTAAAACATCATTCCTTACTGAACTAACCCCAGAAGCCAATAAAAAAAGACATTCTATACTTTACCAACTGTTAAATACAGCTGAAAGACATATACCAAAAAGCTCCACCTCTTCAAATACAATAGGCCATGGTTCAATGAGGAATGCCAAAAAGCTATGGGACTATGCAGAGCTTCATTAAAGAAATTTAAAATAAATCCAACAAAAGAAAACTTAAACACTTATAAAATAGCAGAGCCAAAGGATGAAAAAATCATCAAAGACTCCAAATGAAATACATGGCAAAATTAAGTTGCCAAAATAAATAACATAAAACACCAAAAAATATGGGAGATGATTTGAAAAATAACTGGTAAAAATAGCTATACTCCCACCAAACATCTTATTCACAATAATCAGAAGATTACTGACAAGAAAGATATAGCAAATCATCTATCTGAAACTCGCAAAATTTATCCACCAAAAACCAAAGCAAAAATTTTCAAATTATCAAAACAAAAGCAGAAAAAGAAAAAATCAAATTTCAAAACAAAAATACTGAAAGCTCCAACCAACCTTTCTCTACAACAGAACTAAAGGAATCCCTCAACAAGGCCCACAATACTGCAGTTGGACCAGATAAAATTCACTATTAATTCTTAAAAGAACTACCTGAAACCTCAATAAATTACCTCCTACAAATCTACAATAATATATGGATAAGTAGTGACATCCCTAAAATATGGAAACAAACCACAGTTATACCGATACCAAAACCTTTAAAAGATAATACAAATGCAAAAAACTACAGACCCATTACTCTTAGCAGTTGTGTATGCAAAACACTAGAGAGAATGATCAATGAAAGATTGATTTGGTACCTTGAAAGCAATAAATTGATAATGGAATATCAGTCTGGTTTTAGAAGCTAAAGAAGCCCTATAGATCATCCGATCTGATTGGAAACATTTATCAGAGAGGCTTCTATTAAAAAAGAACATCTAGTGGTAGTTTTTTTCAATCTTGAAAAGGCTTATGACACAACATGGAAGTACGGCATAGTAAGAGACCTTAAAAACCTTGGTCTAGAAGATAGAATGCCTATATTTAGAAAAAACTTCCTACAAGATAGAAGATTTAACGTTAGGATGGGAAATATCTTCTGTGAAGAAAAAGAACAAGAAATGGGTGTACCTCAAGGAAGTGTATTGTCTGTCATACTATTTAGTATCAAGATAAATGATATTGTATAAAACATAAATAATGGAACAGGCTGTGCTTTGTTTGTGGATGACTTCCTGATATGTTATAGAGCAAAAAACATGAACCATATAGAAAGACAACTCCAAATCTGCCTCAATAAACTCAATAAATGGACGACAGAGAATGGACTAAGATTCTCAAAAGAAAAAAACGAAATGTGTCCACCTTGATCCAGTACTGAAATTCGACCATGCCAAAATCCCAATTGTAGATGAATACAAATACCTAGGAGTCATTTTTGACCACAAACTCTCCTTTATTACCTATTTTAAATACTTGAGAACAAAATGTAATAAAACAATGCAATTACTCAGAACCATAGCACACACTGATTAGGGAGGAAGCAAAGAAACATTATTGAAATTGTATTGCTCTCTAATCAAATCAAAACTTGATTATGGCTACTTTATATATGGAACAGCCAGAAAAAACATACTTGAAAGAACTAAATACCATACACCACCAATCTTATTTGAAAGATTGCAAATTCATTCAGTTAACCCGATAGATAATAAAACACAAAGTAGGCAGGTGTTGATAACAATTGTTTACAAAAGGCATTTGATATCTTGGCAATATTTGTTTCTCTCTTCATTCTTAATGTAAGTCAATGTTTTTTATTTTCATGGTTTATTAATATATAAAAATATAATAAAGTCATATCAAACAGAAAATATGACAGATTAATTAACACCTTAAAATCTATTACCTAGTATGTTGTGTTAGCACCTTTCCCAGAAAATTCAAAAATATATTTTGAAATGGATATTAGAAGAAACATGCAATGGCTAAACATCCAATTCATTTCTATTCTTTAATATCACGAAAAATTAAATATTTTAGTGAAATATATGTACGACATTGAAATTTTAATGGAAAATATGGTTCAACTATAAAAAAAATTTACATGGGGATGGCTGTACTATGGCAGGTTTCTTCAATATTCCAGCTAATTTAACTAATGTTAAAATCTGAATGGTCTTGAATATTCAAATTCTTGTAATCTCCTTAGAAATAGTTTCAACAGTATTGTAAGTATTCTGATAATAATCAAGTATGCTACTATCATCCAATTTTTCAATCTTTTGATTTCACTCTGTGAATTAGAAAGACTTATCATATATGTTTTTTTTTCTGTTTTTTAATTGGTATTACACAATGTGAGGCAGTGAAGCTACTAAAACACAAGGGGTTAGAGGGTTTGAAAGAATTAGAAAAATAAACATTAATAATGAACCGGAAGAGTAATCAGGAGGACAGTAGCTAGGGATTGACATTGCATTTAAGTAACGAGGAAAAGAAATATGGCCGCTATCGAAGATACAATTTATGCACACCAATCTCGTCCAAAACGAGATATTTGCATACATGCAAATTTCTGCCATATCAGACAGGCATAAAAAGTGAGATGCCAGCAGCACGACTCAGAAGCGGCGGACTTCATGCAATCGAGTTGGTCATATGAATTGACTGACGGACAAAGAGGAAGTCGAAGTAGGCATGGCTGAGTTGGTGTCTGTTTCACGACTGCCCAGTGTAACAGCCGAGAAAGGGAGTCTCGCAATCCATTTCCTTGAGGCGACTGACTACGAAGGAAGAACAGCTAGTCTGCCAGCAAATGGTGCACTGCACTTTCTGACCCCCACCTCTTGTCACTTTCTTCTTTTTGTTTACTACACAACCCCCTATTTTTTGCATAATAAACTAATCCTAAAAATTTGTACCTTACACTATTATATATAACTTGAAAATTATTCAGCATTGTTGTCTTAAAATTCCTTTAATATTTTTCATTGTCATTTCTATGATTTTTCTTTTCAGGCTCCCAATGGACACATATTTTTGGAATCATTCAGTCCTGTTTACAAACATGCACATGATTTTCTTATTGCAATTTCTGAGGTCAGTTTTTTTTCACTTTTCAAGACGGAAAATCTTCATCCAATAAATTTGAATCAGCAAAAATTGTAAAATATATAAAACATTGATTCCATCAAAATTTCTGTCTGATTTTTAAGAAGAGGACTCTTTTGTATTTAGTTACTCATTTTTGGTTGTTTTTTATTCTGTCGCTATTTCTATGGCAAATGTTCAGACAAGCTATATTCCTCAGTTTCACCAGTTCAAACTTTCACAGCTGTGACCTGCCATGCTATGTACATGATTTCAACACCTCCATTCTCTTTATATTTCATTGGTAAGGAGGAAGTTCCAATCAGATAGTTTCTTCTCCAGAACTGTTGCTTTGTGAAGATCTTCCCTGATCACTACAATCTTAATCTCTTCATCTAGGGTCAATTATTATTTATTCTAAATATCATCATAATATATATCTCTTCACACACACACACACACACACACACACACACACACAACAAAATCTCATTCAGTAACCCTCCACTTTGAGTGCCCCCACTCTTTTATTCTGTCTGCCATATTTGTTGTCCATCTGACCAAATTGGACATTTGGAATTTTGGGATGAAACATTCTCCATATTGCTCACTTTATTTGATCTTTTTACTTTTCACAACAACACTATTTACTTCAGCTGTTAAAAAATCTCAACCCAAAGTGTTTTGATAAAAGGTAATTATATAAAAAAAAAGAAAAAGAAAACTAGTAATAAAATGATGCTAATATTGAAGTGTGTATTGATCCAAACTGTTGCAATAAAAAACAACCATAAGATAATAGTAATAATGAAGAATGTATCAACTCAAAATATTATGATAAAAAACAACAATAATAAAATGGAGTGTTGTGGAGATAAATGCACATCTCCAGAAGATGACTTCAACCCATCCAAATACATAAAGATTGACACCGGGAAGCATCAGTATAAAGGAGTAAACAAGTAGAGAGTTAGTGATCTAGCTTATCTGCTTATTACCTATTTCAACAAGAGTACATTGACTCCAAGCAGCATACAATTGCTTTGTTGTGTTATCTTCATTCATTATAATGAAGATATCACAAAAACTAATGACAAAAGACATGGTTTCCATGAGTTCTGGAAAATCACGAACAAGATTCTTATCAAACATAAATTACCTCTGCCTACAATTATTTATGGCCATCATGTTATTTCATCCTCATTTGACAAGCCTAAAAACTGAAATTTCTTTAATGTATTGAAGTTTAATCTTTCAGCAGACACTATTATATGTGCAAAACAATTTTAATGAATGATTTCCTTCTTTTAAGTACCATTCCAATGTAATTAGTATGTTCTTTTAGTTAGAATGTTATTTTCTAAAATATATGGCAAAAAAAAACATCTGTTTCTGTAAAACAATGTTGTAACATAGCCAATGGTATAAAATTGGAAATATTAAAAATAAATATATTTATTCAGTTATTTCCTATCAACATCTTAATTTTTATTTAATCTGAATATGAGTATATGCTTCTTCTTTGATGTGTCATGCAGGACTTTGGTGATAATGACTCTCCACAATTTCCTGTTCTTTGTTTCTCTTAGTAAAGTGTTGTGGAGGTGAACACACTTCTCCAGAAGAGTACTTGGACTTATCCAAATATATAAATATGGATGCCAAGAATTGTCAGTAGAAGGAGTAAGCAAGTAGAGAGTTAGTGACCTAGCTTATCTGCTTACTATGTATTTCAGCTAGGCTATGTTGACTCCAAGCGATATACTACTTCTTGATTGTGCTATCTTCATTCAATGCAATGAAGATATAACATGGAGTAAAATTAATAATAAATAACAGATCTCTATTCTGTCTTTTCATTGGATTTCTATTCATGTTTAATTTAAATCTTATATTATTGTTACATTCTTAAATAAATTCGATGATGAATTAAAATTCATTAGGAAGTCTTGATAACATTAGAAATTATTTCCATTATGTAATTTCTGTACAACCTTGCTCATATATTTATGATATTTATTTCAAAGCATTAAGAAATTTGTCAAAGAATTTATCCAAAATTTTTTTTATAGCCTGTATGTCGTCCTGAAAACATCCATGAATACAAATTAACAGCTTATTCATTATATGCTGCTGTGTCTGTGGGTCTGCAGACAGCTGACATTATTGAATATCTGCGGCGTCTCAGTAAGACAACATTACCTGAAGGCATCATAGAATTCATCAAGGTGAGAAATTATTCTCTTTTTGGAGATCTTTTTCCATCCCTGTCTCTTGGGTAAGATAATTATTTTTTTTTAATATTTTTACTTGTTGGAGTTGCCGTAATTCCATGGTACATGTTTGTTATTTATAAATAATTAATAGATTAAAATAATACAGAAATAAAAGAAAAAAAAACACTTTCACAGTTTTATATGCTGTTTATATATTTATTAAGACACAGTGATCTCATGATCATGTGAATAAAAAAAATCTAATTCCCATGATTTCATAGAACAAAGGAAATCATCCTACTGGTGGGAAATTTAGCACATTTCCTCTTTTCAGTCAGCAAGGAAAGCACGTGGAATTGAACAGCTCCAGACATGAAGACCACAGATAAGTCAACTTACCCAAATATCACTTTTTCTTAAATATCGCCTTTACTGATAGACTTATTACTTTTTTACTCCGTTGACCATGTACAACAGAATCCTTCAGATAACATATTATAAATGTATCACTTTGTTGTTGCGATGAATATATGCTGTATTGTATTAACTAAAACAGGAGTTAAGAAAGGTTAATGTTTAATTCAATTCATTTAACATTTTGCAGTGATCTGTGTTTTAGAATAAAATCAAGGTAAAGTTATTAGTGGCTAAATACTTTCTGTGATAGGTCTATTTCCAACAATATAGGATGCACCAGGTAATTGAGAACAAATTATAATAAGCAAAAATATTCAAAGAAAAATCAGATTATTTTTTAAAGAATCTGTAGACATGTTCAACTTAGAGCTATTCAACAAAACTGCCCTCACCCAAGGCTAGGAAGGAAACCCTCATCAATACTGGAAAGAGTGATAACAGTCAGTTTTAACTTTTCAAATTGTTTTTATAGAAATGTTTTATAAATTTCAACTGAAAACAGCACTGTTTGCTTGGTCAATGAATGCTGAATATTACCATTAGCATTTAACAACATTCAAGTCCTGAACTTTCATAGAGAGATGTAAACAAACTTGTCATATACTCTTCTGTAATTTCTACAATTAGAAACTAATCTTTAACTTTCTTTACCTACTTAGTAAGCAGTAGCAATGTAAATTGTTCAGATTGGGTATCAAAACAAGTATAACAGGGATAAGGCATAAGAATGTATTTAAAACAAATAAATCAACAAGCTTTATTTTGGTAAGAGAAGACATCAGTAAAATAAATGTACAAATATTTATAAACTTTTTTGATATCAACTGGAGAGTTAAAATAAATTTTCTTTAAATGAATATATATTTGAATTATAAATACCTTTTAAGAGCAATTTCCAAATAATTGGACTTGACTTAAATCTCAGCAAACTACCATTTTCATAAGTAGATTGACTCCTTTATATTATATTTGCATGCTTATAAGATGTTTCTTTTTTTCTAAAGGAGTTAAAATGGGACTATCCAATTCACTGGTATTATGAACAGGAAACCAATCACCATAGTTTTTTTATCATTCCACCCCAGGCAAGGGGTGATAAAAGCCACTGTAATTATAAGGTTAGGGGTTTTCATTTGATGTTGATGTTGTGCATTGATGAACAAAAACTAAAAGTGTTGAATTGGTTGAGAAAACGGACAAAGAAATGGGTGAAACAAAATGAGAAATTGATCATTTTAAAGTTAATAACAAAAGAAATAGATGTATATTATGTTGGATTCATCTTTTTATGGACTAAAGCTGAAATTTATTTTTAGTTTTTTGGATTTTTTTTTTTTACATTTTCTTTGAATTGTTTTTATTTCTTGTTTTGTTTTTTGCATTTTCTTTGTATTAATTTGTTTTTTGTTTTGTTTTTCTGAGTATTTTTTAAGATTTTAATTTTGTTTAATGAAAATAAGAATGGAAGAATGAAAATCTTATAAAATTCTTTATAAGCAGAAATATTTATAAAAAGAACTTGTTTTCTTTCAACAACTCATTTAAATGTCTACTGAGTTTTAAAATGAAAAAAACAAAATTTACTGAATTTTCAAAGAACATTTGAGCCTATTAATAATCCAAGATAATTGACCTAGAAAGGTAATTTTTTCTTGAACCTTAGTCACTGTTTCAAATTTATTAGAGTGAATTGATTGAATTTGTCTCAAAGAAAGGGATGTTACATTATTATTGTATTTTATTTAACAACTAGTTATAAAATTATGAAAGCAATGAAGTGTAAGTAGAGAAAACAATGTAAACATATTCATACTTTGTATGCAAAATACATCAGAATATTAAGCTGATATTTTATTATTTTCCTATGTATTGCAAAATTTATCTTATGACTTTATTGTCATATTTCTTCGATAAATGCGCAAAGAGGTCAAAATATTTGAATTTTCTCATCAACATTTTCTTGTTTTATCACACTTTTAAAAGGTTTAATTTATTACAAACACTTTATAATCTTTATTCTCATCATCCCCAAGCCATGGATACAGTGCATATTGAAGCAGTTCTTGCACTGATTAATAGATGTGGAACCGGCATAGCCTCTGATTTCTTTCACTGTTGTTGATCATACCCAAATTTAAAACAATGGTGAATGTAAAAAAGAATGTTATATTCAAAAATCAAGAAAAAATGTTTTAGAAGCTGAGAATAAAACAAAACTCTTCGCCAAATTCTCTTAAATATACAAATTTATTTTTTTTCTCCTGTTGATTGGTAGTACTTTGTTAACTTTTTTTTCTATATGCATCTTCATTTAAAAAATAATTTTGCTCTTTGCAGTTATGTACAGTCAGTTATGGCAAAGTGAAATTGGTATTAAAACAAAATCGTTATTTTGTTGAGAGTCTAACTCCTGTGAGTATAATTATTTTAAAATGAATACTCTTTATTTTGACTTCTTTCTTTGACAAAATGTATTCTCTTGTTCCTTTGTTTTTTTTTGGCTATTTTTTTTTTATCTAGTTTTATTTACCTACTTCATTTTTATTGTGACTAAAAAGTCACAATATTTAAGCCTTTTTTTTTTTTTTCAGCTGTTAAATGAATAGCATTAGTCTGGGTTGAAGATTCCAAGATGAAGTATTTTCATGATTTAATATTGATTGATTTACTCATTGATATACTCACTGGGGCATGCATGCATATATATATATATATATATATATATATATATATAGAGAGAGAGAGAGAGAGCGGGGGGAGTAGCACTGTGTTAGTTATGGCACCAGTGTATAACTGTATAACACTGCGGGGTGTGCTGGCCCCCTGCACTACATGACAAGCTATTCCCTGTCCCATGTTGTGTTTGTTTTGATCACAAGGCAGGTAAGGATCAAATTGTCACCAGATATCACTGGATTGTTTTTGTTCAGGTGGGACGATGTTATAAGACAAAAAAGAAAATTGTGTAAATTAACAAGGTTTATATAACTGAGGTTTAATCAGGAACACTTTTTTGTATAAGAATCTACAAGCATGCAGGCTCACGACCATTCTCTTGTAGTTTAATTTTGTGACATTTTGTTCTTCATTTCCAAGTCAGAGTTGAGGTTTCAAACTTTAAGTCAAAGACTTCAAGTAGCAAATTATGGAATTTTGACAATGCATTCGTCTCCCGCTTTCTCTCTCTGTCATTATATAGAGACTTTCAATTTTTCCACTTTGCAAGTTCATCAGGGCACTCTGCTCAATTTATCTAATAGTCTGGAACAAGGCATGAATTAGGAATCCTTTGTGGCAGCAAATAACATTGCATAAAGGAAATGCCTGTGCCTCAGCTGCTGCCCTCTCTTCTCTTCTCTCTATGGCTATTTATGGAGTCCAACCTTCAAAAACTGGGTTGGCTTGTTTTGGGAAGCCTTCAAATCTCCTGTCACCCAATCAAATCTCTCCACAGGTACTGCTAGGTGGCCCTTGTATCTCCAAATATGGGAAGCTCCCCCTGCAAGCAGGTGGTGGTAGCAACATGTCGATCCGCCATCTTGTTCTCTCCACTTCTCTTGCTTGTACCTCACAGCAGTACCTTTCCATGGACGTATCCATTTTGCTCCCATTTCCTCATATCAGCTCCCCATGCTGCCACCATCCAGGGAATAGGTATTCCATAATGAACACCTGGCATAAAACAGATGTTATTTCTAATGTCACTATAAAATTATTATCTGTTCTCTAGGGTGGTTTCTTAGTCTCTTAGCACCCTTCCCCACACACCGTTCATTGGTCCTAGCTAGCAAAACAAAATAAGGAGATGTCACATCTAATTAGTGCTGGACAATTGAACTTTGCCCAAGTGGATCTCAGCACTATCTTCTAGCAAGGTCCTTATTCACAAAATGAGAAACAAAATAAATGTATATTTTGTCTTGTCTTCAGTATGTCCTTCAATCTATCTACTATCTTCTTTGCCTTCATCTTCATGTTCACTTTTGATTTAATTTAAGCCTTTTTTTTTTTCTTCAAATTATCAGCATTTTTACAATGTCACAACTATACTATGTGTGATGAGGCAGCACTGTCTATCTCAGGAACAATCAATAAAATCATCAGTCTGCCAAGATTGAGATCTCTTTCTAGTTTTTTTCCATTCACTATTGCGTCCTGTATCTCAGCCAGCATAAAGGGAAAAGGTGTGAAAGCAGGGTCACAAAGAGAAGAGTGAGTGTCAAAAAAAAGAAAAAAAGAAATCCAAGGAACAAAAACAGCAACATTTTTGTTTCTGTTTATCTTGGTGTTCTGATTTATTCAGTGTTTACATTATTTACAGTGTGCACATTGTTGTCCTCTTCATATTGATGACGTTTCAGCTGTTATACGCTCTGGCCTTCAAGTGACTGGAATCTCGAACTGAACCCTATATTTCATCCACTGGGGTAGATTTTTCTATTTCCATGCTTCTTCTAGATGTCTTTAAATCAACTCTCCAAATATTTGTTCCCTCAGAACTTTTTGCTTCAAGTTACTTTTATCCACTGGGCCATGTGTCCTTAGAGACATCAGTGTATGAATTTTGGGGATTTATAAACTTAATCTCTCAGTAATAATTTTTTTTTACCAGAGCTCATATTGCAATTTTTGTTGTTATTATTGCTTTTCTCTAGCATTCTGTATTACTGGTTTTCATATGGTATTCATTTCTAGGCTTGGCTGGCTTAGAAGATTTTTGTGGCCTAGCATATGTGCTGATTCCTTAAGTTTTTGTATCAACTCCAGTGGACAAAATAAACGGTTCAGTTCAAAATTCCAATCACCTGAAGAAGGCATGAGCGCACAACAGATCAAACATTGTGAATATGCCAATAAAGATGAGGACAACAGTCTGAATAATGTAAATAATTACAATACCTCATCTCAGAAATATAGACAGTTATTCAATGTCATCTTACAGTTGGGCTAATTCACAGAAAAGAACAGAAGTAGAAGATGCTGGAGAGGATGAGCTCTTGTTTGGTACTATGCATATGTTAACATTTCAAAAAGCTTAGGAAGGAAATACCCCCCCCCCATCAATGCTGGAAAGAGTGATAACAGCTACTGGACTTAAGAAACCTATTTCTCTGAAAAATTGTTTCAAGAGAAAGATTTTATAAATTTTGAACTGAAAGCAGTACCAGCTGCTCAGTCAATGAATGCTGATTGTTTCCTTATGGTGAAGTATGGTTAGTATTACCATTACGAGATTGGTCGATAGTAGATTGTTATTATCTTACAGGCTTCAGTGCTGCCCATATCAGTGGCCTGATATGGTAGTCATGAAGCAGTTTTATCTAGGATTTTATAGTGGAAAGAACTTGTAGGTTAAGTGACAATGACAAAATTCTCAATAAACAATAAAAAAAAAAAGGAAGAAAAACAAAATAATACTAAACAAGCAAGTCAAAACTAGTCAAAGCAACAGTAAGAAGGCAAAAAGAATGGTGTTCATATGCAAAATGGATACAGTGAAGTGGTTGTAGCATTCTGACTTCAAGACAAGAAAGAACAAAAATATGAAGGATGAGACCAAAGATTGTCCATTTTTGTTGGTTCGGAAGAAATCACAGCATGCATCTGTAGGATTTGACTATAAATTTGGGGAGGAGGATGTGCTTAGAAGTCATTCTGACAAGATTGGAAACAACTCTGTACCATTTGCCCAGTTAGGTGGGCAATTAACACTGAACTCTACTTGAATCTGGTCATTCTTTCTCAACACACCTCCTTGCAAACATGTACTCCAGTCAGAACACTGCTTGTCAAAAAGGTGTCCATCATTTGCAAACTTGAGGTCTGGGAATCAGGATCTCCAATGACTTTTTTATGTAAGCCAGTCACTGACAATACTACTCTCAGCTTATAACTGAGAGCTCTTCAGCAAATAACCCAGCCATCTTAAAATCTGCTTATAACAGATACATCAGGAGGCACTTGTATCACTCAGGTGTGAATAGTCATCTTTACTTTGAACAAATTTTTTTCTGACTTGATGAAATTAACCAGGTTTTTCTACTTGTTTAAAATTTGTATATATTTTTTTCTAAGAACAAGTTTCTGATAATTATAAATTTGTAACCAAACAATTTCTAATTTTTCTACTTTACTTTGTCTGATGTCTTGATGTAGGTTTTTTTCTTAATTTATTAAAACTCTTAGTATGGTGTATTTTGAATATAATTTTAGGATGTCATTCAGATCTTACTTAAAGACCCTGTCATTCAAGAATGCCGTCTGAGAGAAGAAGTAGAAGATCCTGCTATGCAAATGCTAGACAGTGAAACTCCAATTCCAAACACACAGGTAAGAATAGAGTGTAACGGTTTTGATTTTACTTATCTTGATTTCTTAATTTTCAAGTTCACACTGTGTAAATTAAGAAGAATTGTTTGAAATTCTGAAATAGTGTTGATTTCTAGTCAATGAATTTCAGACTAGTATCCCTGTCTTTGTTGTTTTTGATGATTCAGTCCTCTTTTACTCATTGATAATTCATTAGGGGACAATTAGGAAAGCGACTTGTTTGTGAAAAGATGAACATAACTGCAAATGTGGGAATATGGGACAAAAGGCTTGTAAAAGGAAAGGTCATATATTCTATCCCAAAGGAGAACACTGGATTTGAGATCAAAAAGAAATATTTGTAATAATATACCAGCCATGATAGATTTCTTTGAAATCTCTCTAAAAATAACCATATATAATAGACACCTGAAGGTTGAAAATGTGATCAAAACAACAAAAATAAGGATACTGGTTAGGATGATATATAGAACAAGAAGAAATGTAGTTTTTCTCCCAAAGATTAAATTTTGTTCTGACCCTTTTTATCTCCCTTGGAACCTAATATTAGTTGAGATCTTCTAACACTATCTGAAATATGTCAATTGTTGGGTACTGTGGGTTAATTTTTACTTTATCTATTCACGTGTAGATATTTATCCAAAACAAAAACATTCTTGTCTTACTTTTGATAGTACAGGTCTGCAATCTTTTATTCTGAAAACTGAAAATCTCCCAAAACCAGAAGCTTTTCATGGAGGTACCAAAATGTGATCTGATACAATCTATGCTAAGCAGCCCACAGTTGTGTCTTAAGAATCCATTCAGTCAGACATGCCTTTGTTCCTTGCTAATGTTTTTTTTTTTTTATTCTTTGGTGTTTTATGCTGAAGATGATGATAGTTATGACAATAACGATTTTGCTTAGAAATACAAGTTCACTAATTATTTTATGTTCACTTTTTATCCATTTCATTTGCCCCTTTATTACTACACAAATAAATTGTAACAGGCTTATGGCCACATCATGTTGAAATACTGGTTCCTCTATGATCACCAAAGTTAAATGTTATAATGTGCTTTGTAGTGCTTATAACATAAGTAATGCTTTGGCATCTTGTTGTAACGCTTGTATTACTTAATCTGAAAACTGACTCCAAACGGCTTCTTTTCCTTACCTCTGATCTGGAGCTCTTTATTTATAGTTATGGACTAATTCATATAGTTACCAGGGATGTACTATTTACTCCACAACCTCCCCACCCCTTTGAGATTAATACTTTTTATAAATATTTTATTTTTTATTAGTATTAGTATCCCCTCCTCTTTCTGGACAGTTCTCTAATGTACTTGACTTTGTAGCGTTTCCATCTGCGGTCCACTTCCAGTTCTTCAGTACGGTTTCTTTTTCTGGAACTTTAATGAACCTTTTTTTCAGCTGGTTATGGTGACTTTTGTGTTCAAATCTTTTCTCTTTTACCATGTAAATCAACATCCCAATTCTTGCTGATATTATGCTGTTTTCTCACCTTTCTTTGCTATCCTTATATGCTCTAAAGAACACTGTTGCCGACCTTGAAACTTTTGATGTTTTTGCTGTCCATTTGTGTTTTTTAACTTGTTAATAACTTATCAAACACTGATTTTACTTTTCTAGGAAACATTAATTCTATCAGTGATGATGTATTAGGGTTAGCTGTTACACAGTAAACTCTCAGAAAATTTTGAAGTGCTTCCTCATTTATTTTCTCAAGACTTGCTTTTGTCAATATACTTTTGAATGTTCCCACAAACTGTTCTGCTTGTCTGTTCGACCTTGGGTGATACCGTTGGATCGTAATATGTTCAATGGAGAACATCTTACAAAAGTCTTTGGATTCTGTATTCATGAATTGCATTCCATTATCAGAGACTATGGTAACTGGTATGTCATTTCTCGCAAACAGTTCATGCAAGAAATTCACTGTCACTGAAGATGTTGTATTTTTTCACTTATAAATTTCCAGACATCTAGTGAAACTATCAACTACCACAAGATAATGTGATCCATTCGTAGGACCTGCAAAATCTATATGCAGTCTTGACCACAGTGTGCCTGTTTTGGGCCATGATTCTATCTTTGTGATAGTTTACTTGAAAATCTGCCTTGAATTCTGAACACCAACTCAGTTCATTTGACAAAACATTTTTTTAATTCTTTAAAATTTTTGCTCTGACATTTTAAATTGGTCGCTTGTCCACTTAACTTTTTTTTTTTACATTAAATCTTTATTGGCAAATCCCAAAGTTCAAATAGTTCCATCCAGTCAGTACCAAATAAATTTGTAGCACTTTTTAATATATAAGCTTTAGTTTTTACATGCTTATTACAGAATGAAACATTACAAATCATTTCTCAAAAGAAAAAATAACTTCTCACTAGAAACTGAAATTGTGAATTTGGAAGTCCTTTTTAATAAAGGCTTTCCAATTTCCTTTCATGTGGTTATACTGATTATTGAAATATCACTACCAGTGTCCAGTAGCATTTTCACACTGACATTATTTATTTTCATATTCACAAATTTCCTTTTGTTTTCTGTGACCATTTTTTCCATTGCAATGCTGTGTATGAATTTTCTTTGTTTGGTTTTGCAGTGTGACTTTATATGTCCTTGTTTATCACATTTGCTACATTCTGCATTTTTAAATGGACAGTCTTTTCCAAGATGTAATTTACCACATCTGAAACAAGGATTTATTCTCCTTTTTGTAGATTTGTCCTTTGCTAGTACCAATGCACATTCTTTTTTCTGAATTTCTTCAGCATTGTGTTCCAGACTTAGTATTGGCTGACAGCCATCCACTATTTTTTGCAGTGTAACATTACAGTTTTGTTCAATTTTTGTTAAAATTTTCGCTCATATTTCAGCATTTTTTAGCTGTTAAACCTTGAATTAAAATTTCCTTTATTCTAAACTTTTCACATTCTTTGTTAATGATACCAGCATACATAACAAAATCTTTGTCCTCTTTTTTGGTTAGATTCATGCACCTCCAACAAGCATTAAACAGAGAGTTTGTCACTAAAGATTTTCATCAGAATGTGTACTGTATCTTCAAACCTGATTTCACCTGGTTTGTTCAGTGATATGTAGTTGCAACATTTTTCACACTCTATCAGAGCTATTTTCCTCAACAACAATCTCGTCTTTCTCTCATTTTCCCAGCCAATACATTGCTGACTGAATATTTGTTCATATCTACGAAAATATGCAGAAAAAGTCGCTCCCTTGTAATTGTATAAAAATTCTGATATGGTGTTTTACACAGCATCTGGTGTAAGAAACGTTGAAGAATTTTTTTTTTATTTTCTTCAGAATTATACCTAACAACACCTGTTGCATTTTTTGGTAGTTCTAGCAACTGTTAATTTTATTGTTGACAAGTATCAAAGCCAAAATTTGTTCCATATTCACAAGAATTTTTTTTCTTTACACCCAAGAGAAAAAAAAATTTTTTCTTCTACAAAACAAGAATAAAACTTTTTTTTTTAAACCAATGTGGTTAAAATTCTTCTCATCACCTGTATCCTGGTTCCTGAAGCAACAAGTATATTTTGCTTTTTTCCCTACCTGTACTTGTTCACTCAGTACAAATTTCCCAAATCCTACTAACTCCTGTTATAACTTGTATGAGTTTCATCACTCCTGTTACATCATCATTGCCACTGTTATAACATGCTTTATAATGCTTCAGCTATTTGCAATGATGCTTGTATTAATTGGTCTGAAGACTGACTCCAAACAGCTTCTTCTTCTTCTTCTTCTTCTTCTTCTTAGCTCTGACTTGGAGCTCTTTATCATTATGGTCAAGATCATATAGTCACCAGGGGTGTACTGTTTACTCCACAACATTACTTTTATAAGTCATAAGAGTTAAAACCCTTGTGTCAATGGTGATTTAATCACCTGAGTTTCAAATCCCTCATCGCCACTGTTATACCATACTTTATAAGTAATGCTTCAGTTATTTGCCATGATGCTTGTATTAATTAGTCTGAAGACTGACTTCAAACAGCTTCTTCTTCTTCTTTGCTCTGACTTGGAGCTCTTTATTTATCATTATGGTCAAGATCATATCGTCACCAGGGGTGTACTGTTTAGTCAACAAATACCATGCTTAGATGTCAATTGATGTAATAGATAGTGACTCAGAATTGTTAATCAAAGTTCCAATTCCAGTTGGGTTTGTTATATTCATTTATGTACAAATACCATTAGGAAAGTTATGAATCCGCCTCTGCTTTCCCCAGCTATAGGTTAATTAGTAAAATTTGTATCACTAAATCATTATTATCTTAAAAAAGATTAAGCTGTAGAAAATGAATGAATAAATCAAATAAATTGTAATATAATTTATAATCTATATTTATCTCACTCATTTTGAATATTCATAAAGTTAACTACAGAAATATGAATGTGTTATTGACACATTAATGTGACATTAACTGTAAACATTATTAATGACATTAATAAAATACCAGGTTGACATGTCTCATAGCTGGGAAGGAGCCTTGAGCTTGTAGGAGCATCTTCTTCTTCTGTGACTTCTAAAATCTAATAGTTTGACCTCCAGCAGAGCATAGTCAAAGGTCGTTTGATTAAAAAGGGCATATTAGCCCTTTAAGCCAACCTTCTTAGAGGAAAACTTTCTATAAATTCCCAAAAGGCTCGGATGGGGTGTCAAGCCTTGAATTGCCAACTTCCAAGTGATGGTGTCTCAGTAAAACCACTGTGTACTTGAACTAGAATGAATGTCTGAGTTGGATGTCAAGAAGAACATCCAGCTTTGCAAAACCTTGCCTCAAATCATTATGACAATTTTCATTGTGTTTTTAAACAGCATAAGATGACTTGGGAGGATGTTTTATGAAGGACGAGTGAAAATTGTGCCTAGAACTATGCTGATGTGGTGAGGTAAACTGAGATCCTTTATCAGGCAGGACCCACCTTGCTTTATGTAAGATTAATGTCAGTCCTGCATCAACAAAAAAACATAGCTACAATGATGATGTTGTAGCAGTACAGTATTTGGCTTCTTGAAAACTTACCACTCTGAAATCTGTAAAATTTTGAATTCCAAAGTATGTCTGGTCCTGAGGGTTTCAGGTAGGTGATGTGTTTATGACTTATTTGAAGTTATTGTGACCAAAATTGTTGATAATAGTCAATCATATTCTTCAACCACAGAAAACAGTTGATGGAGCCACCAAATTTCCAGTTGGTGTTGGTACCTCCACTTCCACAGCAAATGGTACAGTAGCTGCAAAAACAACAAATGGTGCTAATGCAGCTGAGGAAGAACCAGCCAAAGTGCCTGATGACATTTTCAGCTATTTTGAAAAAATTGATCAAGAAGATGAAGATGAGCTGGACACAAAATGTGTCTCATTTGAAGTTATTCAAGACAAAATTGAAGATTTACAAAAAAAGTTTGATTTCTATTTTCAATCATTTTACTATTTTAAAACTGTAAAACTTATTCTTTACTTATGTAATAAGATAGTAGACTTGAATCCATTTTAATATTAGATTTCTTATAAATCTTTCATAGTCCTTTTCCTGGTCAACAAAAGAAAATTCATTTTTATAAATCTGGTCAACAAAAGAAAATTCATTTTTAACCTTCTCACAATGAATGCACATTAATACATGCATTAAAACACTACCTATTACTGCTGATAGATAGAACCTCTATAAACTCATATTTCCTTTGCTCCAGTGACTCAAATGGAAACAACATACTATATTGAATAAAAAAGAAATATCAAGCACCACAAAAGAAGAATATATCATGTTCTCTTTATTTTGCACATGAGAATTAAAAAAAATAAGTAAAAAAAATAAAATAAAAAAAAAGCACACCTAAATTTAGTGCCTTGAAGTGTCATGGTGAGGAAGTTAATTTAGAGTTTTTATTTGTTGATGGGGGGGGAAAAACTTTTTTGTTTATTAAATTTTTTGGGCCCATTGTTTCACTAGTGGAACATTTTAAGAAATCTTTTGATAAAAAATAAGAATTAATTTTCATTACTTTATCAACAATATACACAGAAAATTTAGACAATTTTATGACTTATTGAAACTATTATTATTATGGAAAACTAAAATCTGCAACCATGTTTGTGCATTAATGGGTCACTATCTTGTTCTTATGTATCATTATCTATGAAATAATTAATTTCATCTACCATTATGAATACTAGATTTTAGTAGATTTTTATAACTATTATACAATGGCATGAATTATCATTAATGTAAATTGGTTTCTTTTCAGATGTATTGAACTTGAATACCCACTGTTAGCTGAGTATGATTTTAGAAATGATGTAGTCAACCCAGATATTGAGTAAGTGATATTTTAACTCACAATTTTACACATGAAAAGACATTCGTTTGTGAATTTCTTTTTACTTTCATTCAGTTTCAAAGACAATATATTTTGCAATATTTTGTGATAGCAATCTACTGTCAGTGGAACAAGAACAATCTATGCTTGTAGATTAAATAAAGGATTCAGTTTGAAATTCCCTGAAGGTTATCCAAATCATCAAGTACCTGATGAAGGCCAGTGGGTACAATGGCTGAAACATTGGGATAATAGTAAATTATGTAAATAGCAATGTATGTTTTGATTCAGAAATTTAAGATGGTATACCCCCACAAAGACTTTTATATAGTAACCAGAATAAGTAACTTTATTACTGACCAGCACATTCTCTCTCTCTCTCTGATGTTTACCCAATATCAGCTTGTATTCTGCTAGTCAATGTTTTCATAAGAATAGTGCTATTCAACCAATGTTGATAAATTTTTTTAAGGTATAGATATATTTATATATGCAACATATCATGTGAGTTTCAGCTTGTAATATCTTTCCTCACTTAGAATATTGATTGTCACTTGTCTAGGATACGTGTTCATTTTTATTATGCAAAGTGCAGCATAATTTCTTATTTATAAACATATCCAAAACATTGCCCAGAAAAGCATAACACAAAATGCTATAAACCTCAATAAATTGTTATTTTATTATTTTACTAATATGTGTTCTGTGGCATTCAATAATCATAATCAGTCCTTCACTCATTGATTTTAACTTTTCTATTTTTTCAACTTGAATATTATTTATGTGATACTATGGGTAGCAGGTGGTTCTTTTTTAAGTCTAGTTTTCTAAGTGGCATCCACTTTGGCCAAAAGAGGATTGGAGAAGTAAAGTTGTGGATGAGGGGTTTTTGAAGATCAATTGACAACAAATCCGGAAATAGTGTATCCAAGTGCTGGTTTATATTAACAGTCATGCTAGGAATCCTGGAGATTTCTGGTCTTCCCTTAGCAGGAGACAGATTTGTCTGCCATGTGCTTCCAATGCTATTCATTCAAATTGCTATCCTCTGTGTCAGGTTGAGTAGATGGGTGAGAAGTTGGTAGAGGGAAGAGCTGAACTGTTAAACTAACATAGCAGAAGTTGGTCCAAGTATCACCTACCTACTCACCTAGACAAGCAGGCAAAGTTAGGTGTGAGCAAATTTTCATTCCAAAAATGCAGCCCAGCAAGAAAAAAGTTTGGGAACCACTGATTTAGGTACTATCATTGATCCCCCCACCAACAATACAAGCCACAAACAGAACTTCGCATCCCCAGGTTATATTCTTGTATTGTAGCTATGTTAGTTGACTATTTCAAGTCCAACCATCCACTGTATCTATTATATTCTTCACTAAAAATGACTGTTGAGAAATCACTTTTCATTGACATTTTCACCTAATTTATTAATTACTATTCTTTGTGATATTTACTTAAACGCAGTAGTTTGGTTGCTTTCATGTCTTTAACCAATGTTCTTAATATTCTACATTTTATCTATGTTTACATTTGCAGTACAAATTCCTTCAAATATTTCTTACTGATCAATCCACTTTTTTTGCTTCTGACTCTTTTAACTTTTCTCTGATGTCTTTTTGTGATGTTTACTTGGAGTTGGTAATTTGTTTTTAGCCAATGTTCTTGATATTTTGCCTCTTTTCTTTTTGTTTACATTCACTGGTCAATCCACTTTTCATTTTTCTCAAATCTCTTTTTTTGTGACTTTCTTCAAGCCAGTGTTTCTTTTTTTGCCAATATTTTCAGTTGCTGTTTAAATTGTCCTGCAATCTCTGCTCTACTTTTTTGCAATTTTCAATAAGGTCTTTCACTTACTCAATAACCTTACAATATCTTGTTTCTCAGGTTATATTTTTGTTATGACCCACAGTAATCTTTGTGTCTGAAATTAAAAAATATCACTAACTACACTATTATATATATTTATTTACAATATAATGAGCAACCTTTGAGATGCTTATTGCCATCAAATAAGTTCGGTTTTGGGGTTGATTATTGTAGTTTATTCTAACTATTATTTTGGCGGGAACAGTTTTAATTTTATTTATTTGGATTGATTATCTTTATTTGCTTTTTTCTAATGGTAACTTTATCGGGATTGGTTTGTTTATTTATTTATTTGGACGAATTTAGGTCAATTTATTTTATTGTTATTATTTATTTGTATATTTTCTTTTCGGTTTTTTAGTATATATATATATATATATATATATATATATATATATATATATATATATATATATTTTATCATTATTTAACAGTTATAGCTATTTTTTTCGTCTGATATTTTGGTTTCGTTTCGTTGTTTTTTATTATTATTATTCTATTTGGTCTATTCTAACAGGTGTGATTTGGTAATTTGTTTGGGTTAATTAATTTTGCTTATTTTATTGTTATTTTGTTTATTTGTTTATTTATTTATTTTTATTTTATTTTATTTTTTCCGTTTTCGATTTTTAAGTAACATAGTAAAAATTTGTTTTCATGTCTGCATTTTGAGATGAGCTCGGATCTTGTGGCAGGCCACATAATGTCCACAGTACAAATTGGAGCAAATGTGGTCTCAGAAATTTTCAGCACAGGTTGTTTGGAATCATTCACTTACAGTATGACTATGAGCACATTTTCCTCTAGCTAGACTTCAACTTATACAGTAATATCATTGTGGTACATGTCTCCAGTAATGTCTTAAGAAGGTCAACTTGTCGGTAATTGAATGGTGCTCTGAAATATTTAGTTATGAGAGCAGGTTCTGTCTCCATGCAAAGTAATGGCCAGTTGCATATGTGATGTAGACCTGTGGAGTAGCAACCTCCAGTGTATTAACTTGTAACACACATGCCCAACCCTTGGCATCATTGTGCGAGGTAAGTTACCAATTTTATTTACCTATGGTGTTTGTGGAATCAATATTGATTTAGCACTATGTATATCCAGAACATTGTTCAAAACCATTCTTCTGCTTTTTCTACAACAGTAAAATGTTTGGCTGCCTCAGTAGGATAATGCCTACCCACATGATTCCTCTTTCTACTCACATGATGCCCTTTCTACTCAATCTACTTAGAAAGATATTTGAGAACTTCCCGAGTATGTGCAATTACTAAATCAGTCTCCACTCAACACATATTGGAATGAATGGATGACACCTAACTTGTTCACTTACCCCAACTACCCTTGTATTGCATCAGTAGGTGTCAAGGGGTATAGAATAAAGTATTTTAGGATGGTATTCACCATCTGTACAATTGCATACATGTTGGTTGAGAGTACAGGCCTATATCAACTCAATGAAGATGTACATTTTTTTAATACAGGATCTGAGCACTGTTGGCACACTACTTATTTTGGAACCTATTCTCACATTGATTTATATATGGGATTATTTACTGTAATCCATCTATATTACCTATACATGTAATCTTGAGTAAATTAAAAGAGCATATTCAAGGTGTTGGAATTTTATTTTGTGTGTATGTGTAACTTCTAAACAAGTTAAAGTCAACTGACAAAGTCTGTGTAATTTTTTATTTTACCTTTTTTTAAATTTTGTCATAAGATTTTTTTAAATTATTTTAAAATGTTGTTTTTAGTAAGTTGCATATATTGTGTTGTTTTTACAGTATTGATCTTAAGCCCAGCACTACATTACGGCCATATCAAGAGAAAAGTCTTCGCAAAATGTTTGGAAATGGACGAGCGAGATCTGGGGTCATCGTATTACCATGTGGTAAGTCACGTGTGACTTGTAACTTTTTTTAATAATTGCATTAATCTCCTCACCATGGACATATTACAGTGTCCATTGTACTGAATAAAATGTCTGCATATTTTGATGGACAAATTTCTCTCACGTAGCATGCTGTTGTTTTTCTAAAAAGAAAAAAAATGTTGCTTCTCCATTGAACAATCTGTAAATCCATTTTGCTCAACCAGTCACAGTAGAAGTGCAAGCATGGCTTTAACAAACAATTTTGACTAATCACAGAGCAGTTTGATTGCTATTTTACATATATAATGAGCAAAAGTGATCTTATTTTGATTATGGTGGAGTGGTTCCTGGAGATATGATAAAAATTAAAAAGTTTCACATTTCATTATTAATGAAGTGAGTTTGAGCCTTGATGGAATAGTCCATACATACCTTTTCACCCCTCCGGAATAATACACTCTACCACAAAATTACCTATTAACCAATCAACACCCTAGTTCCAGTGAACTAGACTTTTTGTTGGCTCAAACTGTAGCAAATTCACACAAAATATCTTTTTGCGCATTCCAACTTTCAGAACAAAATAAAAGGAAGCGTTCAGATCGATTGAGGGCAGTCAGAATTTCATCCTGGAGAAATGCCAAACGAATCCAGGCCAGTAAAAATCATAACCAGCTACATTTTTGCTGCACAAATTTCTCTGACTCAACACACGCAGCATTTCGCTCTACCAGGAACAATTTCTTACAATACTAAAAAGTAATAATAACTCACTACTAACAAGTATTCATAAATATTCAATCAAATATCTAAACAATCCAAGGTAAACAACTCTGGAGAATTTAGACAACTAAACCCTACTTTGTTCACGTAATTAAATTCCTACTTTATTCACGCATACAAACTACACAAATTTCTGTATAAATAATATTTTCCACTTAACTATGACCAGTTCTTAAACAATTGAACAATTTTGAACTGTAAATCAATAAGAAACCCAATTTACCAATGGTCAATTTCTTGCATTATCAAACTACAAGTTTTCAAATTGTATATTAATTGTACCAAACGAATCTCATAATCGGTGTTTCTTACTCAATTGCCTTGTGATTGATTCATTTTTGAATGTCTATATTCTATATTGTTGTGGATTAATATGGTGAACATGCCCGTAAACTAACCATCTTGATATAAAAACCTTCTGATAACAAATTCAAACTCATAGCAATCCCAACAGCCTCACTTGGTGGTCCATACTTGTAGCCTCAAACCAAATCTAGCTAAGTTTAGTAAATATTGATAAGATTTCAGAAAATGTGGAGTTTGTTGATGTCCTTTCTGTTGGTTTAAGAGCTTCTTAATAAGCAAAAATAGTTGAAATAGTTCCCAGAAATTCACAGGCTAATTGAATATGTTTCTTTTAGTAAAGACAAGAGGGAAGAAAATTTATGGAGAAGAAAATTTCAAAAGTAATGTTTTTATACTTTTTTCAAATACATTTGGTCAAGTCATAGAATATCATAAAATAATTGAATGGAATCCTTATTTTCATATCCTTTGTTTAGTTTCTTTGTTCTCTCAAAAAAATTTTACATCATCCAGAAAAGCATTTTTAAGGAGCCATCGCATCTAAACTATTTAGAACAAAGGTAAAATGAAACAAATAGTTTATTTACATAAGGAATTATAGGTGTACCAATTTTCAGCTTCATATTTTCTTAGGCATCAAATTTATAAGGTGCCAAAATCAATAAAACCATGATTTTATCATCAGTTGTTCTAGAAAAATATGTTTTAACCTAGATAGAAGTTTGTACACAAAACAAAACTTCTGTCACATGATCTTCAAACATATGTGGTAAAAAGTATAAGAGTTTTCTTCAACTGATCTGCTGATATGAAAATAGGCAATTTTAAGGATGTTAAAAAATATTGACTAATATTCAAACAGTAATAATGACATTTCTATTCTATTAGTATATCAAAATAATCCATCAGGTTATAAATGACAGGAAAAGTAATTTGGTAATAAGGAAATTATTTTTTAATGAAAACTAAACAATTCTTTACTTTTTCTGTTGATTACAGGTGCTGGAAAGACACTTGTGGGTGTGACAGCAGCTTGTACTGTGAGGAAACGTTGTGTGGTCCTCTGTACCTCAGGTGTTGCAGTAGAGCAGTGGCGATCTCAGGTAGGGAGAAAATGCTTGGCCGTATCTCATCTAGGGATATTTACCATCTTGGAATAGGCAAAGTGACGGCCAATAAAACTTGCACACAAATGCTAAATCAGTAATACTTTTTTTAAAATTTCTTAGATGAAACATTGTCAATTACTTTGAATTTTTTCACTCATCATGGCTGTAGAATGATGGCATTGCAATACTAGAGGAAAATGAATAGTACTTGACAACACATCATTTAAGAGACTAAAAAATATTATGACTAACACTACTAGTTGATGTAAATTTCAAAGATGGTGATGTATGTGGTGGTTGGTAAAAAATAATAAATAGCTATATGGTTAGATTTGAATGTCTGTACAGAATAAGTCTATGACCCAATTGGTATGGAAGCTCTTGCATTAAGACAGGCTTTTCAAGTTAAAGGGATATGAGTTCAAGTCTTACCAGATGTTTATTCTTTGTTTCCAATTCCCGTTGCTGACTGATAGCTATAAAATGACTATTTGAAAGTTGTGATTAAAGTGAAATTAAAATGAAAAAGTACTTATCAGAAAAATGAATAGTAATTGATAAATCATTAGTTTTTTTTAATTTCATGAAATCAGACAACAGTTCTCACCAAATTAGGATGTTAATTAAATTGAAGTATAAATCAAGATGAATGCCAGGTTTTTGTAAGAAATCTTTCAATATTTTGATGTTCCGTATAATTAGAAAAGATTTTGATCCACATGATATCACATTTCATAATGTCTATACTTTCTCATATGAGAAATAGAGTGAATTTCTTTATTTTTTAATAATGGGAAAAATATTTGGTGTACAGATGAAGTCAATGTGTCTTTGTCTAGTTATATTAGTTCCAATAAATCCTATTGCAATTATTCTAAAGAATAAAAATAAGGCACATCTATTATTAAAATGTTTCATTTACTCTCTTGTGTTTAGATTTTCAATATTTTTTGTATGAATGGCAACTCCCACACAAATTGATTGATTGATTTGTTTTTTGATGGCTGATCATCCCTTTGTGTGTTATTTAAAGCCAGAACATTTCTTTTTTTATTCTAAGAATTATTATTTTTAGCAAGAGAATATTGCATTAACAATAATTGGGAGAAAACAAAGATTTTTCTATATACAAGTCATACTATTTAACCCATAGCTAGAAAAAGAATACTTTTCCCAAGGTTATTTGTGTGTAAGTGAATGTAATGAACTCAACTGGAATTCAAACTCAGCTCTCTGACATTTTATTCAGAGCCACTAATTATTACACCACCTGCGCATGAGCTTACAAGAGCTTGCAGGTAAGAAGTCTGAAGGATTGATGGGAATAGGTTTTTACTGTCATGGATACATTTGTTATCATGTCCAGAATTGGACAATATATAAGAAGCTGGTGGAAGGGAGAAATGCCACTTGGTGTAGGTCAAAAGTAATGTAAAAATCAGATTCAGTATAAAATTTCATACTTTTCTTTTTTTAATTAAGAAAAATAGTAACTTCTTTTGATACCAAGAAATCAGGCAGGTTTTATTAAATAAACTGAATGAAAGCATTGCTCATTTCGAATAGACCTCTTGTCATGTAAATCATAAGTCATTCAGTTGTTAATGCGAGAAAACGAGGGAAAAAAAACAACTTCTTGCGACACAAAAACGAACGCCTACTTGCGAACCTGAAACAAACGTCTTCTTGTAAACCTGAAACGAACGCCTTCTCTTCCAAACGAACACTTTATGACAGCAAACGAGCAAAACGGCACCCAAGACTGCTGCGGACGGATGACCGACCGCAACGGCTTTTGTTGCCCAAGAAAAGATGCCAAACAACTCGCGCGTCTTCTTGTAGTCCTCGGTCGAGTCCATTATGGTACTCCAAGGTGTGCCCGGCGACAACACACACACACACACACAGTTCGAGGACGCTTCCGCGCATGCTCGTTACATTTTCTTACATGTCTTCTTTATGTGCTGTGGACAATCATAGCTCTCCACAACTTTCTGTCTCTTGTAGCGCTAAGTAATATTTGACTTTTTGACTTCCTGTTTTGTACCTGCTCTGCTATTTCTTCATGCAAAATCATTAAGTAGATTATTTGGTCTTTCTCTTTGTCCCTCCTTTGCTTGTTATGTCCTGAGGGTGCCAAATTTTTCAAGCTCTCTTTCCTCATAATATGTCCCAGAAATGTAAACTGTCTCTTCCTGATCTTAAGTACAAGTGTTCTTCTATTTCTCATTTTCTTTAAAACTTCTTAATTGTTCACATGTACAGTCTTTGATATTCTCAGCATTTGTCTGTAGAACCACATCTTTGTTGCTTTGAATATTTTCTTCATCAGTAAGAAAATTGTCCAGCATTTGCTGCCCTATAGGACAATATGACATAAGAGTTCAGCACACTTTTCTTTGTTTATAATGAATTTTTCTCATTTTTCAAAAGGCAGATGACCTTCTTATAGGAGCCAACATGCATTGTGTGTGTGTGCATGCGTATATATATATATATATATATATATATATATATATATATATATATATATATAGGCTAGGATGTTGTCTCAAGCCTTGAATGATAACCTTCCTAGAGATGGTATGTCGGTAAAAACACTTGCGGTACTTGGGTTACCCTCAGTGTCCGAGTTGGGTGTCAGGAAGAGCATCCAGCCTTGTAAAAATTTGTTTCAAATCATCCTGGCAAATTCTGTGTCAGGCAGAACCCACCTTGGCTTTATGTGAGATTAATCCTGATCATGCCTGAACAAAAAAAATAAACCTGACTATGTATGTATGTTAATACTTTACATAATTTCTAACAATCACCTTTTGCTATTCTAATAAACCTTCAGATTTCTGTGTCACATTTTCTGTCATCTGTTATTATAGAAAGCAGAAAGATGAATTTCTGTACCTGCTCAATTCTAATGTCTTCAATGCAAAGTTCACATCTTTGGCTTTCTGTCTTTTTGATGACTATATATTGTCATCTTACTTTGCATGAACCACCTTGTCTAGAAGTATTTTTTCTGACTCGGCAATCAGCAGGGTCATCCATGTATCATATGTTGTTAAGATTATATCTGTAGTGATACTAGCAAATTAGTATTCATAATTTGCGTAGGTATAAGTGAACACTCTTATAAGGGGTCACTGAGAATAACCACCAGTAGTACTAGTCTAGCGACTGATTAGTGCTAATCTCTACTTCACAACAATAGCATCGCCGATAGGATCCCAATTATTTCTGGAAGATCCAGAATTCATGGATACTTGGATTCGTTGTTTCTCTGCCACTGCGAGAACAAAAAAATTGAAAGACAACAAGGAAAAGGGAGGCGAAAATGAAATCACGGATTTATTTTTGGCTACAGCAGGATGCGAGGCGGTAATGAAAGTCTCCACCATGGCATATCCCTTAGATTTGGAAGACCTGACTTTCAAAAAAATAAGTCAGATTATAAGAAGAAATAAGAGACCCAAGAAAAGGCTGGTAGTGGCAGAAAGAACGAAATTCATGTCGATGAAACAAGAAATTGATGAACCAATTATAAAATTTTTACACCATCTACGAAATGCAAATAGATATTGTGAATTTGAAAAACTTGGACAAGATGAACAGACTATTGAAGAGGACTTGATTCAATTAAGACTAATTGAAGGTATGTCCAATGCGTCACACCGATATAAAATAATGGAACAGTTACAAATAGGAAATATGTCTTTAAATACATGTATTGACTTTATGCAGCAACAAGAATTAATACAGAAATACCACCATCATAAAAGTCAACCCAGCGAACAAAATTTCGCTGATACGTACATGTTAAAGAAGATAAGAAGGTGGTCGTATTGTGGACGTGAACATGAAATGAAAAAGGAAAAGTGTCCAGCATTTGGGAAAACTTGTAATAATTGCTTAAAAAAGAACCACTTTCAAGCAGTGTGTAAATTAAAAAAGAAAAATATTGAAAGAATTCAAGAAAACGACACCAATAAGGAAGTTTTTGCATTGAAAAATAAGACTTTGGAACAGAAGACAAAAGACATTATAGTAAAGGTCAAAATTAATAACTGCAATTTAGATATGCAAATGGATACTGGGAGTGAAGTAACACTGATACCAAAGAATTTTTGGGAACACATTGGTAAGCCACCTTTACGAAAAAGCAGTTTACAACTCCGCCAATTTGATGGGTCGGTTATAAAAACATTAGGATACTTTGAAGGTTCATTAGAGTTAAAAGAAAAATTTGAAGTAATACCTATAATTGTTACAAGTTGTAAAAAAAACCACGGGCTTATTGGAAATGATGTGCTTAATATAAATTCTACTAAGTTGATTAATGAAATAAAAATGGAAAAAACTGGGAACTGCTATGAAGCAAGTTTAAAAGTAAAAGAATATGTTTCCCCCCTTATTATGAGGCATGGAAATTACCAGTACATTTATTGCCATTAGTAGTGACAAAACTACGTAAATTAGTAGAACAAGACCTTCTTGAACATGTTCCACCTGGAGGTAGCAAGTGGGCATCACCGGTTGTAGTTTTGAGGAAAACAGATGGTGATTTACGTATTTGTGGAGATTACAAAATAGGAGTAAATCACAAAATATGCTCGGATTCATATCCCATACCCAATGTTGAACTTGCATTACATGCACTGGTAGGTATGTCTGTTTTTTCAAAAATAGATTTAAAAACGGCATACCACCAAATACCAATAGACGAAAACTTCAAAGAAGTAATCACGATAAATACGCCAATAGGGTTACTAAGATGGAAAAGAATGCCATATGGTATAAAAACTGCAAGTGCCATATTTCAAAGAGCCATTGAACAAGTTTTAGGAAATGTACAAAATATGATTTGTTACCAAGACGACATATGCATAGGAGCTACTAATGAAAAGGAATTAAAAGAAAAAATTGATTTAGTCTTGAATAGATTAAGAAATGCTGGAATGACGATAAATAAAAAAAAAGGTGTAAGCAATTCTAACAAAATATCTTTTTTAGGTTATTCCATTTCAAAAGAAGGTATATCACCAGACCAAGCCTTGATAGAAAAAAATACTAAAAGTAGCTACACCTACAAATAAAAAGAATTGGAGTCTTTTTTGGGATTGATAAATTTTACAGGTGATACTTACGAAATACACGGACTTGACGGAACCATTTGCAAATTTAAAAAAAAGAATGTGGAATTTATGTGGTCAGACGAACAGCAAAAAGCTTTTGAAAGATTAAAAGAAATTATGTCAAAGAAACCTGTAGTGAAAATTTTTGATCTAAAAAAGGACATAACACTCACTACAGATGCAAGTGAACATTCAATATCGGGAATATTATCACAAGAAGGACATCCGATAATGTATTTGTCGAGAAGATTAACGAACACTGAATTTAATTACTTGAACATAGAGAAAGAAGCATTGGCTATCGTGTGGAAAACTACCAGAGCCTGACAATTTTTAATTGGAAAAAAATTTCTATTAAGAAGTGATCATAAACCATTAGAGTTTATATTTAACCCAAGGAAAGAATTACCCAAAGTCACGACATCAAGGATTCTACAATGGGCGATAAGATTGATGGCATTGGACTTTGATATAGAGTATGTCAAAGGAAATTCAATTCCACATGTGGACACACTATCAAGATTGAGGTTCTACAAGGAGTCAAAAGACAAAACAGAGGAAGAATTTGAAGATTCATTCCTACACTTGATAGAGACTGATGTTTTGTCTTTAGACAGAATGGCTGCAGAAACGAGACATGATCCAGTGCTAAGTAGGATAATATCGAGAATAAGGAAAAATTTGTGTGGAAATTGTTCTAGGGCGGAAAGACCTTATAAAGAAATGAGGCACAAATTAACAATAGAACATGGAGTGATTTGCAATGGGGACCTGGTAGTTCTCCCAGAAACACAAAGAAAGCCGATAATAGAAAGTGTACATAATGATATACACTGTGGAGTAGCGGCCACACAAAAAAAGGATAAAACTAGAAGCTTGGTGGCTGGGTTATTCAAGAGACGTTGAGGAATATGTAAAGAAGTGTAAAAAATGTAAAGAAATAAGAAACTTTACACAAGCCAAGTTACATTCATGGCCCAAAGAAGTGGAGCCATGGAGTCGGGTCCATATGGATCATGCATACGTAAATGGAGTGGGACTCTTATTAATATTAGCAGACTCCTTTTCAGGTTGGCCTGAAATAATACGGGTTATAAACAAGAAAAGTTCTACTATAAAGCAAATTCTAAGAGTCATATTTTCTAGAAATGGCGTACCAAAAACCTTGGTATCTGATAATGCACCAGAATTTTGTGAGGAAGAACTTAACGTATGGTTTGAAAAAATGGGGTGTAAACCATATAAAACTCCTCCATATCATCCTCAATCAAATGGACTAGCAGAAAGAATGGTTCAGACCGTAAAAAAGGGGCTAAAAGCATGCTCTCAGCAAAAAGAAAAAGTAGAAGTTTTTCTACTGCTTTTAAGTTATCGGATGATACCACATGCGGGAAGACTTGAAAGCTTTAATGGGAAGACAGATTAGAGCTCTGTTAACAATGTCATATTCTATAAATGAAAAGATGTGGTACAAAAAGAGCAAGGATGCGGATCCGAAAGGAGCCGAGTTTATAATGCAAAAAGGTCACAATACAGCCATAATAAATAGAGAGAATGGTGATAGTGTGTTGGCCCATGCTGACCAAATAAGGACCCATGAAGAAGAGGAAGAGTGAAATGACGAAGAAATGTCTTCAATTCTGTCTGATAATGAGTTGGTAGAACAACCATTACAGAAGGAAACGTCGGAAGAGGAAACAATGCAGGATGAAGAGGGCCAGAAGGAGTCTGAAAGTTCAAACGAAGACCAGATTATGCAAGAAAACACATATGACTACAGCCTAGCCCGGGACAGAGCGAGGTCTCCCAGGGAAAGAAATATGGGAGAGAGAGAAATAGAGCAGAGTGATGAAAATAGCAGGAGAAGGAGTACAAGATCTAAAAGAGTAATAAAACCCTTAAGGTTCAGGTAGATGTAGTGATACTAGCAAATTAGTATGCATAATTTGCATAGGTATAAGTGAACACTCTTATAAGTGATCACTGAGAATAACCACCAGTAGTAATAAGAGTCTAGTGACTGATTAGTACTAACCTCTACCTCACAACAATATCTGCCAATAATAAATCCAAGTTGGTCTTCTCATTCTCTTTGAATTGTCTCTATGTATAGGTTACATGTCTTACTGGATCAGAAAATAAAACTTGTTAAGAAATGGTTCCCAAAAAATACAAGTGTTAATTACCATCTAAAAATGCTAAATGTGACATCCAACTGAAAAAGGCTGACGATATATCAGCTGAAACATGTTAAAAACAATTCAACTGAAGACAATAGTCCAAATGATATAGGGAATAATGAAAATACTTCATCCCAGAACATTAGATGATGCTAGAAGACAATAAATCATTTCAGCTGAAACATGTTAAAAACAATGAAAATAAGATATGGAATATTTCATCTCCTAAGAAATCTAACATTAATATTTTTATTTTACAGTTTAAAATGTGGTCCACAGCCAATGATAGTATCATTTGTCGATTTACTTCTGATGCTAAAGATAAACCAAATGGTAAGTATTTTATTTTTCTTCCCTAGAAAACATTTTTTTTATAAATCATCCTCCACATTACCAAGAAAATCAAGTGCCTGTTATAGACCAGGGAACTACTGGATAAATTTCAACCAATGCAGATAAACAATGACTTAGTTAACCCCTTGTGTCTTAGTGGCATTATCACCTTGCTTGGGGTAAATAATTAAAAAAATCTATTAACTGCTATTCAGGAAAGTTGGAACCATATTAATAACAGATATTGCTTTAAATTAGTGAAATCCATGTCTGGAAGAATTAAGGCTGTCATAAAAGCTTAAATTAATACTTACTTGCTATAAATATTAATTCTAATAATGGGTTATTCCATATTTTCCTCTACATGATTTGGAAAAAAATTATACTATTAATTTCAATAATTTAATCTAGCTTAAGGTATATTTTATGAAGCCAGAATCATCAGCTATTAAATAAAATATGTATTGATGTATTGCTTCTTATCTGTGATTAGTTTATTTACTGCAAAATAAAAATCAATATGAGCAATCTCTCAGTTTCCTAATTCCATAATTTTTGTCAGTTGTATCAAGATTTCTGGCCCAAGCCAGAAAATGATGAGAAGATAAAATTAACTTCTTGACTGGCACAAACCTTCATTTCAGCTGGTAAATTATCTACAAAATGAAATCTGTCATCTGAGTTTGTTCCAAGATTTTTGTGTCTTACACACCAGTTCATAGAATTCAATGCGAAAACAAGGACACTTCAGAAGTATAGTTGAGGGATTTAAGATTTTGTACTACTTTGTTTCAGGAGAGGAGCCAATTGTGTGAAGGTTTTGACTATGTAATCTGTCAATAGTATAAAGAAGCCCTTCTCTAATTAATGTTTGAATACATGAAGATGTTCAGCTGGCAGAGAAACTTGAGGAATCTCTGTCTGTTTGAAATTGGAACTTGTTCCTTAAACAAGAGATTCAAAGAAATGTAAAAATATACTGAGGGAATTAGAGTAAACTTCCTAGGCTTGTTGTAAAATCTTGCATCAGAAACATTGTCTCTGTTTATGTTTTTGTAAAATCTGTTTGCTTTCTTGTCACTGTTGTTGTGGTAACATATGTTTTGTTTTTACGACTTTCTTATTGATCCTCTTCATCTTAGACTATTAAAGAGTAAGAAGTCTAATATTGCGTCAAAATGTTTTAATATGGGAAATAGGAAAGAAACTATTACTTGAGATGAAATCATATGTTTATTTTCCTGAATTTCAGATTGTTCCATTTGTATAAGTACTTATTCTATGTTGGCGCATACAAATAAAAGATCTTGGGAAGCTGAACAGATGATGCAATGGTTACAAAGTAAAGAGTGGGGACTTATGGTATTGGATGGTAAATATGACTTTTCTTTGTACTATTTTATCACTGATGTTTTTTTGTGGGATTTTGGTTACTACTACAATAATTAAGCAATATTGATAACTGCTGTTCCTCTTGTTAGAAGTGTTCTTGTCATCAGATATGATGTAGCCTAACATGAGGTGAGCCTGTTCCTGGGTGTTCCAAACCTACAACAACATTTCTCCTATTGCATAAAAGATTTTCAATATTCTGATGTCTCATTGTAGTGACAGGGCAATTTTACTCTTTGCCCACCTATCCACATATGGATATTTCATTTAACTGACCATGTGTTGCATCTTAACTTCAAGATAGCTATTTTTTTTTCTTTGTTTGGGAGAAACCACTCTAAAAATTCAAACATCTGTTAAATATCAAATATGTACAATGAAATAATTGTACATGAAAATGTTTTCTACACCCGATTTATTTTAATATTTACTCAGTTAATGCATTTTGATTATTTTATGTTACAAGAAAAATCTTTGTATGTATGTGTGTATATATATATATATATATATATATACACACACACACACACACACAAACAATATATTTTATGGTTACTAACACTTTCACAATGCATTGTTATAGCATTGTTTTCTGGCTGTGCTGGCCCATTTTGGGAAAATAGGAAATAGCCATTTACTTGAAATAAATGCCTATAAAGTTACTCACAATTTCTCCTGAGTGCTACCATTTTGGTTTCAATTAGATACTCTGCAGTACAGACTAAGGTAAACAAAACCACCAACATACAATGTAATAAAGATACATTACATAACGGATTGTATTATACACTATTATATTTCTATGTGTGTTTGGAAATCATGGGTTCGTTTATAACAAAATTGCCAAGGAGCAATATTTCATAGTTTTGTAATGCTTGTTTGTATGAGAAACTTTGTAAATCACAGATACAATAATAGTAATGCCTTCAATCAGTACTCTGTCAGATGCCACTAATTCCCATATATATATTTTTTCTTTTACCCATCACGTGATCTAATTATTTCAAGATGAGTTCAACTGTGCTTGCTCTCTGGCGATCCGTTTTCAAAACCAAGTGTTGGCAGCAACACTTTATTCCTGGAAATTGTATATGTATGTCAACAGCAGGCAATGTAAGTTTTTTAAAGTTGTATAAATATGTCCCCAGCAGCAAAAGTGTCAAGCATTAAACAGCAAACTGATCTGTCCTTCTTGACATCTTTTAAACTAGATAGGAAAAAACTGCTGGAAAATTTGGCAACAGAATATTGCCTTGAAATATTTTGTAGAAATAGTAATGAATACAGTTTGTTCTTAACTAAAAATAAATTCAATACATTAAAAAGTATATTAATAGAATATGTTAATTAAAATCAGAAATCAATCCAACATTTATATATGATTTGCTCTTGACATCGCCCTGGTTTTACTTAATCTGAGTACATTTCAAATTGGGATTTTCAACAGCAAAACCACAAGATTAAATGAAATATTTGTTTGTATATTTCAATTAAATGTCCTTCCTGTTTCTTTTGGTTCCAGTGATTCTCTACCTTAATGTGGAAAAAATCTTTCAGAAAAAATATGAAATATTTTTCTGCAATATATTAAATGTAACACATTTACACATTTAATTACACAATTCTAATCTGCAACATTTTTTTCTTGAAAAACTACCCAAAACGTTAATCTGAAAAAAAAATACTCATTGAACTTTCACTGAATTACAGGCTTTTATTTTTTATTTTTTTTCAATTGTTTTCTTTTTATTTTCTATCCAGGGTTGATTTGCTCAAGATTTTAGGCAAACACATTAAAAAGCTTTACATTTTTAAAATAAGACAAAGTTGTACAATTTATTTATTCTAAATTGGCCATGTTTTCTGATTGTAGAAGTACAAACAATTCCAGCCAAGATGTTCCGACGTGTACTGATGATTGTCCAAGCTCACTGCAAACTTGGACTGACTGCTACCCTGGTACGAGAAGATGACAAGATTGCTGATTTGAATTTTCTGATTGGACCGAAACTATATGAAGCTAACTGGATGGAACTGCAGAACAAAGGTTTCATTGCTAAAGTGCAATGTGCAGAGGTCAGTAAGAAAAACTTATGGTACACTCTTAGTATTTATAGATTAATATTATTTTTTTGAAGACTCCTTTTATTACAAGAATGAACATGGACATTTTAAGAATGAAACAAAGGATTTTGTATATTTTAATCTTACTTTTAAGAAAAAAAAAAAAAGAAGAATTTATTTATTTACAAATTTATCATTCTAAAAAATTTTGGCAGACATGGATTTGGGTACCGGCAATAAGACATAGCGTCAAAAGGACAGTTTTTCCCATGACACCACTTTTTTTTAACTACCTTCACTCTTTGGCAATTTTAAAAAGTGATGTTTAGAATTGGAATAAGACCTAAACATATGAACATGAATTTATACATTTTCTTTGTTGAAAACTGGCAACAAAATTAATAAACACTATTTATTAGATTGTTTATTTATTATATTATTTATTGGAATGATTGGCAAAACATTGGCTAATCGCCAATTGATTCAAACTTTATATAATGGTAAATCATAGTTGGTTCACATATTTTAATAATTTAGTTACCATCTCCTATACCAACATAAGGGGGGCTACGCCCAACTTTCCAGAAGTGGAACACCATCTTTTTCATTCCAAACCAAACCACCTGTTCCTTTCTGAAACCAATATCATTGCTTCAAGCACATTAGGGGAGACCACAGTCCTGGGATACTCACTTCTTTTTGCAAAACATGACCACGTAAATCACCTTGGAACCTACATCAAGTATGAGTTTACCTGTGGCAAGTACACAAAAACAAGGAACCTGATCTCTTGTATATGTGCTTCTGCGTAGCACTTATACATAATACCACATTCATTTTTGCTCTCTATCGACCTCAAGACAAAGGGATGGTAATCTTTGACCGAATATCTGAAAAGATTGATAATATCCTCACTCAATTTCCATCAGCTAGTTTTCATATCTGCAGTGACTTAAATATCCACCATAAAGAATGGTTAGTCCACTCCAATAAAACTGTTGATGAAGGCAGATATTGCAGAAACTTCTCCATCACCTATGAACTAACTCGGATCATTGAAGAACATACCCATGTCCTGGACACAATGGGATATCAGGCGAACTTCCTCAACCTTTTTCTAATCTCCTGTTCTGATAAATGCTTAGCAAAAGTTTTATCCCTCCTAGGGTTAGACCATTCCCTTATCAGTGTCCAAACCTAAGGCATCCCCTGATGTTCTATAGAACAATTTTTCACTATTCAAAGGCAGGCTGGAGCAACTTTCAATCATACATGATGGAAGTTTCCCTCCCAACCTTCTTCAGGCATGCTGCCTCCAAAACTGCTGCCCGTGTCACTGATTGTGATGTAGTTTGGTCCTCACTGCATTCAAAACTGCTTGCAACTGCTGCAAAAAAGTTCTAGAAAATGCCAAGTGCAGCTATGCATTAGCAAACCAGACCAATGTTGAAAAGAAACAAATCCTGTGGATTCTAGAAGATCACCTACCAAATCCAGAACAGAGGTAAAGTGGCTGTGCCCACAATTGTAAATGACCCCAAGGTCATATCTTCCTCAACAGACAAGGTGAACTTCTTCACCTTGATCTTTGCCTCTAACTCAATGTTAGATGACAAAGACCAACCCCTCCCCAACTTCCCACTTCTCACTGAGCACAATCTCAGTAATATCATTACAGCATGAGAAGTCTCAAGACTTATCGAAGGCCTTGACCCCAAGAAAACCACTGGTCCAGACAAAATTCCAGTGATTTTCCTTAAGAATATCAACTCCAAATTATCCTCAATCCAAGCAAAGTTATTCAACCGCTGCTTGAAGGAGAAATCCTTCCCAAGCCTGTGGAAGGTGTCAACCGTATACCCTGTTTTTGAGAATGCAGACAAAAAATTTTCTCCCTCCCAGTACAGACCCATCAGTCTCCTTGCTACCATCAGTAAGCCTTTTGAGGCCATAATCAATAAGAAGGTTGTTGAACACCTAGAAAAGAAAATCTCTTCAGCAACAAGCAGTATGGGTTTCAATTGGCCCATTTCATTACCAATGTCCTAACTACAATCGCTCATGGAATCAGTGGGATAACAAGCACACCTCAAGAACCATAGCATTAGATATCTCAAAGGCCTTTGACAAGGTGTGGCACAGAGGTTTACTACACAAGCTCTCCAGTTATGAAATCACTGGAAGGGTCTTCTCGATCATAAAATCCTTCCTAAAAAGTAGTTATTAATGGCCAGTCTTCCAGAGCCCTCAAAGTCAATGCAATCATCCCCCAGTGGTCACCCTGTTTTTGATCTACATAATTTGCTTAAGAATATACTCAAATCATTTGTAAAGAGCTATGCCAATGATACAACTATATACAGGAGTACCTCTAAAACTCTTGATGGTCAGAGATTGATGACTGATCTGATCTTGTTCAAATTACCCAATGGGGTAAAAACTGGCTGGTTATATTCAATGCCTCGAAGACCAAGCTAGTTACATTCTGTCATTGCCAATCTCACCCCAAACTACCACTAATCAAGTTGAACAGATGCCCTCTCAGGGAAGCACCATGCCTTGAAAGACTATTGGGCCTCAAACTTACACATAACCTCAAGTGAAACTCGTACATATGATCCATCACTAAAGATGCAGGTAAAATGGTCAGCTCCCTGTACCACTCTAGTAAGTACCTGCCTCCTTCTATCCTCTACATTTAGATCAGGCCAAAAATGGAGTAATTTTGTCATATTTCGGCAGAAACTGCCCAGAACTCACTTTAAGTCCTTGTGCATGATGAATTATTCTCTATCCTCCAACCTCTCTTCCACAAGTGAGATGTGGTAAGCCTCTCACTGCTCTACTGCTACTTTTATGGAAAGTGCTTGGCCAAACTACACTTCCTGATCCTGCCAATTCAGACCTTCATGGCAAGGACACACCATGCCAGTTACTTAGTAGCAAACCCCACCCATATTCTCTCCATATTTCATTGGTGAGAAGTAAGTTCCTCTCAAGCAGCTTCTTCCCACGAACCATTGCCCTGTGGAACCGACTACCAACAGGATGTTTTTTCGATCACTACAATCTTAACCTGTTCAAGGTTAGGGTTAATCATTATCTTACACTTCTATACACACAAATGACCTCAAGTGACCCCTGGGTCTTGTAAAGGGTGAACTTTACTGTAAAAAAAACTGTTTATAAATTTATGAATAAAAAATTGTTTTCATATTTCTTTCTTTATAAATTGTTTAATTGTATGAGTTTTTAGAATGTTGTAAATATAAAATTATTTTTGTAAATAAACAATCTAATAAATAGTGTTTATTATTTTTTTTGTAACTACTCGAGAAGAAAACAAAATGTTTAAAATCAATTTCCATCATATTTTTAGATTTTATTCTTTGCTTTTTAAAACAATAAACTTTACTGAAGAGTAAAGGTAGTTAAAAAAGCAGTGTTGTTGGAGATGTCCTTTTGACACTGTCTTATTGCAGGCACATAAATCCATGTTTGCCAAAATTTGATCACATTTAGTCTAGAGGCTTTTAATCTAAAATTCTATTGACTTTGATGTGGCAATGGGGATGTGGTTCTACAGAAGGATGCTGAGAATACTATGAGTGAAGTATGTGAGCAACAAGGAAATTTTAAGGAAAATAGAAACAAAAAGACACTTTGAATCAGAAAAAGAGGACTTGGAGAATTTAGCACTGACAGGGCATATTGAAGGCAAGGGTGTCACAGAGGAAAACATTGAGTAACCGACTTAACAAGCTTGTGTAAATGGATGATCATGATGTGGATAAACAGTGAAAAAAGTAAACATTGCTCAGAGCTACAAAGGACAGATAGTTGTGTAGAGACATGATTGCCCATGTCCTGAAGGGACACAGCACATAAAAGATGTTATCTTGCTAAATGCAGGTGGTTTTAGTCCCTTGGTCACTATATTAATAAGTATAAGAATGGATAGAATCCAACTGGCTAGTTTAGTTTTGGTTCATATTATTCTATATATGATGAATAATATGCTGATCTCACAAGCCATTGTGAGTGTGATCTGTTTTTGCCAAGTATTCTATAAGTGTATCTTGGCCTCATTCAACAAAAACAATACTCTCTCCAGAGTTAACAGATGATCATCAAAACACTCGATTATGTCAAATATTAGTGCTTTCTAGCATTATTTGGATTAAATGTCATGACTGTATAAAATATATAAAGTTAATGAGTAACTGTTATTCAGTATCATTAAAAGAGACAACATTGGAGATGTTCATATTTGTTGCATAAATAATTTTCAATGAGATTTTTCAAACACTTTGGTTTTAAGAGTTTTGAAGTATTTACCTAAATGTTTTAGTTAAATTAAAATTTATGTCAATTCATCTTATGAATATTTTTTAATTACCTAACTTTGTCTTCTTCGTTGTATTTTATCAATTTTTTAGCCCCAAAAGATTGATAAACCATAAAAAAGAACAAGCCAATAAAAAAAATCAATTCTTTACCTAATAGCCACATTAGCTGATCTGATCAGCTTTTATTGCAATGAACTCTTATTTTCTATTTTGGAATTAATTTGATATTAAGTAAAGTCTATTGATGATGTCTCATTCACTGATTCAACAAAGTTGCTGGAATTGATTTGATTATCAACTATGAATACATTCAGGAGACATTCCATTGTATTCAGGGTTATTGTTTTTAACCCCTAATCCTTTGATCAAATTTTGTGGTAAAAATCTATTTCTTTTTAATTTTTCTTTCTTTTACAGGTTTGGTGTCCAATGACACCAGAGTTTTATAGGGAATATCTTAATACTCAGTCTCAAAAGAAATTAGTAAGTTCAAACTAAAAATTTCAGTTTCTTTAAAAATTTCCTTTAATCAAATATTTTTTTAAACTGTTGAAGCTTTAATATTTTTATGAGTGTTTATACGTCTTAATTATCACAAATTTTACAAGTACTATATGCAGAAGAATTTTCTTTGTTTTTAGAATATTTAGGATCACAAATCTTGAACTTGTTTGTTAGACATGTTAACCTTCAATCTACCAATGCTGTAAATCAATATTGTATTTGTCCTATAATCCTTGATAATTCAGTTTTTATTTTATTTCAATCACTCTATTTACATTCCCACATGTATACATTTGTATTTATCTCTCTGATTTATGTCCAGAAACCTCTTCAGCAGTCTGGATGACAGATGCTTCTAACAGTTGGAAGTTTACTTAATCATCTTGTCTATTGCACACATTCTGCTTGAATGTCTCACTACAATACAAATGCTGTTTTTTCTCACTTTTAAATTAGATTTGATGCCAGCAGAGACTTTAAGTTTCATACTTGGCTTTGATTTATGTAAATGCCATACAGAAATTGGCAACATATCATTTTTTCCCTACTCCAACTCACTTTACAGACATAAGAACTGAAAAGTTGAAGGAATAGTTTGTTTTAATTGATTAGATGTTGATCAGTAAGTTTCTTGTTTTGTCCAGCCATTGTTGTATATTGTAAATCCCGAAAAGGAAAAGTTAATTTCATTGTCATTCATTTTTTTAACAGCTTATCTTCACAATGAACCCCAACAAATTTCAGGCATGTCAATTCTTGATCCATTTCCATGAAAGAAGAAATGACAAAATTATTGTCTTCTCAGATAATGTGTTTGCATTGAAGAATTATGCTATAAAGCTTAACAAGTAAGTGTAACGTTTTCATTTCCTCTCTTAGTTTCTCAAGTTTAAAACACTTGTTTAAATGCTGCCTTTGGTTGTTTCTATTTCATATCAAGTCATTTCCTATTCATAGAAATCATATTATAATTATTTGCAAATACTACTTATCACTTAGTTATTAAATTATCATCACTGGGATGCCATTATGGCTGATGGAGAAGAGTGCAATTAATAGATCTGGTATTATTTTTTTTTTGAAAGACTTTTTTGGTTTATGTTATAACAACATCAATAACGATGATGATAATGATGGTTATAAGCACTTCTGGTTCCACTAGAAAATGCTGGAATCAAGATGGATCCAGTAGGCAGTTGGGATAAATGACTTGTTGAGTTTACCATGTCTTGTGTTGCTTCAACTTTTCAGCAGCCAGTCTCATATAACTTATCTTTCCACAGTAAGCCCAGTTGCACAGTTTATACTTAAAAGTTACTTAGAAACTAGTGGTGTGATTGGACTGTAAATTGCTTTATTCTCCAAGTTAGATATTTTTAATGGTATTGTACCAATAAAAACTGCACTGTGATGTGCCATTTTTGTTGTATTATGGTAACAAGCATGCAGACATATAGAAATTAAATCATTTAATTCTGAGCTGAACACCTATAAATATTGTTTCTGGATTGTCAAAGTTAGGGTTGAGTTTGATCTAAACTCTAGAATTTTCCAACATCTTCTTCCCTCTTTCATTCAACTGCTTATGCTTACTCTATGTCACAAGCATTAATAAATTGACTGCTAATACCTGTTTCTGGTCTTCTTGAAAAGACATGAATTCACTGCCAAGTTGCTTACAGTCTCAATTCCAGTCAATGTTCTGATTGATTGGGAGTCAAATATTTACTTTTATGTAAATCCGTTCTCTGTTACATGACTTGGTTGTGCTGATAAGTCATAATATTTCCTATTTGTATCATATTCCAGATCAGATACATGCTTTTACATTAGCAAAAAAAAATAGAAAAGTTATGCAAAATAGTATATCTTTTATTTCTCTGTTAATTTTTTCTTAGATTCTTCAGAAATACAATAAAATTGAAAATTTTTTTTTAATTTTGTCTTCTAATTTGATTTTCTTTTTTCTGAAGCTATTCTCACAATTTCATATGGAAGCTTTCTACTTTTTGTAGGCCTTATCTATATGGTCCCACTTCTCAGGGAGAGAGATTGCAAATTCTTCAAAATTTCCAACACAACCCTAAAGTGAACACCATTTTTGTATCAAAGGTAAATCATGTATTTGTTTATTTTCTATTAAATAGATATTTGTTATTTTGTTTCAATAAACTGATTGGCTAGGTTGAGTTTTAGATCTGACTCATTTCATTGGTCATTCTACTGTTTTGTAGAATTTTATTTGCATATGTTTTAAATCGATATCTATTCTACCGTTGAAAATTCTATGGTTATTGCTACAGATAAGATTTTTATATTCATCTTATTAAAGCAATAATTTTGTTGAAGTTTTATATAGTCATATGCATTGGATAATTAAACAATTTTAGCCCAACAACAGACTTAATATGAAAGTAAAAAATTGAATTACAAATTGTGTTTTTCTTCCACATGAGAGCACTATCTTCATGCAAGGTAAATTTTATTTTGTAATGTTCAATATATAATAAGTAATATTTTTACTTCTAATAAATTTTCAATTTAAATTATTCTTTACAAATTTAATATCTTTTGTGTTTTTCTAATTTGTAAAAGAAGACCTCAAGGCCTGAAGGCGTCGTAAATGAATTCCTGATGACTGACCTTTCCTTTTTTTTCTGATTTTTAATTCATTTCCATTGTGAAATTATTAGCAGCAATTGCAACCTAATCAGCAGCCAGGTTAAGTTTAAAGCTCTAAGTTTACCACAGCAAATTGTCCTATAGGGAAAAAAGACAAATGACAACAAGTCTTCAACTGCAGCAGCAGTCAAAACATGACAGTCAGCAGTAGCAGACTAATTAGCAGTGAAGGTTAGGTTTAAGTGCCTAAGTTGACTCCAGCAAATTGTCCTACAAGACACTTGCTGAGTGAGTAAAAGTGTTGGTTTGTAAATTTGGTGAGTTCAATCCCTGGGTCAGGCACTCAGTAGAAATGGGCAAGCAATAACTATATTTATAAATATCATCAGACATGAGGAGAGGGGCAAGTGTCTATAAATGCCAAGCAAGCTCAATGTAGTAATATTATACTGAAAGTTGCATTGAAAAAAAAAACAAAACAAAAAAAAACTTCTTTATCTGAAGTAATTCTTTTTATTTGAATTTTACTTTTTACCCTCCAGGTGGCTGATACATCATTTGATCTTCCAGAAGCCAATGTTCTTATTCAGATCTCTGCACATGGAGGTTCCAGGCGACAAGAAGCCCAAAGGTTGGGACGAATTCTAAGAGCTAAAAAAGGTTAGTATTTTTTATGTATATAAGGATGCCAAGAATGCTGCAGATTATTAATTCAGTTTCTTCTTTTTATTCCTATATAAAACAGCAATTAGTAGGAATTGAAAAGAATATATGGATAATTAGATGGCATTCATTTGTATTATCTATTTTAGATTTTTGAAATTGGATTTAAAAGAAAATTGATGAAATGAGAGGCAAATTAGATAATTGGGTTGACTAAATAGATTCCATCAATGACATGAGGTGTATTTAGTTTTAATTAACTTCATTCACAAAGCACTCCCTTTTTATTGTGACAGTGGTTATAATAGTGTGTGTGTGTATATATATATATATATATATATATATATATACACACACACACATTAGAGATGGGTGGTTTAACAAAAAAACTGACTTTTTTTGGTTTCATCTTCACACCGTGAAACCGCATTGAAGTTTTTGTTACAAAACCGAAATCATTCAGTTTTATTAAGTTCTATCACTACTGATAATATCCAAAGAAACGCTATTGAAAAAACTTTCAGATGTTAATAAAATTTATACCATTGTAAGACAAAAAGATTGAACAAAAATATGTTAAAAACATTTAATAGACTAGTTTTAGGAAATAAATGTGAAACCTATTTGTTTACAAAAGAAATGAAGAAAAAAAAAAGAAATACGACAGATGACACTTGGAAATCATAGAATGATTTCAAACAGAAAACAAGAAAAATACAACATGATGTCTGAAATCTATTTGTTTCAGTTTTCAAAAGAAGAAAACTTTTTGTGGTAAAATTAATTCAACAACAAAATAGTGAGTAAAAATAAAAAAATAGTTGCCAGTTTCGTCTTACAGTTAAATTTTATGAAGTCGGATTATTTGTAAGGATCATAAAAATAAAATTGTTTTCTAGTAAGCCATTATGCCAATCACGAAATAAAGTTGTTGTAAACAAGAAAAATGAATGAAGTTCTTCTTTTTATGAATAAATTTGTTTTTTATCAAGGTAATGCATGTAAATTAGATATTAAGAATAATTAAAATAGTTTTTAATTTTATTATTAAAATGTGTATATTTCCAGATAAGCAAGTCTCTAGTTACAAGTGTAAAAAAGTAGAATTGTTTGTTTTCTACAAATAAATTTATGTTTCTATTTAGTAAATACACCTAAAATTAGATATTAAAAAAACAAAATTCTTCTAAACAAGGAAAATTAATTCATTTTATTTTTTACAAATATCTTTATAGTTTTATCTGGCAAATACACTTAAGTAAGATTATATTAAAATGATTAAAATAGTTTTTAATTCAGTTTTAAAATGTGTACCTAAAAAGAACAGGTGATACTTGCGGATTTGGAAATATACACATTCTAAAAATGAAATTAAAAGCTTTTAATTATTTTTAATATTTAATTTTAGGTGTATTTGCAAGATAAAAACATAAATTTATTTAGGGAAAAAAAAATAACTCATTGATTTTCCTTCTTTAGAAGAAATTTATTTGCAAAACCCCAATAACAGTTGATTGGTATACCAGAAAAGAATTGCTGTATTTTTAATTATTTTAAACATGGGGGGTTTCATTTTTTGGCTTTTTTAAAAGCCACATTATAAACTAATTTCTGGAGAGCTATATGATTTTCGCTCTCAAAAATGTGTTGTCCAAAGACACAAATATAGATAGTTTATGTGATGATTTCTTTCGTATTTTAACACTTTGTGGATAAATATGGTAGTTATTTATAGTTGACAATTTATTGGAAAGTTTAATAAACTTTAATCTAAGTCATGAATTCTATGACTAAGTTCCCTTAAAGTCTAAAAACTGACTTTAGGTGAACAATCCCTACTTTATTAACGACTCTGATTCTCGGTTTTTGGGTTTTCAATTCCAGTGGTCTTTATGCATGTCTATAAATTTTTATTACCCTTGCTTATAAAAAAAAAACCAAATATTGGCCCCTTATGCATCTTGTTAACAGACTTCCACAATGACAGATGTTTCAAAAAACGACACTTGAAAGTCAAAAAGTATATGGAGGCATTTATTTTATGTGACAAAACAGTAGTTCATTGAAAGTTCTTTTACCACACATACAATCAGTTGCTCTTTTTTTGCTTACTTTATAGTTTTTGAAGGAATTTGCTTCCACGGGTCAGAGAAGAAATGTACATCTTCCTGGTTGTAGTTTAAGGTGTTGTCTAATGAGTGTATAATTTCAAGAATATTGATAAAGATTGGTCTCTTTGATTTTGCGAAACAAAGTAACATGTAAAATTTAGTCTTGAAAAAAAATCATATTATTGAAAGCAAAATACCATTTTAATTCGCTGTAAAAAAATAAGACAATGAATAAAAGTACATACAAATTACATATTTAGAAAGATTATTTTATTTTCTTTCCAGCCATATGAATATTTTTAAGATTGGACCAGAAATACACAAGAAATTGCGAGTTGAACGGTTTAAGTTGCAAATTTATTAATCTCAAACGAAATCAGATATTAACTGGAAATGCTATCATTATACAAGAAAATGAATGGCTTCCTTAGAAAGCAAAAATACTAAATTAAAAACAAAAAAACTGAATCGAAAACCGCGGTATCAAGAAAAAAAAAAAAAGAAAGGAAACTGATACCAAAACATAAATTACCAAACCGACCAACTCTAAAATATATATATATATATATATATGTGTGTGTGTTAGTTTGAAAGATTGTTTTTGAAGCCCAAATTGCTGATTCCTCAGTGGTTTGCTGACAGAAAGGCGTCCAAGGCAAGCAAGCTTTGTGGCAGAGTGCTCAGTATTGGAGATAGTGTTATGAATTAATATGAAAAAGCTTTTTCACTTAACTGAGCAGTATTTCTTTCATGCTGACATCAGAGTTTTGGGGTCACAGAATAGGCCAACTCCACTTTGAAGTGTTGTCGCATTTCTGTGACCACGAAACTCCAAAGTCAACATGACAGAAATACTGCTCAGTTAAATAAAAACCTTTTTCATATTAATTATATAATAATCTCCAAAGGAGTAAATGTAGGTAGATATATGAGCAAGCGATTGTATACAGATACATATAAATACTCTATAGTATAAGAAAAAACAGTGCTTAATGTTAAATAACAGAGCTATTTAATATAGAAATATATTAAGAAATATACATAATACCTTAAATTCATTGCACAACTCTGAGTTTCATGCTGAAGCAGTTGTCAAGTGCAAGAATTATTTTTAACACTTGACAATTGCTTCGGCATGTAACTTGGAGTTGTGCGATTAATGTAAGGTATTATGTGTGTGTGTGTGTGTATATATATATATATATATATATATATATATATATATATATATATATATATATGGGCACATGGCTGAGTGGTTAGAATGTTCACTTTCTGACCATAAGACCTGGGTTCAAATCTCATCACGGCTGATTTGTCAGGAAGAAGACTTCCTGATGTTATCAGTCTGGAGGGGGCAATTCCAGCATGCAGCACCTTTGGAAAGTGCCTGAAAACCATACCATGGGTTGACCCAAGCCTTGTGAGTGAAATTGGGTAGGCAGAACAGTTAGGAGTCATTGATAGCTGTGCTAGCACAAAGTCACAAGTCATTGTGACCAAGGGTTTGATAGTACAGGAATATGGTCAGGTGTATGCGTGAATTTGGTGATTAAATCATTTCTTATGCTGTCATGGCTATGATCACAAGATATGGTTAGTGCACATTTGCTGAAGTCATGTCATAGTTGTAGGACATCTTGTTGTTGGTAGATCTAGTGTATGAAGGTCGATTGTAAAGGGAGTGCCTTGTAAGTGAGTCAAGCTAAAGCTGTTGTATGGTACAGATGTCACTTGTAAGTGAGTTGATGGCAGGTTTAGGGAGGCCAGTTCTGTGGAACACAGATAGCTGTGTCAACTGCAATGAGAATGCCTTGTAGTTAGTCAAGGTAGAGCTGTTCTGTGGAACAGAGGTAACTGTGTCGACTTTGATGGGAGTGCCTTGTAAATGAGTTGAGGTAGAGCCATTCTGTGGAACTGATGTTGTTGGGGTCAACCACGAAGGGAATGCCTTGTAAGTGAGTCAAGGTATGTCGGGGTTGTAGGTTAAGCCAGGATGTGGTAATGGTCATTGAAATGTGCAGTCATTGTACTGACAGAGAAGGTGGCAACTGTGGCAGTAGTAGTACTTTGTGTGGTGGCTGGTTTGCCACTCTGTTGTCATGGTTACGAGGTCATGGTGGTGATAGTAGCAGCAACGTTCATTCTCAACTCTGGTGGTGGGAATGTTTGCAATTGGCCACCGCCAGAGTTCACTTTGTATACTGGGTGTGATGTGCAGAGCCCAATGTGCAGAAAACAACTTTTGTTATTTCATCTTATGCCCTTGTGGCGTTCACATCCTGCCAGCATGTAGAATGAATCAGAATGAGATCTAAATGCAATGGAGTATAACATATATATACCCTTGGGAAAGGTATGAATCCTCTTCCTCTCCCTCCAGCTATGGGTAAAATAGCAGGACAGACTGGGTTTTATAGCCTTGGATGGCAACTGGCCTAGGAGAAGGACAACTCTGAATTCAAAACCTGTGGAGGGTCGTTTGGGAACCTTGTGGTATTCGGTGCACCAGGTCTCTGTATTCGTCCCTTCAAAAAGTGTGGATGGTCCTACACAAGGCCTTCACCACTATAATCAAATCTTGTGTGCCAGTGTTGGGCTGTCAGTTTCTTGGAAACTGATCTGCTTGACCCTCATACGTTAAATCTCGACAGGAGAGTCGATTTTTATATATATATATATATATATATATATATCATAAACCTAACCTCCTACTATTTATACCCTAATAATACTTAAGATACCACCAAATCAGATAAGAAAATGAAATAATGGTCAAATGAGGACATACATAAATATTTACTTTATTATTTAAGCATTAAAATTATTTATGTAAAAAAAAATCATTAAGAGGTCACATTGGCATGATCATTGAGTAATATTGAAGTGCATCTTTTTTCTCCACAATTATAACAATGATTTAAAATCATTAAAATTTTCCTAACTCCAGAAAAGACTGGCAACAATTGAAAGAAAAGAGAAAAAAAGAGAAAGAGAAGTTAAGGAGTGAGTAAAAAAAAAAAAAAAAAGACAATGAAAAGGACAAATAATCATGACATTCTACATGTACACACATACACCATGAAAAAAAACTTGTGCATATAGAAAAGAAAAATTCAAAAGTATAAACAGTCAATTGCTGATATCCCCTGACGAGTGGATGGAGTAATTCTGGGAGGGTCCAACTACAAAACTTTGGAGCCAAGATGCTGGAGGTAACATCAATCAGTTAAGTAACAAACCTTGTATTAATTATATATAATTGGCTATATTGGATTTGACCAGAGATCTACTTTTTGCCAATTGAAATAGTTCACAATGGGCAATGTTTGAATAACTGTAACTTAGAAAGAAACCTGGTGGAGAGGACTGATTTGACCTTTTAACATTTAATCCCATTTCCTTCCATTTTCAAAAAAAATTAATTACATTAAACTTTGTGAACAGATCTGACAGGTAAGCAATGTCTTGCTTGTTGTCTCTTAGTTCATCACAAAAAACACAATTGGAATTATGGAAAAATTCAAAAACTGTTAAAACGAGAATAAATTTGTCCAAGGTCCTTTGCTTTTGATAACCATTTAACTTCAGAGCTGTTGGAAAAGTGGGAAATTGAGAGCATGTGATTTTATTTACTGTTGTGATAACAATGTCCACTGATTAGTGAAATTGACCATTTAGAATTTTTGCAACCAGATGTTGCCTGTGGATTACACAATGCACTGTAAATACACCAGGTATGGTTTTCTTTCCTCCACGAAACTGATAAAGCCACGACAGCACATCATTGGTGATGTCCCATCTGTTGCACAAACAAGAACATTCAAAAGCAGGTTGTCTTTCTCTGAAAAACTTGACAACACAAAATACTAACTACATTTGTGTCTGTTTCAATTTGTCTTTCAAATGAAAGCTCTTGAATCAAACTTTCATCTTTAAACAAGCACAAAACAAAAAAAAATTTTCTGGCAGAGTAGACATATACAATTGTAAACTAAAGTCTGTTATCCCAAACATGTACAATGAGTTCAATATTTTTAACTTATTTCGTTCACTTTTCTTTCAACAGTTAAGACTGAGAAGAAAAAGCTTCAATAATCTGTTCAGGTGAATTGTATAAAACTATGTGCAAAACATCTCATACTGCTGTCAAATTTTTGACAATAAAATTATTCTTCTATTGCTTATAAAACCAAATATATTTGGCTTCAGAAATTTTGTTTACATTACATAAACAGGAAATATTAAATCTGTATGCAAAATTTGAAGGGAATTTTGAGAAAAAAAAAATAATTGATTTGGAAAATCTATCAAACAATAAAACATCAGATTTTGATTAAATTTTCAGAAGATATTCAGTAAATTAATTTTCTTTTATTTTGGAAAAGCTTTGGAGAACTAATTTTTTAATTTTAGCATCCCCCATTTAATTTTATAAATTTCTGAAAACATTTTTTAGCTAAGAAAAAAACAAATTTCTTGTACAGATAAATCTTTGGGGAATTTAAGATCTTTTTAGAAACCAACAATATTATTGCAGGAAATCTTCCTTATATCGTAAAATGAAAAAAAAAAAAATTTTTTTGATTTAGAAAGATTTTAATTGCTTTTAATAAAATTTTTAGTAGAAAAATTAGTCTTGGGAAAAATTTTATTTTCTCATTTCAGTTCAAGTTCTTTTTTTTTTATTATGATGTTACATGGAATCCAATAAATTATTGTTATTAACTAATTTTGTCATATTTGTACATTCCATATACTCTTTTCTGTCATCAGCAGCAATGATAGGATGACTCCTATTTAAAATATAGGAGGAGAAAGCTAGAAGATGGAGGTCACATTGGCATGATCATTGAGTAATATTGAAGTGCATCATTTTTCTCCACAATTATAACAATGATTTAAAATCAAATATTTTCTTACAAAAAAAAAATGTGTGACATGCAGGTAATTCGGCTAGTTTTTAATATATTTTAAACAAAACAAAAATTATTTGTTTCAGATCCAATCAATTAAACTTTAAATTAAGTAATTTTCTTCAAATAACATTTAAGCAAAACCTATTATAATTTTGAAAGATTTAGAAAAGCAAAAAATGCCTAATTTTTGGGTTGACAATTTTGTGAATATCAACAAATCAGTCGATATTACAGATAAAGGCAAAAATTCCAATCTGTCTAAATTGGGTTTGAAATACATCAAAGTATTTTTTTCTCTTTGGGACTATTACATTTGGTCTTTTATCTTGGAATTAAAATTAAAACTTCAAAGTTTTTTTAATTTTTTTAAAAATGTATTTTAAAATTAAGCATCATTATTTTTAGCCTTTTTGCAGGGCCTTAAATGGATTTTGAATGTTGCTTGTTTTGTGATACTTAAAAAGTAATTTATCATGACTTTGACAGGTGCTGATTTAAGACTGTATTTTTTTTTTTTTTTTAGATGTGATTAGATGTTGCCAGACAAACATCCAGAGCTAATATCATTAAACTTATAAATCTAGAACAAATCTCTCTCATCCAGCTGGCACATTGTGTGTCCTGTCCAGATAACATCAAAATACAAATGTTTGGACTTTTAACTACAAAAAAAAAAAAAATAAAACCATGTTATTTTTATTTTTTATAAAGCATATGTATTCCTTAAATATAAGTGACATAGATTTTGTCATAGAGCTTTTGAAAAAATTATTAATCAGTTTTAATGTCCTCCCGTTACTCTCCTGCCACATCTTTTTTTTTTTTTTCTAACTACTCTTCCTCCAACCTCACTACCCCTAGATCTTTCTACTAGCCCCTTTTTCACCATGGTCCACTGGATCTTCCCCCTACTCCCAGGGAGGGTAATATGACCCGCTTTGGGAATCTTAAGTCTGATTGGCTCAGATTTTATGACTCATAAATGTTGACCGTCCAATGAAATTATAGCACATCTGTTATATCCCTTGTTTCAATCAAAATATCTGCCAATTATAATCAGGTGCAGTTTTCTCACTCCTTGAGAATATAGTCAAACCCCTCATCTATGGATCCTCCATCAATGGAATTTGGATGCAACGGACAAAATCTGCAGGCAAAATACAAAAAAATCTGCAGGGAAAAAACCTTCCAATTTGTCAGCGATGTATTTCAAAATTTGCTTAGTGGAACAAATCATATTAGTCCTCAAAGTTTACCACTTGGCAGTGGTGGTGGGCTTTTCAGTTGTAAACAAAGACAGGTGTACAGTATATAAAGTATGATACATTAATGTGTGCAAGAGAAAGTAACTGAGAAATCTATTATTTTTGTTATTTTGATTAATACATCTATATTAAGTATATATTTCTTTATGCTATATATACATGTTTAAAGTATTTACATTATGATCATTTTAATGGACCACTCCCTCCATTAGTCTGTTGATGAGATGTTTGTGTGTGTGTGTGTGTGTATATATATATATATATATATATATATATATATACAAATTCTAGCCATTATACATAAGAAGTGTCACAATGTAAATAATGTTTCTGCAAAATTTTATACCAAGCTACTTTTTCTTTATGTTCTTGAAAAAATTTGAATTGATTAATTTTTTTCATCCCCAGGAGCTGCAGCTGAAGAATACAATGCTTACTTTTATTCCCTTGTTTCACAAGACACAATTGAAATGCAATATTCACTCAAAAGACAACGTTTCTTAGTTAACCAAGGTTATAGTTATAAAGTCATCACAGAATTAGCTGGGATGGAAGAGGTAAGTGAAAACTTTTTATTTGGAGTTAGAAGTAAGCACAAATCATTCGTTGCTATTCATAAAAAAAAAAACAAGGAAATGTTTTGTCCATCGATTAACAATGTTTGTAATAGAAAAAAGTCATTGTAACAAAAATATACTGTAGTCAATTTCATATAAGACTTACTGTAAATTTAGAATCAAATATGTTTGAAAAATAAAACTATAGAAAATTCTCAGATTCTGTCCCTGATTCAATTCAAAAGCCTCTTCTCAACCTAGAATTGTTTTTTTTTTTTCATATTATTTCACCCACATGCAAAGTGATAATGCCACTGAGGGTGAAAGAAATTTAATAAACATTAGTGAGGAGAAAGGACTATAAATATACAGGTTTCAGGAAGACAAAAGATGGCAATTAATGTTGTGTTTAAATTTTTGAAGATCATAGATGACATGGAAGCATGAAGTGTAATAAAAGAAGCTATTAGTATAGAACTTATGGCTGCATCTAACAATTTCAGTCATAAAACAATGAGACCCACTTGCCAAATCTGGCACTATGCTTAAATTCATGTGTTTAGGGTACCAAGGAGGAAAGCTCATTAGAGCAGTTGGCATAAAAATATTTATTTTCACTAAGGAAGTTCATGTGTGTAAACACCTTTTTGCTTTTGAAATAGGAAACATTCATATTAAGTTTTTCTCTAAAGAAGATATGTTTTTATTTTCAAATGAATAAATTAAAAATAAATCACATGCAGCAACATGTGTTAATTATACTGTCATCAGTGATAATATTAGACCAAGACTTTAATTTTTTTAATTATGGAAAATTTTTTTCTCCAAATAAAAAAAACAAACTTTTTCCTCATTTCTAAGGAATATTCTTATGCATATGGTCTTCTGTATTAAAAATAGCTGAGAAAGCTATTATGAAAAAATTACCTTGAATCTTTTTAGTAGTGCTTCTTGCTTTCTGATGAACCATAGATCATGCAACCCACAGCTTGAAAAAGGTTGCACATGCTTAGTATATAAAATGAAGAAAGTGTATATTTTTGAAATGTTTGCTATATTACAATACATTGCTTGTGAGTTCAATCCACACTGATTGCTTCATCATTGTGACCATGTTTTCATAAGCTGTATATAAAGAATTTTCTTTCTACTTGACTGTATTTAATTTTAAAAAATTAAGTAAAATTAGATACGTAAATATTTAACAAGTTATTTAATGTTTAAAAACAAAGAAGATTATATTTTATAGCTTAGTACATTTTATTTGAATTAATTTAAAAAGTTTTTAGTTTTGTGAAATGATTATTATTTGAATTGAAGTTAGAGAATTTCACATTAATTTAAATCATTACCAAAAATATAACCAGTTTATTTCTTGAGGAAAATTACTATTTATGAAATGCTATCCAAAAGTTTAAGGTATATGAACAGCACACATGAACTTTTGTGAGCCAGTGCCCAATGGGGCAAGTTTAAAAATAAAACAAAAAAAACTGGTAATAATTAGATGTTTAGCAAAGCAGTACCTATTGTTCTTAAAATTGTTTTAGTGTCTATCTTCTTTTGCTATCATAGTTTATTGGTAGTACCTTGTATGTTATTGGCAATTAAAATATTAGAAACAAATAATTAACAACTCAGATTATTCATAATATTTAGAATAAAAATATGCTAAATATGTTTGTTTTATTTTGTTTTTTTTTATCAGTAAATATTTTACCTACTTCTTCAAAGCTTTACATTTTTTATTTTTTTGGTGGATTTGAAAATGATTAATTTTTCTCATTTTGGAATTGTATAGAATTTTGTTGCTGAATTTAATCCTATTTCATGACATTCAATCATTTTCATAAAAAAATATCTTGATGCTCTAAATACTAACATATTCCAAGTCATTCCCTTCACCATCATAGTTACCCATTGATCCAAAATATACAAGAGTTAGCTGAAAAGCTCACAAGCTGATAACATAATCCTCCTTGTGGCCCACACACTTCTTCCATTGGTGTTGCAATGCATGAATCCCAATTGGTGAAAAAGCTTTCATCCTCATGGTCAAAAAAGTCATCAACAGCATTTATGATATCATCACTGTGATGCTGGTTCCAAGAGTTTTTATATGTTGTAGAATAGATAAGATGGGCTCAAATCAAGAGGATAGGGAGGGTGATCAACCAGTTTCAAGATGCAATCATGCACAGCAGCCATTGAAAATAAGGACTTATGTGCTGGAACATTGTCCTGATCAAACAGGTCAGTTTTCTAGCATGTTTGGTCTTGATGACTGTTTGTAACTGCCTCAGCAAGTTTGCATAGTACTCTCCATTGATGGTGTGGCACTTTTGAAGATAGTCAATAAACACAATGCCTTTTGCATCCCAAAATCTGAGGTCATCACATTTCTGCAGATGAAATGACATTGGCCTTCTTTGGACAGGTGAGGAGAGGGGTTTTCCAATGCATGGATTATCTCTTTGTCTCTGGATCAAAGTAATGAACCCAATACTAATCCAGGGTTAGGAAATGTTCAAGGAAACTGACTGGATCTGCCTCAAACAATGTCGGATATTCCCATGATGTGACCAGCCTAGGGCACTATTAATCAGGTGTCAGAAGACATGGCAAACACCAAGCAGAAACCTTATTCATGACAAGTCTAAAGGGGAGGCGTAAATTGTTCTACAGGACAATGGCCAGTGGATAAAAGCATTGGTTTGTGAATTTGGTGACATATTTGTTATGAATTCAATTCCTGGGTAGGGTAGTACTCGGTGGAAATTGGCGGACAATAGCTGAACGGTATTAAACAAAATAAAAACTAAACCTGAGCAGTGTAACTAGAACAGTCTACCTCTGTAGATTAAGTAAAGGATTCAGTTCAGAATTCCCTGTAGGTTATCCAGATTGCTATTGACTTGAGGAGGGCTCAGCAGCTGAGACATGATAACAACAACAAAGATGAGGATAATAGTCCGAATATAAATAGTGTGAATAATCAAAATACAAAGTGTCACAAATTCACTGCACATACCGTAATTTTCTGAAGACAAGTTGTTTTCTCTGTAATAGTAATTATCTCTTGAGGACTGATCTGATTTTTCGAGGAAGAAACACACTTGTACTCTAAACTACGTCTAGAGATTATATGCAAAAGAGGTATTGTCAAATATTTTCTGTAAAATTCATAGATATGTGTTATCCAATGAAATAATTTGTACTATTATGTATAGCAAATAAGCATGAAAGCAATTAAGTCCCAATTTTCAATTTCAGATTGATATTTAGTATTTTTTCAGTAATTATAGCAATTTGCAGTGTCAAGAGATTATTTGCAAGAACTAGAATTTAGTATTATGGCTCATGAAAAGAACTATATAATCAAAGAAATTAGCAAAGGAAAGTCTTCGCTTCAAATTTCTAAGGATTTGAAAAGGGATCATCGAACAATCAAGAAAATATGTCAAATGGGAATTCAACCAAAAAAAAAAAAAAAAGTCTCAGGCTGAATTCAGGAATTTAACAAAGCGAGATCTATCACATATCCGAAGAGAATTAATAAGAAACCCAAATGCGTCAAGTGCGTTCATATTTGAGGCTGCTAAAGCTCCTATGGTGTCAAGGGAAACAAGGTGTAAAGCATTAAGGAAGTTTGCTGATGTAAAAAATCAAATAAAGAAACCCATTTTAACAAAAAAATATAAGGAAAGAAGATTGCAGTGGGCAAAAAAATACATGAAAACTGATTTCAGTAAAGTGCTTTTTACAGACGAATCAAGGATCACCCTCGATGGGCCCGATGGATGGGCTCGAGGATGGGTTTGCAAGCAACATGACTCAAGAAAATTTTTTAAATGCCAACAAGGCGGTGGTGGGATCATGAAATGGGATGGGATTATTGGTAATGAACTCATAGGTCCATTTAAACTGAAAGACGGGGTTAAAATGAATTCCAAAAGTTACTGTGATTTTCTAGAGCAATATTTCTGTGAATGGCTTGATAACCAGTCTTTAGCCAAGCGTAGATCTATGATCTTTATGCAAGACAATGCACCAAGTCATGCATCAAAGTTTACTAAATCCTGGTTGAAAGAAAAGGGATTTGTTGAAAATTCTCTTATGGACTGGCCTTCAAATAGCTGTCACTTGAATCCCATTGAGAACCTATGGAGCATCCTCAAGAGATATTTATTCTAATAGAAGGCAATTCAACAGCAAGTGTGACTTCTGGGAGGCAGTTAAAGTTGCTGCAAACAACTTACCAGCCGCTAAAATTGCAAATCTAACATCAGATGTTGACAATAGGCTGCTAAGAGTTATTGAAAAGAAAGGAGCATTTGTGCAATAAATTTTAGGAGATTCTTATTATTTTTTGTTTATATATCTTTTATTTTTAAAATAAAATGGGTTTTTTTATGTTTTTCCTTTAAGAAATTGATGAATTTGTTCTAAAATCTTTTCATATTATTTTTTACAGTAGTTTTACAAGGTATAATAATGTAAAAGTATCAAAATAAATAGTTGCAAATAAACTACTGACAGTCAAATTAGTCTGTTTTGTTAACTTAGTAAAAATTTTCCAACCAAAAACAATAGTTTTCTCTATCACTATATATCTAAGTTAATAATAATGAGTAGAATCTAAACAACATCATAATAGGACTTTTAACATTAAAGATGCAACTCTTTATACCAATTGATAACTTGCATATAATCTCTAGATGCAGTTTATTTAAATCCATAGATTACTTTTAAGTTTTGTTTTATCTGAGTAAAGATTAGAATTAAGATTTTCATATTGTAACTTTCTGACATTTAGGTTTTGGATTTTCAATAATATTAAATAAAAATTTAAATTTGTCTAAATGTATATTAGATGATATTGGAAAGTTTCCAGACACTACCTTCTGTGATTGTACCGTTCAATGTAAATGAGCTCAGTCAATGCTCATTCATATCCAGCCTCTATTGAATCAGTCTGTCAATAATACTTTATGTAAAATCTCCTCTTGTTCAATTATGATGTATGCTTTTTTATTGGAATTTTGCAATGGCTTTGAGCCAAATGTCTGCATTAGATATGAAACTTAGAAAATCTGTTATTGAAACCTTTGAAATGATTTATTTGGATTTTGGTGTAAACTATTTTTGTGGAACATAGGCTTTATGAGCAGCACACACATTTCAAGACCAGTCAAATGGCGGTTCATTTGTGGCAGTCAATCACCAAAGAGAGAGTTGCTAGTATCTCTGTGTACATTCTCAAAGAGTCTATTTCAAAGGTGATAGTGGCCAAATTTAAATAATATATTTTTTGGAATAATGATCTGCATTTGTCAATTTTTATTCTTTTTTGAGAAAAGTCTATGTCCCTATAAACAGAGATTCTGAAATTGAAATTGTTTACTATCCTCTTCTATTTAATTCACCATCCATATTTAGTAAAAGAAAGGACATACAGGGGTTGGACAAAATAATTGGAACAGTTGCAAAATCCACTCCTATATTTCAAAGACCTATTATATTAAGAACTTTAACTAAAACTTTGTAATTGCAGGTTATATCTATTGTAAATACGTTTATTTATCTAATTTACTGTCTTTGTCTTTTTTATTTTTAGTATTTAGTAAAATTTAAGCTAAATGCATGACCTCTCCGAGTTCAAAAAAGAGCAAATTGTTGGAGCTTGCATGGCAGGAGCCACGATCACTAAGGTTGCTGAACTGTTTGGTTTTTCAAGAGCTACCATATCAAGAACACTGATGCAATTTGAGAAACAGGGCAAGACCTTTAGCAACCGTAGTAATTCGGGCCAGACTTGCAAACATACTGATAGGGACTGACGTGCATTGAAACGCAATGTGGCAAAAAATAATTGGACAAATGCTGCCAAAGTGACTGCTGAGTTGAATTACCATCTGAATAGTTCAGTTTCTACTAAAACTGTTCGCCATGGGCTCCATAAGGCTGCATATCATGGAAGAGCCGCTGTGAGGAAACCTCTCCACTCGCAACATTTAAAAGAGGTTGAAGTGGTGCAGAGATCACAATGCCTGGTCTGCAGACCAATGGAAGCAAGTCATATTCTCAAACAAGTCCAGTTTTTCTCTTTTCCCAACTTCAGGGCGAGTTTATGTGTGGAGGCAGCCCAATAAAGCTTACAACCCTGACTGCCTTCTTTCAACAGTGAAGCATAGAGGTGGAAGAGTGATAGTTTGGGCCACCATATCATGGAAATGTCTCAGTCCAGTAGTTGTCCTGCATGGTAGAATCAACAGCAAAGATTACCTGAACATTTTGGGAGATCATGTTCCTCCAATGGTCAAGACTTTATTCCTTGATTGTGACTGCATCTTCCAAGACGATAATGCTCCAATACAAACTGCTCGAGTGGTTAAGAATTGGTATGAAGAGCATGAAAGTGAGCTAGAACACATGGAGTGGCCTCCCCAATATGAAGATATCAATATTGTTGAACATTTGTGGTGCATTTTGGAGCAACAAGTTAGGAGCTGCAATCCTCCACCGTCGTGTCATAAAGAGCTGGAGAAGGTTTTAATGGAAGAATGACTGAATATTCCTCTGGATGAAGTCAGGAAGCTGTATGATTCCATTCCTAGATGTATTAAAGCTGTGAGTCTAAAGGAGGACCAACTCCATATTAAATAAATTTTCTTTGAATTTAATAAGTGTTCCAATTATTTTGTCCAACCCCTGTAGATGCAAGCATATCCATATAGACGGACAGATATTGCTGAAGTGTCAGTTTGAAATTGAGGTTTCAATTTAGAAACTCGCCAAGATGTGCTTTTATATTTGCTTATTTCTTGCAATATTTTGAAATCTCTACATTATTTACATTTTGTTTATTCCTTTTTGTCTTTAACACTCGCTTGTATTGTAAGTATTTAATATTGTGGTATACATTTTTTTTTTTTTTTAGGAAAACCTTGGCTATAAAACCAAAGAGGATCAAATTCAGTTGTTACAGAAAGTCTTAGCAGCTACTGATGCTGATGCTGAAGAGGAGGGTGAAACAGGTGCTTTAAAACCAATGGTAAATATTACTCTTTCTGATACTTTCTACTTCTTTTTATCTTAGAGATTTTAAAAGTATACAACTGTAGTTAATCAGTATAACACTCATCTTTAGCTTAACAAGTCAAGATTGACTTAAGTACATGTTACATGTGCAACAGTCATTTCTTTTTATTTTTAGTCATTAAATATTATAGTGTGGTGAAGGTTTTAATGAACTGTTCTTGGCATGGATTGAATATCACTAATTTTCCATGAATGTATTTGTATCCAGTTGTTACCATAACAAAAACATGGTTAGATTACTTGATCAGGAACTCCTGACTGCCATTATTTTTTACTTAATGACTTGAGGATTGACAAATCTAGCATCTGATGTCACTTGAGGGATGGCCATTTTGACTCTCAGGCAAACAGAAATAAGATATCACAGTCATGAACTATTCAACATTTGAATTTATATGAATAATTACTTAAGATGATTCAATTAATTTCAAAATTAACAAAAACATGTTTATTTATTGTTTTATCAATTAAGACAAAAATATCTGATAACTAGCAGCATGGCCCAGTGTTGCCTGTGCTTGATTCAAAAATCGTACGACTCATACAGCAATCGCTATCACTTGACTTAAAATATTTTTGCCCTTCCTTGCCTTTAAAGAAGTGCCCTTTGCCATGCTGATGTTTGCTACATGCCTTACTTCTTGCCTATCTCACACTGCAAATTTTTTCTAAGCACTATACTAAACATTAAATCTGTTACAAAAAAAGAACTAAACAAAATGAACACAAAATGATCAGCTTTAAAAAAGGACTCGTAACTGGAAAAACTGAATGAAAAAAGAATGTTAACAAATACTTTTTCACACCCAACCCAGTTCTGCGGAATCAGAATCAACGTTGAGTTTAAGCAAGCGAATGAACCAATTGAAGTAAAGTGCCATGCAGATTTAAATTTTTCCCATTTGTGATGAATGCAGCTATCGATTTTTTTTGCATGCTAGCATGCTAATTAACATTCGTGTCAGTCAGCTGTTGGCTCTCACGCTGGCCAATAGAATCTTCCTGCCTATTCGTGGCAGCCAGCTATAGGCTCTCACTTTGGCCAGTAGAAAATGGCCGCAAACTACATGAAAACTACCCTAGAAGCATGAAAAAATCGATTATTTCCACTATCAATGGGAGTTGGGAAATGCAAAGTCAGTCTTGGCCTTCCCGCTAACTTGGAGCATGTGCATGTAAATTTTGGTGCAAATCTGTCGAAAATTGCGACCGTGCATTTGTTACACACAAACACACACACACACACACACACACACACATCCTGCCTTTTATAGATAGAGATACTAAAATGTTTCTGTGTTTTCTGATTTTAAGGCTCATCAAGTGGCTTAATCATTCTAATGTAACTGATGTTGTAGGTATTTAGACTTTCAGTTTTTCTGTTGCCTGATCAACATGCTTCCTCACTTGATTTCTTCCTTACCTCCTCTCTTGGTTTTTGTCGAGCATCACAACTCTGTCATTTTGGTAGTTTTGATCTAGTATCAAGTGATTTGTATTTAGTATCTGTTGATATTTCTTTTGACTCATTTATTAAACATGAACCGCCTGTTCAAAAAACTTCTTTCTGTTACCAGTGTACTGATTAGGATACATTTAGGATTTTCTTCACGATACCACTTGTGAAATTTTTAAACTCCTGATTTAAAATTGTGCTACTGAGGTTTCTTTTCAGGTAAAAGTCCACATCAATGTTTTTGTGCTATCTTGGAAATACCAGGTGAAGCCAAAATCTTCTCCTTGGTTCACACCTGCCTGTTTAACCTTACTTAGGGTGAAATGATTAAAAAAAACAAAAGTAAATCACAAAAGCATAAAGATCAGTATTTTTTTCCCAGAGAGTATCCAGCCATTATTTGTTGTATGGTCTTGATTCAATTCAACAACCAATCAGAAGGGACCTTTTTTTTGCATACATGAACATGTACACTGCTTTGGGATTATGTAGCAGTAGCATGTCATTAAGTGAGCATGTGTATTGTGTAACCATTACATTCACAATGCCTGATTGAATAGCATAGCAAAAATTACTTGTGCAGTGTAATTTGGCAAAACATCTTATTACCCAAATTTGTTACCCCAATTCTATATACAGATTTGGCTCCCTGCAATTTCTGACTATCACTGTTGAAAAAGTGATTTCACACTGTGGGCGAGATTAAGGAGAATACAAGAAGGCAACAAACTGATGTATTGAAAAAAGACTTTGCAGACTGTTTTGTGCAGTGGAAGAGTTAAGTGAGTGAGGCTCTGAGGAGAGTAAGGTGCCATTACCCTAAGTAATATTAAATGACAAGTTAATTTCTGGATGGACCTCATATTATCAAAGTTGTGACAATGATTGATAGTCCAGTAAGTTGAAGAAGTTCATTTTACATAGACCTTAGAGAAACTTAAATTTGCTGAAAATTGAACAAAATAAAAACAAAAAACTCATTTATAGAATACATAAAGCAAATTCATTTCATTAAAAATTTCCAACAGTTTCCAACCATTTGAGTCACTATGAGTCAAGACTACATTAGTGTTACTTTTGTATATAATTGATTAGTAAATTATTTAATCAATACTAATAAATTGTAATGAAGCTTTCAGTGCAATTTAGACAAAAGATTAACTGACAATAAATGTAGCAGCTGGCTGTATATAAGTATATATTGATTTACAGATCAAAATAAATCATTAGTTCTAAAAAGAAAAAGAATAGAAAAGGGCAAAAACCTGAGACACAGTGGCAAGGTTGATTGATGGATAAATAAAAATGCAATCAAATTTATGGACGAGAATGAAAAGAGAAATTCATGCACACATACATTTAGTCCTTAATAAAGAAACATTTTTCTGTTTTTATCTTAGATATAAACCTCTTGAATCCATATAAATCCTTTGACCTGCTATGAATGTGTATAAGTACTGTGCCTGCAAGTCCCATGAAACATAAAGAGGACAGGCATGACTTTGGAAAGGTTAAAGGTCAGACATCAAAATAGATAGAAAAAAAGTGTATACTGTTAAACTAGTACATTATTTCTTAACTAGTCAGCTGGAGTAGCTGTGGCTTGGAAGAAGAATAGAAATTGGCAAACAAGTTTAAATTCCAGTTGGATTTGTTACACCCACTTTTTTACAAATAGCCATGGAAAAGGTATGAATCAAAACTTCTCCCACCAAATATGAGTTAAATAACAGTCCATATGGGACTCTATAGCCATGGTTGGGAAACAGTTTTGGAGAAAGAGATCTCTGAATTTGAATCCATATCACTCAGCCATCTGAAACTGTACAAAGATGGATAGACATGGAGTGTAGATACAATGTCTGTAAAACAGATTTCAACAGATATAGATAATGACACTGGAAAAGGATTATTCAGAATGTTGTTGATGCCAAGGGTTGCTGTGCCCAAGGATGGTGTCATTTTGTGGTTGATACATTATTCTCTGAATGTTTTGCACATTGATTTGACTGAAGTGAGACCAAATTTTAAAGTCATACAGCAGAGACACATTTTCACTTGCTTATGAGAATTTTTTTTTTTTTTACTGACTTTGTAAATGCATTCATACAAGCGAAACTGATACTTGAAAAGGCTATGTGCTACCATGTTTGTACTCTTAGTGGAAAACATTTTACAAATATTCTACCTAGTTTTATGAACTATTAAGATCATTGAGGTGTCAGATTGAGTAATTTTCCTTCATGGTATCTCTCAGGGTACCCTTCAAGTAACATAAAACAGATTGTACTGTGTTACACAGTACAATCTGTTACTTTATCCATTGGAGAGGGTGGATTCCTACTGAGATATGTTTGAATCTTATGGAACTTTCTCTAACATTAGACAATTTGCTTATGATCCAAATAAACAGAAACATTTTTTTTATGAAATTATACTTTGATTTAAAATGGCAATTATTTGGATTTTCATCTTTCAGGTATACCGAAAGACTGGGAGCTTGAGTTCCATGTCTGGTGCAGATGATGCTCTCTACTATGAGTATCACCGGAGCAAAAAGAACACTGGACACACACATCCAATCTTCAAACATTTTCGCAAATAACCTTTTTTTACATTTTATAAAAATAAAATTTATCATGGACCAGTAATTAATGTTTTTATTTTTGTAAAAAAAAAAAAAAAAGAAAGCAACAAAGGTAAGCCAGAAAATTTAAGGTTAAAAAAAAAACAAAAAGAAAAAAAAGAACATGACATCAACCTGAGGTTGCAAATAAACACAAACCATTTCAGTAAAGATAAATTCAGTTTTTGAAAGAATGAATTACACATATAAATTGTCATGTAAAAATCACTGTCCCCTAAATTTAAATTTCAGTAGAAAACTTTATTTTTTTCTTAATAAAAAAAATTATATTTAATAATGTGTAATTTAACAGATGGACAGGTTTTGTTGTGATTATTTGCTAAAATTAATTTGTCTGAAGAGTTGGTGGATGATATACTTTTCTTTCCCACCATTACTAGATGTTCAAGTCTAAGTAAAAGACAATATTCTAAATGCTGATTTTTAAGGTAGTCTGTTTAGCCCAATTCCCTTAAAAGATTAGAACTTAGATTAGACTCTTTTTACTGCTATATTTCTTGTTTTAACTAAACTGAGTAAATATCAAAATAGATGAAGAGCATCCAAGAGTGCTTATCTTCAATTACATATATTTGTATCAAGAAATATTTATTTAAAAAAAAGAATGAAATCTAACATTGTTATCTTACATTTTCCTCATTCCTGTTTTTTTATTGTTCACCCTGATTAATGTTTGCCTTTTCTCATATTCTCTCACTCGGTAACCCCTTGTGTGTTAGTGGCTTTATTTCCTTGATTGAGAAATAATAACCCCCAAAAAAACAATGTCTACCATATATCAAACTAAAATATTAAAATCTTATAAATTTGTAAGAAATGAACTAAAAATAAATTGTTTTGAACTGAGCCAAAATAGGAACATATGTAAAGTTCCAGTAACATGTGATATTTTCTCCAACAATATTTTTTGTAAATGTTTCCTAATAAAATGTGAGTGAGGACATTTTACATGACATCACAATGTCCTTTTTCCATCATGAACTGTATTGACAATTTGATAGTAGTTTATATATATATATATATATATATATATAGTGTTATTTTCAGTAAGATTGAGTGAAATATAATAAAGTGACTGTTTTGGTCATGGCTAACATGATGGTTCTCATTATTTACATGTAGACTATTGTCCTCATCTTTGTTGTGATCTCGACATTTCAGCCATTGTGACCTCCAGTCTTCATCAGGTGCTTGTCGATCTGGATAACCTTCAGGGAATTCTGAACTGAACCCTTTATTTAATCTACAGGGGTAGACTGTTCTTGTTCCAAAACCCATGTCTAGGGATATCTAGTCTATTTGTTAGTAAGTTACTGCTTGCTCTGTTTTGACTTAGTCCAAGTACACACCACCCAGCCTAGTGATTGAACTCTAATTACAATGCTTTGATGCACTAATTAAAACCGATTAAAGTGTTGGCTCATATATTTGGTGACATAGAAATTGTGAGTTCAATTCCTGAAAAATCCAATCCTTCGACTTTGATGAAAGAGTGAATGCATTTTTCTGTCTGTGAGATTGAATGCATTAGCAACCTTCAAATAAAGCAACCCTAGGCTATACGTATTCTCCTGCACATGTACTAATTTTTGTTTTTGAAAGTTGTCTATGCACTCCAACCTTTGGAAAGCAGTCATGACAAGTTTAGTTCTCTCACTAGTTATCATATATATAAAGTTTTTGAAAGGAAGTATTAAATTTTATCAGCCTTTGCTCATAAAACTGAAGAGGTAGTACTTGTAAGTATTTCTAAGTAAAACAGAAGTTGAATCATACCACTGAAACCACCCAGGAATACTTATAACTAACAGATGCTAGTTCTGGGACAATGAAGAAAAGATTTGACTTATGTGAGTAGAAATTAATTTTTTATGAATAAATTATTGGAATTTTTATCAAGAAAAAATTGATGTCAAAAATTGCTGCAAAACATTGGTGTTGATTTAAGATGAGATGATCCATTATGATTTTGTAGTTAGATACATTATTCAAATTTTCTAGTTGAATTGTTCACATAAGATGGTATGATCAATGATTCATCTCATAGGAATTTGATTGCAACTAATAAGGCAATAATTGAATTATTATTTTTACTATGGATTTAATATTGCTATTGTTGAATATTTGTTCAATAAATATTTCCTAAGTTTAAATTTTTATAATTTCAGCTTCAAGAATAGAATATTTTTTTAAATTATCTTCAAAATGTTTATGCTTTGAAGCTTTAGAAGTTTGATATTTGATCACATATTGGAGAGCTGAGGTCAAATTTCACTTATGCACAAATAACCTTGAGAAAGACATGAGTCCATCTCTTTGTCTTCCCCAAAGGCTATTGGTTAAATGTGCTGTTTTTTTTTTTATTATTTTGTTTAGTGTTTTTCCTAAGCTTGAATTAAAATTATTTTAGCTTCAGACTCCTCCAACTTGGGCATAAACTGATTGAAAAACTTTCACCAGAAGTTACAATTTGTACAGAATATTGATCCTACAAAACATCTGCCAGATAAAAATTTCATATAAAAAAATTTGTACACGTTTTTAATTACTTCCTAGCTTTTTTTGAGGCGGGGGGGAATATTGCCTTTACATTTATTTTTTTATTATTTGCTTTCTGTCAAGAGAATGTTGCATAATTTTTAAAGTTTTTTCAATTATTCAATTCAAATATTACAGAAGCTTATTTAACAGTTGTAGAATTTTTTTTACTAAATGTTCACCCAATACAAGGCCCAAGAGCCACTCAAAGTAGTGTCACTAAGGTTGTTGTATGGACGTAAGTGCAGATTATGAAGATATGTAAGATAGATAACAGTTGACCTTAGACTTGAAAAGGTGAAGATTTTTGGGATCAGGGAAGCATCCTCTTGGGAGTCTGCATTACAAAATATCCTTTCTAGGGAAGAAGCTGAGTGGAACTTCCTTCTTACCAATGGAATACAAAAGGAATGAAAATGATTCAGACCTGTGTACATAGCATGGTAGATCCTTGCTGTAAAGATCTGAACTAGTGGAATGAAAGGTAACAGAAGGTGAAAGACTAGTTCAAAAAATTACTAATGCAGTTAACAGCAGCCACATAGACTGAGTATTATACAGTGAAATTTTCAGATCAAAATTAAAGATTGTGTTGGAACAAAAGTTTGTAGCATTTTTCCATAGATGGTGTTTGAACACAATTTTATTTCATACTTGGCTGAAATTTATGACATACTAGCAGTAGAGCCCGGAGTTGCCCGGGGATGTAACAGTAAGAGATAGATCAAGTATACAAAGATACTTGTAAAAATGAGAAACAACAAGACATGGGAACAATAAAACAAGTATTATTTATTTGGTTGTTATGTGGTGATGGAGATACAAAAGACAGTAATACTGAGTTAAATTGTGAATTTGGGTTCAAATGTAGATCAAATATGGATTGGAATTTAACAGAATGATAAGACAAAAATAAGTAAATTGTATACAGTCTTGTATATTTTTTTTATACATGAGATAATTTGGTTGAAAAAATACAAAAAGTGCCTCAGGTTTTCCTACCTCAAATTTTCACTGAGTGATAAAAGATAAATGTTAATATTATGGCCTGAAAATGGAAAAGGCAATGAAATTTTTTTTGATGTACGTTTTGATGACCTGCCTGTGTGAACTGATTGTTCAATAGTGAGAATGTCATGTTTTTGTGTGTGTAGAAAAAAGTTGGGTCAATTCTCATTGGTTTAGAATAAGTGAATTAATGATAATTATTATAATTATTTTTGATGCTATAATTAATTTTTTTTATGGACATGACACAGTGTCAGTTTAATTTTTCTTATTTATGTATTTCTTTATGGACATGACAAAACAAGATATTGTAAAGATACTCCACATATTAGTGTTTATAAGGCATTTGAAAATGCTTGGATATGTGGATCACAATAATTTAATGGAAAAATTTCCATCTGCAATTCTATGTTTAAATATGACAAAATAACCAATTATTTAAAGACCTGATCACAATTGATGAAAAATAGGTTGTTGTGGTGCAAAAAAGATCCTGAGGAAAATGAAATGAGCCACTATTAATCATTTCAAAAGCTAGTCTACATGCCAAGACAGTGATGTTGACAAGACAGTGACAGTGGGAATGGAAGAGCATTGCATATTAGGAGTTCCTTCTGCAAACTTGGACATTCAATTCAAAAAAATACTGTTCCCAGTTGTACCAATTAAAAGCAGCAATCAATGAAAAGCCTCAGGAATTGGCTAATCAGAATGGTTTCATCTTCTACTAGAACATCAGACCTTACATATCTTTGCAGACTCAGAAGAAATTCATGCAGCTTCACTGACATGTCCTACTCACCCGCCACACTCACCTGATCTTTTTCACCTTTGGGTTAACACTAACTTCAGTCTTTAAAGAACTTCAATTCTCTGGAAACTTATCAAAACCATTTAGACCAGGTTATCACCAAGAAAGATGTCAAGTTCTGGGGGAATGGAATCCTGAAGCTATTTTAAAGATGGCAAAAGGTCATGGAACAAAATGAAATATGTGGCTGAATAAGACTGTATACCATGGGTCGGCAACTCATTCGACCCCGCGGGCCAGATCTTGTTATAATGACTGGTCGTGGGCCGGATGAAGGCCATTAATGAAAAATTAAGGAAAATTACATATGCAGATCCCTGTCAACCTAAATATTTAAAACCATAATGAAAATAAACATTGAGAAATCAGAAAAACAAAAGAAAATCTAAAATTAAAAAACACCTAACAAAAATTACTTTTCCTCAAGGAACGTCAAAAATACTTCAAAAGTGAAAAAAATCAACCAAAGTGAAATGGATGAAATTATGGCATGTAGGTTTGAAACTGTTATTGAAAATTGTTCCACAAATGAACCAC